CTCCTGTGCCGTAAGTTTCTTCCATGAGCTCTCAGCACTCTTAGTGTAACTTCAGAAATCATCCCCAAAACGTGCCTGCTGCTGCAATACTTAATATAATGTATTGCCATTAAGCGAGAAAACAAAACCACCTACTCAGTTCTCTGCTATATGAAATTTCTATAGGATGACAGGAGACAGCTTGGTCAGAAGTCCTTGACTGTCCTGGGACCCAATGTAGTCTGCTAAAATTGCAGCAGGATTAAACCTGAGTTGAGTGACAAGAAACAAAAATGGAAGCTAATTTTAAAAGGAAACATTTCGTTGCTGCATAGGGATAGTGGAGCAAAAGTGTGGAAGAACTGAGAGAAAGATTTCAGTAAGGTTCTGGTGGGGGAAAAACAGTCAAGAATGTTTTTGAAAAAAATCGAGTCATTAAATAAATAAGAAAACCCATTCATTTGGCTTGGTTATCAAACAGCTACCACTGGGAGTGAGCACTGCCAACATCTTTCTGGTGGGTAGGAGATATATGTGTGTATGTATTTACAAAGGACTACACTTTGCAAGTGGAGAGACCCAAAAGAGCGCACTTGGCTATTTTTCCAAGACTATCTTGGTGGCTAAGTTTGATTTTTTTAAAGATCTTCTGTGTCACAAGGTACCTAGATACTTTTACAGAACTGATATTAGTGACTTTTCATTGAGAAATGACCATACTAAGACTGAAAAAGGCAACCAACCATGAGACTAATACATTTTTTGCCCAGATTGATGTAATTCCAGAATGACCAGTGATTATGTATAGAAGCGCCACCTACTGTGAACTAAGGAAATGCCAGAAAATTCCATATAGTCATCTCTATCTGTGCCTTTCTCCATAGATGAGTAAATGTCACACAGATAACTCATAAAATACAAGAAACAAACAGCAACAGATCAGGACAAAGTGAGCTGGCATCCAATAGATAACTAGAAAAGAAAATCATTATTGCTTTTAAAATCTGAACACTTTTTTATGTTACTAGAATATTTTATATTGTGTTGTCTAGTCGTCTGAAAGCCTTTTACATTGTCAATGAACTATGAGCCTGTGAAACAAAGATAAGTAGATATTTACTATGAGGGACTTCTGGGAAAGGCTATGTGATTCATTTCAGGTCCTGCTGTTTATAAAATCATCTTAGTCAAGAGAGTCATATATAAATAAACATATATTTTTATATCTAATATATAAAGGTGCACTGGCACCATGAGTTAAAATTAGCCAGAAGTTGTTAAAAAATATTATTGTTTCATTCTACGATAGTGAACAAGCTTCCTATTGAATATTTTCACATGCCCTTTCTCAGCTGCCTTTCATCTGTCATTGTATTGAGCTTTATCTTGTCTGGCTAGCCACTGTCGTGTCTGGAGAAAAGCTCAGTCAGGTATTAAAAGAAAAATAGGGAATAATGATTTGCATTAAGAGAATACAGAACCTGCAGAATATGTATCTCTGCATCTCTAATGAGACAGCTCTTATAATACCCAGTGGATGATTTCTTAGCAACCTCACTTTATAAACAAAGCAAAATTATTAGAAGAAAGTTTGAGGATTTATCGCTCTTTGACAACTCAGGAAGAGAGACCTTGATCCTCTGGCTGATTCTTGAACAAAGCCCTCTGTTGTTGCACAGGCAAAGGATTTATGTAGGTGCTTGCATCTTTTGCTGAATAACAAGTTTTGTACACTCAAAGATATATGCTTTGCTCAGTTAGGGCCATCATGTTTTTTCTACCGTTGAAAAAGAAAACATGTAAACAAAATTAAAACCTTTTAGCATCACTTCAGACATAAAAGATTATCAGATATAATACATAAAAATGGCAGTACAAATCTAAATTGTAGCAGCAATTACACAGTACACAGGATGCATCTGGTCTCGTCTGGCTTTTCATATTGAGAAGGAGGGTTTCCAGAAAGAGAAAAGCATCTACAGAAAGCAATTTGTTTAATCTTAAATGGATAAATCAACTTCTAGAGATCTATCTATCCCTACAGAGGGAGCCTAGAGCACTAGATTAAACTGCATGCCCAATTTTTAGGTTGATAAAATTGAGCCAGATAAATGCTGCAATACATATTGAAGTCTCAGCATAAAAATTCCAACCAACATATTATTAAGGACCCTGTGTTGAGAAGGTGACAGGAAATTTAGTGCTGGAATTATACAGACAGGCATGTGGAATATTCAGAAAAGCCCTTGTGATAGAATGTAACTGTATCTCAATAAAGGATACAGTTTGCGGTTTTATATTAGAAATAGAGTGAGTGGTTATTTTCCTGCTCTAGTACACAATTGCAGATTTTCTCTTTGCAAGTTGAAACCCTTTATGTCAATTGCATTTGCTATTAACTTGTTAGGGAAGGACATGTGCTTGTGCAGCATGAGCAGGTTTGCTGTTTTCCTGGCTGCTGAGCAGGGTGCTGCCTGCAGTGGTGGGATGCAGAGCGTTTCAGTGGCTAAGAATTTATCAGATGAGTACAAATGGCTGAGCTGAGCCTAAAGCTGCACTAGAAATGATTTCAAAATCAGGGTGTAGCAGCAGCCGGAATGCATCGTGTGGATCCGCAACTGACCCTGTGCGGTACAGAGAATTTTGGAGCTCATCTCGTTAATAATCAGGGAAATGGCACTGAGCACCTGCCTTGTTTTGAGCACAGGGTGGGGAAAAGCAAAAGAAATCTGCACAACAAATGCTTTAGCAAAAAAAAAAAAAAAAAAAAAAAAAAAAAAAAAAAAAAAAAAAAAAAAAAAAAAAAAAAAAAAAAAAAAAAAAAAGACAATATTTAACCACAGGAACTATGTATAAATAATGTGAAAAATCTCAGCAGGTGCTCTCAGATCAACTCTTGCCAATTTAGAGATCATGTGGATACAGCAGTGCAGTCAAAGGCCAAACTATCAGGTTCCACTTGGATTTGAAAAGAAAATAGAATAGACCTGTATCTGAACATGAACAAGCCATCTTTCAAGGGAGAGAGGTCAGACCACAGTTACGGCTATGGGCAGAAGGATAATAAGTATTAGAGTGCAAAATAGGAAGACAGTTGATCTGGGTGTAGGTATTTCTTCCTGACTATACCATTTCTTTTGTCATCTTTGGAGACATTATCTTGATGATTTTTTTAGATGAGGACAAAATTAACCTTGTATCTGTTTCAGATTTCTTCTGTTCTGTGTTTTTTTTTTTTTTTTTTTTTTTTTTTTCCCCCTCTTTATGAGCACATGCTTCCCTCTGCAAATGGGGGAAAGTGGAATTCAGCTGCATAACTGCAGCTCAATAATTGACGTTGTTTAGTGTTTTTAGCCTAAATTAAGAACCTATACAGCAGTGTAAACAGTTTCGTAGATGTTTGATATTATCATGCTGTGTCAATGCTATACAAGGTCAATAAGAGTCTGCAGTGTCAGCAAAGTTAGCTCTCATACAGTAGAATAAATTGCAGTGCCCAAAGAATTCATTTGAAAGAGAAATTATTTTCTTTTTTTCTATAAATGTCTCCTTATTTCAAATTTTCAAACCTCTCTGGAAGTCTCAAAATATATGTGAAAATTTGAAATTAAAAAAGAAATAAGAGTATCTTACCTCCTAATTCCCATTAATATCATTTGGCGTTAAGGAATAAGGAATTAGGCCTGTGATTAGCTTACCAGTAAGTTTATTCATTGATTCTAGTATTTTATTTTATATTAACATCAGGTGGGTGTGGGGAGTGAGCGGGAAGTCTTTTTCTTTTCCACTGTTTCCCACTGAGCTGCTTTGTGATTTTGAATGAATTAGGTAGCCACTTTGATCTCCAATTTTTCAGATGAAAGGAGGCTATAACTTCCTCCCAGCTGTGCTCTTTGTAGGTATTGCAAATAACAAAGCATTGCATTCTTTCTTCAAGTAGTAGTTCACTTGTGCACACAAAGGACATATACGCCCCGTCAGTTCAGAATGAAAACATTTCACTTTTATATATCCATAAGAGTGCACTTGCCCTCTACCCGTCATGGTCAGTCTTCAAATTCTGTTGAACCTCAGGAACTTTCTGTTTCACTTCCTAATCTTATATTTCAATATCAGTAATTGATTCAAAGTTTTTATTCCAGATTGTGGCTATTTGAATGGGTGAATCCACTGTATTTTTGGAAGTGAAGGCCTGAACAGCAGAGATGTTGTCCTTCATCACCTAAAAAGCTTGTCTCCTTCAACATTCATTTAATCTCCTGTAGAGCACTTTGCAATGGAAGACACCCTTGAATTACCATTTGATGATATGGGAAGAACAATTTTTTTTTCAAGTAATACAAGCTTTTCAGAATTTGCCTATAAATTGTTTTCTCACTCACTCTATCTTCTTCTATATTTATTTTTCCCAAGGTGAAGTTACTAACTTCCCTAGGAAGTTAGGAACTTGTTCCTTGAATTTTGTGACTCAGAGGCAACTGTAGTAGTTGGGTAGGTGTTGGCTCATACAGAGTGTACTTTTAAAAGATTTCATCTCAAATGATAGGGAATATGTACATTCTTAGGGTAAAATATATGTGGATGATGCCTCTCAATGACCTCCATCTCCTAGGAACTGAGATTATTTCTCTCTTTTCCTTTCCCTGTTGAGGTAAATATTCCTTCTATTTGGAGATTAACAGAAAAATCACCTAATGTGGCTTCTTCACCTTCCATCTGGCCTAAGCACAACTCTAAACATTTTACAGTTCTGCGCATGGAAATTTCCTTTAATTCCTTCCCAAAAAGACTGAGGAAAAGGTGTTAACTGGAGAACGACATGACAGAGGTCAATTGGACAGAGTCAAGGAACTGATGAGGCGATATGTTTTCTGTGCCCTTTCTTATTTCTGTTTTTTACATACAGGCTCAAGAGGGAAGAGGCACTTTAAATAAAACCCATGGTTCATATGGTTCATCCGGCATGTGTGTATGTTTGGAGCTGTTCACAAGGGATGCTAAAATTTAATCGCAGAGACTCCATTGAATGTCTGAATGGAGGTATGAGAGTGTTTGTGGTTGAGGAAGGGAATCAAATTCATTTCTTCTGTCAAGATAATTGCCCCTCTTGACAAAACTTTAGTTCTAGAGAGAGACCATGTTTTCCTGAATGTGAATGTTTTAATGTTTTCCTGAATGTGAATTCCTGTCAATTTTCAAGCCTCTATGCGTAGACTAGAGAGAGATACCATCTATGAAATTCTAACCCTGTTTTAAACTTTGTCGATATCAGGAGTCCCTGGATCACTAGGTTCAGGCTTTTCCCTCTCCCAGTTTGCAGTAGAAGGATGAGCTAAAAATAAATATTTAACTGCAGCTTATTAAATATTTGATATTTTTTCAAAGTGTTACATGAAAAGTACTAGCGTTAATGAATGCAAACATTACTTTTTCACATGCTTAGCATTTTGGCATTTACTTAATGCTATCGCAAGAGCAGTCGATAGTGTCAAGGAAGATTTCCTTGCATTAGTTCTACGGTAGATTATTAACTAAAGAACAGGATGGACTGTACATATAATATTGACATTTGCTTTAAAAGAAGCCCACATATTCTGCATTGGAGGGGAAAAGCCTACTTCCCCTTTAAAGCTGTTTCCTAGAACAAAGCAATATTGAAACTTATTTATAAAATATGACTAGGTTATTATTATTACTGGCTTTTTAAGTGTAAGGATAGAAGCAGTGCTGGGGATACTTTTTATAGAGCAGAATGCCAGAAATGCTTTGTTAACCTGAATCAGACATCATAAATTATTGAGAAGTGCTGCTTTTGCTGTCTTTTTACTCCTTAAAATATTCTTTTTTTTTCATGAAAAATCTTGAAGATAAAGGTTTCTGTTTTTCCCATGGAGCGTTTAGACTAAAGAGTGTGTATTAATGGAGGTTCTCTGCACAGCCTGCGGAGAACAGTAGATAAGAACAAAAGCCCCAGGATTAAATTGCCTTATTTTTACTAACTCTTATCCTAACATTTCCATATCCATTGCTTGAAGGCCATTTCAAGCAATCTTTCTCTTCTTACAGCTGGCATTCCTCCAATCTTTGTCTGCCCCAGAATTAACTAGACCTTTTGGAAAGCTTAACATTCTTATCCAAATTCTGCAAGGGTAATTTTGCTTTTAAAACTAAAGCATCTAGTTATGACAACTGAGAGTTGCAAAGAAGCCTCAATGTGGTATAATTTGCACGTTTCCTCTTTGTGCTCAGAGGGAATTTTTCCCAGGTCATGGCTGGAGGAAATGCTTGTGTCTTTGTATGAAATTGTATTGATGTCCATCATATGCATCATTCTTATTGATAGCCTTTAAAACTAGAATAAGAAGACTGGATGTGGAGCATGGATAGTGTAAGGGTTTTGCAGAAAGTATGTTTTTTTTTTCTGCTTTATTCTTTAAAAGAGAGATGTGAAAATGAAAAAGGTAGGGTATTGCACTGAGACAGTTGGATGGAGCACGTAGATGGTATTGTGACAGAAGTGATGTGGGAACCTGAAAGGTCATCTGAAGTAAAAGTAGTCACCTGAAAATCAGCTATTTCATGTTTCAAGTAAATTATTTGAAACCGAAGCCTGTTCTGGATGGCAACTCCACATTGCAACAGACCAGAGTTTCAGGGAGCCCCCCTTTTTTCCTAGCCGTAAAAGATCAGAACATGGCTGGCATCATTTCGGACCAGGGGATTCTCTAACATGCAGAAACAAAAAGCAAAACAAAACAAAACAACCCCCCCCAAATTTTACCTAGTAGAGCAATAGAGTACATATCTATGAAGTGCATGTTTATGAAGACATCAGATTTTAGCTTCTGACTCTTTCTTGGTTCACTTCACAGTAACTACAATGAACCAGTAACTTGTGTTAGTGGAAGTACATTTACCAATTCAGTTGTAATTGCTGCTCAGTATCATTTGTCATCGTCACAGGGAAATGACACACAGGCAGCTTACCTTAGGAAGCTGATGCAGAAATAATGTAACATGATTTATTTTATGAAACTTCCTATGTGTTGAGGAGGTGCCCCTGAAAGACTGTAGCAGAGGACAGAAATTATGAAATCTGATTCCAGTCCTTCCCTCATTATAAGCGTAGGACTTCAGATAACCGATTTTGCCAAGCTTGGAGCACTGACCCTCCTATTGCACTTTCACAAGTAATCCCGATCTGAGATGAATTCACAGGTAGCTCTGTCTGAAAAGGTCATCTTGGCTCTAAGTGTCATTTAAGGATCTAAATTTAGGTAAGATGAATCTAGGCTAGAATGAGTGATCGTGTGACTTGGAAGAAAGTCAGCCTTTTTTGGCCACTGGGACAAAATATATCTGGATGTAGTAGAGTCACTCACAAAAATAGCTGATAATATAGCCAGTAGGTCTGGGTATAGTGCAATGCAATTTTGTAATACTTTGATGTTAGTTTTGGTGAGTATTAGGCAGTGTGTGATCTTAACGGTGCCCTTATTCTAAGATCCTGATGCTTGGAGCTTCAAAATTGGCAACTTGAGTTGAGATTTCAGATGCCAACTTTAGAAACTCTGAGCAGACAGAAGTTTTAGATTTGTTCAGAGCCTTAGTTCTGGTTGTTTGGTGGAAGGTAACATGGTTTCCCTTACTGGTAGATCAGAATTTACCAGTACCCAAAGTACATTTTTTCAGAGCTGATGAGCATCCCCTGCGCCTCCTGAAGCCAGTGGAACATTTAGCTACTTGCACTTTTGTTACTCAGATCGAGATCCAATATGTTTCACAGTGATCTATTCAAAAGCTCAAGTACAGAAAAATAGTTCCTGTTTTGAAATCGATATCTTCCTTGGATATAAAACCCATACTGTTACAGGGAAATAAAATGAGGATGTAGACTTCTAAATAAAGAATTCTGAGCAAGGTGTGTCTTTCCCATTACTCTCTCTCTTTTTTTTTCTTTTTTTTTTTTACGTCACATATTTTCTTGCTTCCTTTCCTTTTTAATTTAATTGGAACCACATTATTGGCTGAAAATTCTGCTAGCATGACTCATCCCTGCACTGCAAATGAGTGAACAGGCATTACATTGTGGGATTTACCACCCCCCTCTGCTTTTTTCTAAGTGCTTTAGTGTGGCACGAGCTTGTAATAATAAACTAGGAAGGAAGTTGAAGCCAGTCATTTGGTTCTGAATGCACAAACCCTGCCAAATTTCCCCACAGGCATGAAACAGCCGCTCAAGCTGTGACACCAGCAAATTAAATCCTGGATCTAGCTGACCAGAAGTAATGAAATGTGTATTTACCATACTGATGCTGTCAGTCTTAAGACACACTGGCTTTACAATCTAGTTAAGTGGGGCATGTTTGTCACTTCCAGTGGTGCTTAGAAAAAACACTAGATTTGTCCTAGCCTCTTTTCCCAAAATCTCCAGCCCACTGTTGGTTGGTAAGCCTCATCTCATACAGCATGAAGGAGGGGATGCATGGAATGGTCTGTTCTTAAACAGTGCTTGCTAAAGTGAAATACATATCCCCAAGGGAGATAAATGATCTAGTCTTATGACATGCTGATTGCCAAGGCTTTTATTCATCCCTTTTCTCTCGCTTCATTTTACAAACCGAACCTTTGTGCTAAAATGGAAAGAGAAATTATTCCAAGAGACAATAGATGCCTCACAAAAACCATGTGTCCTATTCATGCAGCAGTTTAAAAGCCCAGGCATACAGGTGTGTGGGAGAAGACCATGTAATCATATCAGAATAGATATCATTCAAAGGAGATGTGCTTTATGCAGGTGGGTGCAGGTGTGGGAGGGATGAGCCACACATGATGATGAGATGCCACTCAAGAAAGGCACAGACATCACTCATGCAGTGGTTTAACAGCATCTGGGCACTGGCAGATGAAGGAGGGAGGCCACCATTTAACAGTGCCCTCATACTTAGGTTATAAAGTTATAACTTTCTTTGTGCATATATATATATATATATTTATAAAGTTGTACCTTTTCCTTGTCATGTCTCCTCCTAGGTAGCAACAGCAGATATATGTGAGGTTTTTATGTGTTTAGCTAGGACCAGCATATTATGCTAATTGTCTGAAAACTGTTTCAGCAGAGTAACAGATCATCTCCTGACTAGTACTTGCTATGAACACCAGAAAACATTGTGAGAGGGGGAGGTAAAGGTATACAGTCTTTGATGCACAGAATACAATACCCATGTCAGAATCAAAGAATAAAATCACACCCCATATGAGCAGTCTGAAAGCACCTAATTATATTCTAGGAATGCCTGTAACTGCAATTATATGCTTAATTTCCAGCTGTACTTAATTAACATCACAAATGATTTATAATAACACCAAACACAGGGAACTTGCTTTGAACTGTGTTCATTGGCACATACAGATTTGTTGGGCCCTTTGTGTGTTTCTTCATAGCAAGGTAGGCAAATTGGGTTAGTATCACACAGCTCAGCAGCAGAGCTGCAAGATGTGAATAGTTTTACAGATAACACAATAAACTTTGTTCTAATAAGGCATTTATATGCAAGTCTGTGGAAAGTCAAAACTCGATGTCTATGGGATTACACATGTACTTAAAGGTTATTATGTTGTAATAACGTTGCTGAATCAGGGCTGCCTTTCTTTGCTTTATCTTGAAAGAAAAGTCTGCTTTCAGTGACAGGATAGTACATCATCCTCTGAAAGAAAGTCTGCCCATATTGAGACAGCTGCAGGAATTGTTCCAAATTTTGTTAGTGAGAGGACAATGGAGATGAAGTATAAAAGGACTCCACTTTCCTGAACAGCTCTAAATATAATACTGTCTTAAAAGTTTGAGTCTTTTGGCCTGTCATATTGTCTAGTTCAAAATGCTGCATCAGGATTTAAGGCAAAATGTGCAATTCAAAATGTGCACTTCAAAAGTTTGAAATGTAGTGCTTTGATCTACCTAAAGGGTAAGCGTATTCCATTGTTAAGGTAAACATGTGTAACCTTTTGCAAAACTCTGCCCTTGGACTGTAAACCTTTTTGAGCAAGTGCTGTGTCATCTATGAACCAATGCCAAAACCTTCACAGTTCATCCACTGATAACTTTGGTTTGTACCATCTTAGCATTCTAAGTTTTTTTTTTTTTTTTTCTAGATGCTATTCAAAGCACACTTCGAATCAATAGTTGAAGTTGAATTCCCCCTATTTTTAATCTTAGGTTAGAGATACTTAAGTTTGAGGGGTCCTGTGAGGGCTGGACTTACCCTGCACTGGCAACCTTAGAATAATAGAATCGTAGAATCATAGAATGCTTAAGGTTGGAAGCGACCTCCAGAGACCATCTAGTCCAACCCCCCTGCACGCACAGGGACACACAGAGCACGTGGCACAGGGCTGCATCCAAGCGGGTTTTAAAGATCTCCAAAGAGGGAGACTCCACAACCTCTCTGGGCAGCCTGTTCCAGGGCTCTGTCACCCTCACTGTCAATAAATTTTCCCTTAAGTTCCTGTGGAATTTTGGTGCCTCATTTCGTGGCCGTTTCCTCTAGTCCTGTCACTGGCCACCACTGAAAAGAGGCCGCCCCCCTCCTCCTCACTGCCTCCCTTGAGGTATTTATAGACACTGATCAGCCTCCTCTTCTCCAGGCTGAACAGGCCCAGCTCCCTCAGCCTTTGCTCATAGGGCAGATGTTCCAGGTCCCTGATCATCCTCGTAGCCCTGCGCTGGACTCTCTCCAGCAGCTCCACATCCCTCTTGTACTGGGGAGCCCAGAACTGGACACAGTACTTCAGATGTGGCCTCACCAGGACTGTGTATATGGGGACGATCACCTCCCTCGAGCTGCTGGAGACGCTCTTTCTGGTGTCTGGGGTTATTCCTCCCCCGGTGCAGGACCATGCGCTTGTTGAACTTCATGAGATTTCTCACCACCCAGTTGTCCAGTCTGTCCAGGTCCCTCTGGATGGCAGCACAGCCCTCAGGGCTATCAGCTACTCCTCCCAGTTTCCTGTCATCAGCAAACTTGCTGAGGGAGCACTCCATCCCTTCATCCAGGTCACTGATGAATAAATTGAATAGGACTGGACCAAGGACTGACCCCTGGGGGACACCGCTAACCACAGGCCTCCAATTGGATTCAGTGCCAGTGATCGCCACCCTCCAAGCTCTGCCATCCATTCAGTTCTTAGTCCATCTCACACTGCAGTCATCTATCCCACACCTCCAAAGCTTGCCCAGGAGAGTGTTGTGAGGGACAGCGTCAAAAGCCTTGCTGAAGTCCAGATAGATGACATCCACTGCTCTCCCCTCATCTATCCAGTTAGTCATTCCGTCATAGAAGGCTATCAGGTTAGACAAGCATGATTTCCCCTTGGTGAATCCATGCTGATTATTCCTGAGCACCTTCTTGTCCTCCACATGCTTGGACAACAGCCAGGATGAGCTGTTCCATCACTTTCTCAGGGATGGAGGTGAATCTGACTAGCCTGTAGTTGCCCGGGTCCTCCTTCTTGCCCTTTTTGAAGACTGGTGTGACACTGGCTTTCTTCCAGTCCTCCAGTACCTCTCTTGATCTCCAGGACCTTTTGAAGATGATGGAGAGTGACTGAGCAATAACACCTGCCAGCTCACACAACACTGGGGTGCATCCCATCAGGACCCATGGATTTGTGGGTGTTGAGTTTTCCTAAATGCTCTCTGACCCACTCTTCCTCTACCCACGTCAACTCTTCCTCTCTTCAGGCTTCTTTTCTTGTCCCTAGGGTCTGGGATTCCAGAGGGATGCCCTTGGTGAACACTGAATGCAAAGGTGGCATTCAGTAACTCTGTTTTTTCTATGTTTTTCGTAAGGAGGGCACCTACCCCGTTCATCAGCAGACCCACCTTTTCCCTAATCTTCCTTTTACCATTGATGTATTTGAAGAAGCTCTTCTTTTTATTTTTAACATCCCTTGCCAGATTCTGTTCCAAACGTGCCTTAGCTTTCCTTGTCACATCCCTGCATTCCCTGACAATGTTCCTCTTCTCAAGGGGCCTGTCCTTTTTTCCATATTCCCTGTATACTCCTTTTTTCTGCTTGAGTTTTGCCAGGAGCTCCCTGTTCATCCACCCAGGCCTCCTGCTCCCATCATCGCCTGACTTCTTACTCACAGGGTTGCACAGTTGCTGAGTATGTAGGAAATACTCCTTGAAAACTAACCACCTAAATACCTTTTTCCTCTTGTCCCTTCTTCTCAAGCCTACTGTTTCAGTGTCTCTGGTGGGTGCAGTCTCACTGCATCAGTTAAACATAGAGAAATTTTCTCCTGAAGTGGGTTATAATGCTAAATATTAGGTGCCCTGAGTCCAGGAATCTTGCCTTACGGTGTCACTTATGAGTTTTGTACTCTGCGTTAACTTAGCCAGCTCTTGATACTTTACCATCGAAAGATTTACATATTTTTACCACAGAGCATCAGTTTCTGAGGTTATTTCACTTTAAGATTACCATGAGTCTGTTTTGAAAATTCCTATAGAGAACAAGCGCTTCTTTTAGACAGCTGGTTTGCAATTAATTAAAAGGAAAGTGTTTTCAGCTGGCAATGACTTATCATGCCCATGATATATGAAAACAAGATTAAATTGCTTCATTTTCTCTCTACTAATAATAAAAGAAATAATGAAAACGAAACAGTATAGCATAGGAAATGTAAAGTGCCAACCAAAACCACGGACATAATGCCTAATCCTGAGAGCTGTTGACCTGACTCATGCTGAAACAGGCATATTTGGAGAGGCTTAGCCAGTGCCAAAAATTATTTTTCAGTTGCAGCCTCTTGAAATATTTTGAGTTCAGGGTATTTGATCAGTGCCTGCAATGCAAGGGGATCATTTAGTTAGTTTTCTTTTTCTTTTTTTTTTTTTTATGATTTAATGGCTTACTATTACACTTCATGGTTTATTGGAAATCCTCTTGCTCCTGCTACTTGGAAGCTTTGTTCTTTGTAAAAAAGTGATGTGACCAAAGCATTAGAGAAAACATAGCAGAAACTAGGCAGAGGGAAAAGGCTAATAGTCAGATGGCCATGGGCCTCAGCTGACTGTGAATTTTATTCTAAAGAAATCGCTAGGACTTGGTATTAGCTTCCTTGTGGAATATGAAATGTAACTTTATCACAAAGATAACATGATCGTCCTACGAGTATTAGAAGAAAAGGGAGAAAAGTAAATAATGGATTTTGCTTCAATACAATCTTTTTACTTTTCTTTGCAGAATGCAGAACCTTTCCAAGTTGCTGTCCGAGAAGACAATTGTATCATTGTCTCCCTGGAAGCATCTGATGTGGTGAGCTCATCCTCTGTATATGTTGTGAAGATAGCTGGAGAATCCAAGAACTACTTTTTCCAGTTCGAAGAATTCAATAGCACTTTACCTGCCCCTGTGGTTTTTAATGCCAAATACCATGGCCTATATTACATAGTAACTCTGTTGGTAGTGAACTCAAATATGGTTTCCAAGTCAGCAAGATCAATCACTGTGTTAACCAGTAAGTAACACCTTCTTCTTTTTTTTTCCTTCTGTTTCTTCTCTTTGTGTGTGGATTTTTTTTCAAAAGTTCTCCTGGTGGAGAAGTTTTTGCTTTATGGGTCATCCTTGTGCATAGATGAATTTCTGTGTGAAAACAGTAGAGATGTGCTGAGTAGCCTTATGAGTGAAAATTTATAAAGTCTGGTCAAGAGGAAGGGGGCAAATTTAGATTTCCTGTGGGTGACTCTGTGGGTGAGATCCAGGGGCTCTCAAAATCTAGTAAATGGCTCAAAAAGTATTGATTGACATTTCAATGTAAGCAGTCTTGTTAAATGTTGAGGTACAGTCTGCTTCAGATGTCATAACAATGTTCTTGGTTTGGTAATACGCTGAAGTCATATGGAAAGCAGACAGCAGTCTCCGAGACCATGTGTTTCTGGCAATAGAGCTGAAGATTTCTGCAATGGAGTATTCTCTCTCCTACTGCCTCCAGGTGCTTTGATCCTGGGGGAGAGGTGTGATTTTGCTTACTCTGTCATCACAAGAAGCACCACAGATTCCTGTTGGGAATTCCAGCACTGCTTACATGTGCCAGACTGAAAACAATTTGTAGAGGATAAAATGATTTCTTCATCTGAAAGACAGATTCACAAGAAAGAAAAGACAAAAAATAATTGGAGAGGAGTAAAATCAATTCCTAAATCTTGTGTTATAAACCTAGGCTTAATTTAAATCATGTTTGGGTTTTTGTGATAGATCATTGCCATATACACATATGCAGACCATTTTCAACATGAGTGTAATCAATAATTCTTCTAGCCAATTGTAAAGGTCTGTGAGGGAACTTTTTGAAAATGACTATATATTTTTTGATCAAATGGCACCTTTGAATCTATGGAGAGTTGTACTTGGCTTGCAGATAAGAAACGGTTATGTTTTTGTGTACTTATTCTATGAACAAATACTATCCATTGTAATAAGAACCTGAAATAATATTACAGTACCCTTATTTGTTACCAAGTGTCTGCAGCTTATGAGATAGCAGATTTTTGCATCATCCTTGCAATCTTAATCTTCCCTTTTATGTTCAGTCTGTGCACCAACTAGAAGGACTGAGATAAGGACCAGGAAAAAATTATCATGTGAAAGGGGATAGTGACAATCTGCCATTAGACATATGTATAAGAATACTTAAGTGCAGTGGACAAATTAAGAATTCATAGGCAGCCTAAATTTCCCTTTCTTTGACTTTGAGGAAGGTGTGATCCAGAATGGCAGATGGACAACAGAGCTCCTATTTGAACTGCTGCCATTGAGGGAAGTCATTGGCAGTCATTGAGGGAAGAAAGGAACCAGTGTCACCTATCCCATCAAATCCAGCCCCAAACATCTCCTTTCAAGCTCGGGGGCGGGTGTCTCCTTAAGGTGTTCCTGAAAGATTGCAAGGCTTTTGACTCCAATGAACACAGCCCATCCAGCTCTCAACTCCTCCGAGAAAGACTTAGTATGGTCTAAAAGCAGGTTATGCATTTTATTTCTGATAGAAAATGAGCCTGCTTCTTTTCACCACCTGTTTCATGCAAGTTCTCTGGCAGCTTCTCAGGGTTTGCTGCTGTGGCCTCTGCTGCTTGCCCAGACCTTGGAAAGTCCTTAGCAGTCGGTCAGTGCTGCTCAAGGAACTGATATTAAAAGAAAGATAAATAGTGAATTTCATAGCTTGTGTATCAATAGATAGACACTCAAGTTTGTGGAAAAGAAAAAGAATGTCCATATTCATTTTTGACTAGAAGACTATAGGAATTAAAGTAAATTTGGAATAAAAAGACAGTGTAACAGGGTGGAATTTTTAATGGTGTTTCAGTATGGTATTTTTAAGAATCTTTCAAATTGATATACTGACCATAAGTTTCTATTACATTAGATGATATTTGGTTTCCTAGGTTTTTCTTTTCGCCTGTTATTGCTGTGGTCCACTTGCCTGTTCCACATGATTTTTCCTACTATTAAGTAACTTAAGTGTTGACAGTTAATACAGTAACTAGAGTGGATTCATATTTTTCTTCTTACCATATGCTCTTTATGCCTGTTAAGCATCATTAGTTTGTTTTGACCATGTGAAAACATAACTGTCTCATTTGTTCTGTCTATATCTTAATCACAGGAAAAAATGACACATTGCAGCTAACATCCAGGATTAAATTAATTCCTGTTATAATTTCATTGGTATCAGGAGAGCTTTACCAGTTGTAGATTGGCCCCACTCATTAGGCTGCTATAGGATAAATCAAGCAGGATAGCCAATGATGCCAATGTGTTTTTCCCAAAGCTGTGCTTTGCATTTTACAATAGTTTTCTGGGATCTTCTGACATCTGTAAGGGAGACAGAGCAAAGAGATGAAATCTTCCAGTTTGGTCCTGTTCTAGAGATCTCAGAATCAGAGAGAGCAGTATCTATCCAAATTATTCATGTCAAAATGAGAGCTAGATGATTCAGGAGGAATGTCTACTCAGAAATTTAATAAGAGTCATGGAAAAAAGACTCTTTTCCAATGGTATATCTTGCTGAGGTTCCTTTTTATATCTTGCTGAGGTTCCTTTTTTCCTTTTTCTGTGTTGTGCTGCTTCTCAGCATGTTGGCAAGAAAAAAAAAAACATGTCTCTTCACAGGCTGAAACTACATCACACTCAAGCTAGAGAGGAGACTTTTGTCTTCTCTCTCAAAGATTTCTGTCTAGGTAAAAAAAAAAAAAGAAAAAAAAAAGAAAAAAGGTTATTCAAGATAAAGCTGAGGTAAAGTTCTTGGAATGTGTACCTATAAGTATGTGTATTTCATATTTATATGTGTATATGTATTTACGAATACACGTGTACATGCAGATATTTATGCATGGTATAATTTGGGACACTAATTATAAACTTGGGCCTTCAAGACTGAACAGTTTATTTCAAAAAAAAAACAAAGGTAGTTTCAACCTAAGCTTGCGACATTGGGTTTTACTGCTATAACAAAAGTTAGAATAATTCCAGGGCATGTGAAGTTAAGAAAAAGACAATATTGTGCAGGTATCAGTTACTGTGAAAATGTCTTTTCTCTGTTTGGGGTTTTCTCACTATTAATCAAAACGGCATAGACTATAGAGTTCTCTTGTCTAGGTTCTGTAGGCCAGATCATTGTAATGCAAAGCCTGACCTATTTATTGCAGCATTTCTTCTCAGTGCCTAAGGTTTTTGTCTGCTTGAATACAGCCCACATTCTCATATCACTTCCTGAGATGGGATTTTATAAGCATGAGAAGAGAGCACATTCAACTCTAGGACGAGAAACCTGTAAAATATAATCTGATCACAAAAGAGCACTCTTTCGTCTGCTTCTGTAGCTTCAAACTGGGCTGGGTACTTCACTGAAGGAGAAAACGTTAAACCGAGACCTTGACCACCTGTCGTTAAAGATCCCTATTTTTCTTGTTTTGTTGTTTTCACAAGAAGGGGTGTGTTAATCTTCCTGTTCTGGCCAGACTCCTATGTGCACAGTCGTGTTTTGCATATCAAAATGACCTTCCTTCTGGATTTTAGTCTGGGCAAAGTTAGATGTAGCTCTAAAATGTAACACTGTGCTATTTCGAGACTGCTTTCTTCTGCTCTTAAAGTTTTCAATGGTAATGAGGTGACTCAAGAATTTATATCATGAATTCAATGTTTTGCAATATTTGAAAGCAATTTTCAACTTAGTTTTAATAGGCTTTGAAGGAGTTTATGAGAGCAATAAAGAGCATAGCTCTAAAACCAGTGACTGAAATTCTTGCCCTCGATCCTACTCTTTCCCACCTTGAAGGCTTGTTTTATTCATTTCCAGGGTGACTCATACCTACATTGCCTTCTTTATTTTTAATTCACTGACAATATTTCTTCTTGTTCGGGAGGAAAAGAATGTTTCTGCATCTGAAGAAGTGGAGAAAACAATATATTGCAAAGCTACTGTGTGCTGTAGGAAAAATATATTTCTGCTGGGAGTTGGAAAACTCAGCATATGTGAGGGGAAATAAGAAGGCTTATTTTTATTTTAGCTTCTGATTAGGAGTTCTGAATGGTAAATGACTCATTGTTTCAAAAGTCAGTGACTTCTTACCTAAATCTCCGTAAAATAGATTCCCCTTAGAGAGAATTCAACCTCTGTGTATCCTGCAGAAAATATTCTCCCTTAGAGACCAATGGGCTTGCCACCTGGGACCGTGATCTCCTCAGCTCTTAGAAAGTAATTGGCATTGGACTTACTTAATGCTTGGCAGCAGGAAGTGATTCAGCAGATTGAATCCATTCTTCCAAGTCCTTAATGGATCAGAGCTGCGGAATTAGACGCTTCAGCATTGTTCATCATTTCATTGATAAAATGTAAAACTCAAGCCTTTTTTTTTTTTTTTTTTTTTTTTTTTAAAAGTTAAATCTTTTTTTTTTTTTTTTTTTTTTTTTTTTTTTTTGCGGGGTGTTCTGGTGGCACTTTTAGATGGATGTGGTGGCATCTTTAGGAAGGCTGGCTGTTCGTGGTGCCCCAGTTTTGAAACATATCTCAGAAATAAATCTTAGATCCGTTGATACAATCTTCTACTCTCCTCAGCAAATAGATCATATAAACTTTTTCTTAAGGGGACTATCAAAATCAAACAAACAAAATCCACCCAGATGGGTATTTTCCAACCATTATTTCCACTAGCAGGGTCATCTAAAGTCTTGGCCTGTATCTGTTCAAAACCAATAGATACATCTTTGTTCTTTGTGCCAGTATTGTTTTTCAGTCCCTATGGTCTTGTCATCTTACATGGACATCCAGAAGCTACAGTCTACATTCCTGTGTTTTACCAAACCCTCTTATGTTTTCCCTTTGTAAGCATGTGGTATCCTCCATTACCAATCATAAACTTGAACATTTTGTGTTTACAATATTAAACAGCAGGTGTTTCACCTCAAAATTGCAGCTTTCTAGCAAGAGATAAAATGATCCTTGAAGTGTATAGCATAACGGAAGCTTCATCTTGGCTATGATTTACTCCTACTAACAGAATACAGATAAGTAAATAATTAAATCCTGGTGAAAAGGCTGTGTAGTTCATAACTTCTTCATGTGAGTAAAGGGATTACCCTTTGGAGTTAGATCCCTCCACTCACAAGACTTCTTTTTTATAAAAGTCAGAATATGAGGGTCATGGTTCACCTGGGTTTGGATGTGAGAAGCTACACAGCTCATCTCTGCCCTGTTTTTGCCAGCCATGTATAATACTACATCTGTCCTACCACAGTAATCAATAATTAAGTTTGTAGAATGATGAGATTTATGAATATTAAAAAGGAATTGATTTGGACTAGAATATAGTAGTTATTTTAAATATACTTTCTCTTTTCTTGGATTGCAACAGCCACCTAAAACATGAATGTGTCTGGCACAAATTGAATGCTTTTATAGAGGATTAAACCTCCAGAATTTGCCAGGGCATTTGAGGTGGAAGTTAGCAATATTCATTATGCTATCTTGAGGTTTGTATAATGCAAGTTATGTGCTAAATAGAACACCAAAGAATTCAGGAGAAGATAAATTTCCTGTAAACAGATATAATAAGAAAGCAGTTGCTAAAGGAGCCACAGACTGTGAGACGAAAAGACAAAAGTTCAGGATCTTTTTTTTTTGCAGGCTTGTCTGCATGAGTTTAGTGTTGTATGAGAGTCTAAAAATGAAAGCTGAAAAAGGGCCTTAAACAAGTTATTAGAGAGACATTGAAATCCTCTAAGTCCTTTTGTAACATGTCTTTTAACATCAATGTAGTGCAAAGAATGCAGCCTTAAGGGTTTTTTTGATGTCCTTTTATGTCTTTTTTGGGGCTATTTCTTGAGAATTAATGAAATCTGTAAAAACATGGATCCTAAATGCTGCAAATTGAAAAATGAAAATGATGAGATATCTATGGTCTAAAATTGTAAATACAGATGGTGAAGAGTGGCATGTTACATATTCTTTAAGCTTTGAAAACAGCAAGTGAAAAACAGAACATGATTTTTGTCTGCTGAGTGTCCTTTTAATTTCACGTTGTGCAAATAGCTTTGATGTGAAGATTTGGTGATAAAGAAAGTAAGATGATGGAAGAATCTTTAAATTGCATTATGTTACTCATGTTACTCTGCTAACATCAGCCATGAGCAAGGAGAGGATAGTAAGCAGAAGATAACAGCAAGAAAGAGTTTATGGCGATTACTGCTTAATTCAGTTATTGGTTATTAAATTAAAAATCATCAGGAGCAAAAATAATTTGGATTAAAAATGAATGTAACTTCCATCCCTTATTTGATTTGTTGTAGGAAGGAATAAATGCAGTAATTTAATCACTGACATAGGAAGATTTCAGTAATTCTTACAGTAATAAGGAAAGCTCAGATATCAGTGAGGCAGCAGAAGAAAGCCCAAGGCACACCCGCTAACATGAAAGATGACTACAGCTAAGAGTTTGGGTATTTAGAGAAAGCTATTGACATTTTAAGTACTAGCGTGTGCTGTGTGAGCTGTGATATTCACCCTCTGGTCATGTGGATAGCTAGATCCACATATTTATTTCAGAATAAGTGGTAGGGAATGACTCAGTAGAAAGAACAGCATAGGCTTTCTTTTCTTTGTGACCAATTTTATTGCTGACTTTATTCATTTCTAGACTATCACATCTTGTCAGCGAAATTTAAACAGATTGTGCCACTATGAAGCCTCTAGGTATTTGTGGGGCTCCTGGCTTCTATTTGTGAGTGGTTAACACACAAATACACAGATATTTACCTGCAGCTAAGCCAAATTTTGCCATGAGAAACGGAATAAGAATCCCTACAACATTAGACCATCTTGGAAGATTCCCCAGGTTGGCAAGTACTGACCAGGTTAGAAATGACACTTTGTAGGTTAGAAATGAGAGTAGATTCTTCTTCGGCAAAGTTCTTTTCATATTATTTTCTTTTGTCCTTAGCTGCTTTTTCTTGTCCACTTCTTATATATAGAAACATATTAGTGTTGGAAGTCCTGAGCTGATATTTGGTAACTAATTTCCGCTTCCCCTGCTGACTTGCTTTTCAATCTTTGCTTAGCCTATTGCGCCTTCTCTGAGATGATCCCATTTATGAAATCAATATTGCGCTGCCTTTCATCTACCCTTTCTCTTGCGTATTGTGACTGTGTGCTCTTTGAGGGGAAAAACATTTAACTAGTTTTTCTCCAGGGCCTATTTCAGCAGGACTTCAAACTCAAACAGATCCTCTAAGTGAGAGTCTAAGTAAGACCACACTGATGAACAGTCCGTATTTTTCAATCCATTTCCTATAGTGTGCAAGAACTAAATCAGCAAGATTATTCTAATGGGAATGCAAATATAAGTAGTCAGAGTGTTGTATTAACTAACTCGATTAATGTATACTAGTATGACAAATTCCAGATAAAACTATAATCCTGTTTCAAATATCTACTTGGCCATCTTACCCAATAAAAAGATGGAGTGGTATCACCTCTTCCTCAGGAAAGCATCAAGCAAAAGCCTTCTTCTTCTGATTGTGTTTTCATGGATAAAGAAGACTAATAAAGGAACATCCGTTAGTGTGAGCAATGGTCTACGTTCCTGAGTGCTGTGGATTACCATGTTTCTCTAGTCAACGGAGCTTTGTGAAAAGTGGGCTGGCTGCCACATCAAAGGATATGGAGTTACTATTCTTACTTACAATCTTTCTGGTTCTGGGCACTAGCTTGGAAGTCCAAAACTTACCACCCCTCTGTGCACAGGCCTCCCCATGTCCTTTACTGAAGCATTTTACCTCTGTGTGTCTCAGTTCTGCATCTCTAAGGTAATGATGATGGTGCTGTTGTATTCTGTAGAAGTTTGGTGTGAATAAGTGCTTTGAAGAAAGTGGTTTTCTGTAATATTATAGGAAGGGGAAAGTAATCACCCATGAAATACAGAAATGACTGTGTATACAAATGGAAAATCTTCATTCAAGTAGTTTTCTTTGGCATTATGCTGATGGGCTCCTGAGTGAACTTTAAAAGTTCTAATAAAGTATAAGAAATTTCAAGTGTTTTGTTATTTTTGTTTGGGGTAACTTTCACTTGATCAGCAAACTTTAAAGGTGAAAGGTTTGCTGGTGTGACTGCTGTGAATACTTAAATAATAACTGTTACTTCAACCTTGCTTTTTATGGCTATTCTGCTGTAGGTTAAGAGTTTTTTTTATGTTAAAGCATAAGATTTGATAAAATGAATTGTTTTGAAGAGGCATACATAAATCTTGTCTTCATCAAGACGCTAAGCAGCCTTGCCCCAGATCTCTGTGCAGCCCAAAATATCACCTAGTAGATTTAAGAGTGCAAAATAATTTGTTTTGTTCCTTCAGTGTTGTAAATGTGAGAACTGTGTCTAATAATCTGCTCCTTTCTCCCTTTTCCCCCCCCCCCCTTTTATTTGTATATCCTTTAGAACCCCTTCCTGTGAGCAGTGTTTCTATCTATGATTACAAACCATCTCCAGAAACAGGAGTGTTGTTTGAAATTCAGTATCCAGAGAAGTACAATGTTTTTACCAGGGTAAATATAAGCTATTGGGAAGGAAAAGACTACCGAACAATGCTGTACAAAGGTAGGAAGAAACTATTCCAACAATACTCAATGATAAGTCTACTGAAAACAATGGTTTAAGTTGTACTTTTGGTGTCTGTTGTTTATGATGATTTATTTTTCTGGTAGCATGCCTGTTTATTTGATAACATTTACATCATAGAATAAAAGATAGGTCTTCATAGTTGAGCTGAAGGTTTATACCTACTTCCTATCCCAGGCTTAGGAATATATCATTTTTGGGGGATTTTGAAAGACTGGAAGGCATGGAATGTTTTTCATCAGTCCTGAAGTCAGCCTGAGAAAGGATGCTCAATTTATATGGTTCTCAAGTAATCATGACTACTAAAACCATCAAAACTTTCCACATATTTTTTTGCTGCTGATGCTGCTCTGTAATCCAAAGAGCAGAAGAGGGGGAGGAAAAAAATGCCAAAACGCAGCAGGAAGGACATCAGTACATTTTGGCTTTATAGATACATTTGTTGGATTCCCTGGAAGACATTTTTCAACTGAAATTCTTAATAAAGTTTCCACTTCCCTCTGGTCAGGATTTCTTCTTATTAAAACTGCTCAGCAATTTCTCAGCTACAAAAGGCAGAAAAAAACTGGAATTCCCCAGATCTGGGAAACAACTTCAGTATGCCTGTTGCCTTGTGCAGGTGTTCGAAGCTGGTACTTCTTTGTCATCACATTGTGAAGGGCTGAACATCAGAATTCTCAGCTGAGCACCCGATTTGGAGGTCCAGGGCTTGTAAACTCTCGACAGAGTCAGCAGAGGGAGATAGACACCTCCAGAAGCAGGGCTTAAAATTTTGGTGTCCCTTTCCTTCAGTAGAAAGTGGGATGAGAATACTGTTTTCAACTCTGTGAAGTCCCTAACGATAGGAAAGCTGATTCTGGATCTTAGCACTAAACACAGGCTCATTACCGAGAACAAAAGTGATACTAGCAGCAATTTTTTTTGCCTGACAAAGCTGATACATGGTCTCAGGGTTTGTAACCCTGCTGCTGCTGCTGCTGAAAAATGAAAAAATCAGGCTGAAATAAGCAATTCGCTAATCAGCTAGCGAATTCTTCCCCATAGCCAAATAGCCCCAAGTAACTCCCCTTCAGCCCATGCGTGCACTGATGTTAGAGATGAGCTCAGAGCTCAGTCCTGGGCCCAGCTGTGTTGTGGATTGCCCTGCGAGCATCTATCCTGAATGTAGCGTGTCGGTCAGAGAACGACCAAGGAGGCTTTGCGTGCAGCAATTAAAGGTCAGCAGAACCTGTCAGATGCTCTTTGATTATGTTTAGTGTCACATGGCTGCCAGATGCCATTCTTTTCCTGTGAAAAATGGTTCACGTATAGTTCACATTTGCTGGGAGCAAATTTTTCTCAGAAGCTGAATTGTTAGAATTCCATTTTTCAGACAAAGCTGAGCAGTGGCTAAGCAGCAGAAACGCTGTCAGGTCAGCATGTGCAGTTTGCCTTATCAGAAAGTGGATGTCTGATGTCTTTTTTTTTTTTTTCCCCTTTCTTCTTTTCTTCCTCTTTTTAAACCTTCTGCAGACTTCTTTAAAGGTAAAACAGTTTTCAATCACTGGCTACCAGGTATATGCTACAGTAACATCACATTTCAGCTGGTATCAGAAGCAACCTTCAACAAAAGCACGCTGGTGGAATACAGTGGGGTCAGTCATGAACCCAAACAGCACAGAACAGGTGAAGAAAATGTTCAAGTACCCTTTGCTCTAAGTCTGTACATCTGTCTGCACTCCTTTCTGCCATGGGAGGGGATTGATCCTCTGTAGAGAGGAAGGTCTGCATGGGGGCAGCTCCTGCCCAGGAGCGCGGGAGGAGGATGCTTGGGCTGGTGCTGGGAAGGCAGGGCTTACATTTGTGTGTGCAGTCCTGTGCAAAGGGTAGCTTGCATGAGCATTTCTGTTGAAAAGCTTGCTTCTCAGAAAATAAATCCTACTTCACGTGAGACATCACTGGCCTTATGTGAGGCGCCCTCCCTTCACCCCTTCTGTGGGAATGGCCACTAAGCTACTATTGATCTGTTTGGTCTGCTTCCTCTCCTAGCTAAACTGCTAAAGTCTCTCTTCATTGTGCAATCCTTTATGATATAGGAGAGAAATGTGTTAGTGACCCCTCTTGGTGGTCAGTTTATGCTCTAAAGTGTGAGCTTTTAATTTTCAAGACAGCAATGCTGCAAAGACTGAAAATTGCATTTGTTCAGAGTCCAGAACTAATTTAATTTGGTGCTGGGATGGTGCCCAAAACTTTCCTGTCAATTTGTTGGACCACAGATAATTTCCAGGGTCCAACATGAAATGAACCAGGACTAAAATCAAAATGACAGATCTTAAGGCATGTGCACTGATGTTGGGTTGTTGCCTTGGAGGGAGCAAAGCCAGTTGAGGCCAGCTGGGTTCTATTGTGAAGATCCTAAATATACGTGTTGAGAGGGTGTACTGTAAGGATAGATCCAATAGAACCAAAAGGACTTCTTCCTTCTTTCTGCCCTCCTGCCCCTCACTCTTCCCATCAACAGCATAATGTTTTTGTCTCAATGGCTATGGCTGGGATAGGGGTATGAGGAATGAACATTTGAACAAATTAGTGTGATATAAGCTAAGGGGCCAGGCTAAAAAGTACCAGTCAAGACCAGTACTATCTGCACCAGTTCTGCGCATATATCAGGGATAAGAACATATAGTCAAGCAATTACAGTGGGACAGACAAAACGTGTAGGATATGTATTCATATCCTAGTATGTGTCAAAATACCATGCCCATCCTAGCATGATCATCTCGTATGTACCAGAATCTTACCTTTCTTTAGGAGACCCCAAATTTAAGATCAAGCTTTCACAAATACTAAAATTTAAATCAATTTCATGTGTTTGTGAAAAGGTGTCTACAAAATACATGTGAAAAGCCTTACTGAAATCTGGTGTGCATGCCTCTGTGCATCAGTTTTGCCACATGTTACTTTTGTATGGGTTTTTCGACTCACTTCTGCAGACATATTTTTGCATGATGAAAAGATTCTAGAGATTCCAGAAGGCAAAATAAAATAAATGAAGTTTCAGTCTTATAGATGCACACCTTGCTGCTCTGTGAGCAAAGAAATACAATTTTTTTCATACACTTCATATCTACATTACATCATGGTATTCTCCAGTCCTGACTCTACTGTCCATTTGCATTAATCTTGATCTCACTAGTATCACTTGTGCTATAAGTATATGGAAGACAAAGAAGAACCTTAATATGAAGAAATTATTTCAAAATAACCCTAGATACTTTGTTTTGCTACAAATATATGTTGTTTTTCTAGGGAATTGACATATCACAACGTTCATTGAACACACTGATGAAGACTAACTCTTGCTTCTCTTTTAGCTCCTTATCCACCTCGAAACATTTCTGTCCAGATTATACCAATCAATAGAAACAACTGGGAAGAGCACAGTGGAAATTTTCCAGAAGAATCATTCATAGGACCACAACATATAATAGAGAAAGAGAAAATCAGCCATTTTTCTACTGAAACACCTGAAACGCTAACAGCAAACACATCTTCTGGCTGGCCAGATTACCACTATAACAGCACCAAGGATGAAGCTACATCTCAGCCATACTGGTGGTCTAACGAAGCTGAATCATCAGAGGGCGAAGAGGAGTTTGTCAACGCTACTCCCAAAGATTATGAGACCAGTGAAGGGAATTTGTCGGCAATGCTAACGCCAGAGCCACCCTCTTTCCTTCCTGTACAAATGGTGCTCACTTGGTTACCACCAAAGCCTCCGACGGCGTTTGATGGTTTCCATATCAATATTGAAAGGGAAGGTAAACACTGTTTTCGTAACCCTTTTTAGAACTTCACTGTTGCATTTGTCCTCTTTGAATTATTAGTTACCTCATACCGTGCCTCAGAAGCACAGCAAGTCTCCCTTTGTTAGGTTTCCTGCATTTCTTAAGAGGTTTTGTGTAGTGGACAGTATTTCTTTCTGGATGGACTTCATAAAAATAAGGGGTGAGGAGTAAATCATTGAATGCAATTCTCCTTTGTTAAACAAGATTTATATTAGTATACATATTGCTGCACTGTTTTTACTGCAGTTATTGTAAATCCATTGCAGTATTGGAGAAAGGAGAAACAAGAGAATAGAAATTTGAGATGAAGAAGGTATTTTGCATCATGCAGCTTTGGCCCTGAAAAAAGATTCTCAGGGATACATAAGCAAGAAAGGAGCCTGTAGAAAAGAATTTCTTTATATGTATTAACAGTCGTCTCAGAGGGAAGCTACAGAAAATATTCCTTAGGCTACAAAATGTTTGTGATGGAGAATGCAGAGAATTTTCAAGGTACATAGCTACAAGAGAATAACTATGTCATTTACACATTTTCTGTTTCAGTATCTTTTCTCTCCAAGTTACTTTTACTTCAAAAAAAAAAAAAAGCAGTTTTGATAATCTTTCTCACACTTAGGGCAAATATGTTTTTGCAGAATAATAAAGCAATACATGGAAAACTAGAGGCTCCTTTTTCTCCATGCTGTGCTGTTTTTTATTTGCGCAGTCATGGCAATTCTATTTTATCATCCCTGTTACTAAATGAAATTTTGACCAGGCTTTATTGTTCCTTTACAACTATCCAGCAACCTTAGTCATTAATTACTCTCGTGCTGATGGCAAAAAATAAAACTATATGCATAAATCCAGTTCATTTAGATACCTTCTAATCCCAGAGCAGAAACAATATTAGCATTTCTGACATAAGTATTTTTTTCTCTCTCAATTTTATTTGAAATTTAAATAATCCACACTACTTCTTTCTCCTGATTTAGAGAACTCCACAGAATTTCTGACAGTGAGCGAGGACACTCACAAATTTGTTGCTGAACTGAAAGAACCAGGAAAATATAAGTTGTCTGTAACAACATTTAGTTCTTCTGGTTCCTGTGAAGTTCGGGAAAGTCAATCAGCAAAAACACTTAGTTTTTACATCAGTAAGTATCTCAGCAAGTCTGTTTCACCCAGAGCAATGTAACTTTAAAGTACTTACGTTTTGACGAGTAAAACCTTGTGGCCTCTGCTGCAGTATCAGCAGAGTTTGGTCTTTGGGAATTTTCCTATGCCAGAGAAGGAAATAAAATGGAAATATGTAAGTGAAGCTGCATGGATGGACCTGGACCATGAAGCTTCAAGGATGGACCTGGATCATGCTGTCTTGACAGAGCTAAGAACTGAAAGCTGGGGAGGATTCCCATAGAGCCATTGCCACAGTGAGCTCCAAAGTGGGTCACTGAAAAACAACCCCTTCTTGCATCTTTCAAGGAAAGAATCAGAAAATTAAAGTAGTGGTTGTAGGGGATCTTGAAAATAGCTAACATTCCTACTCCTAGAGACTGTGAGTGTTGGAGCAAGGGCAAGGTGTGAGGCAGTCCAATGGCATCTCAGGCTTATGTGTATTGCTAATAAAAAATATGTCTTTAGTAGCTCACAAATGGTACCTCTTTGGGATTAAATTCTTCATAGTGGTTAGCTACACTTAACTGACTTCCTATATCTCATCTTTATTTTTAATGACTTTACACCTGAAAGATACAGTCTTTGGAAAATAAAGAGAGAATAACATTTTCTGAAAGAAAAGTGTAAGATTTGGGGGTTGCTAGTTCAAGGATGAACTTGAATCTTATTCGTGCAAGGTATTAAGAAGTCATGGAATTAGAATTAATATTTTTATGTTACCTATAGTATATAAAGTAGGGGATTTATTTTTCAGTGAAGTCTGCACCGGTTTAGCAAGCTTTTAGAACAGCATGATAACTGCAGTTAGCCCTGCAGTTATATAGACATGCAGTTATGTTTATCCTAACAAATTCAAGATCCTGAGTATTTTAGATGGATTTTATTTGTATTTCTGATGTTATGTCAAAGGTGAGATGTGAAAGAATACAGTTAAATTTTTGTGAAATGACTTTTCTATTCCTGATAGCCTGATCAAGTAGTCCTTGTGTGGGAACCACAACTGAGTTATGATAACAAAGTTATCTTGATTGCCATCCTGTCAATTTACTGGCTTGTGTTACTCAACATTTTTGTTGTACCAAGTGGTGTCTGGATTGTTAAACATTATAGGCTAATCTTAAGATCAGTGAGAGAGCTATCAAAAAGCATTATTTAGAACTGTTAAGAAAAGTTGGTAATTTTCAAGAAATCTGAAATTTTGGCCAAGCTTAGCTGAAGTTATTTTCCAAATTGTTATTTTATCTATATTCAACCTTTTGTTCTCTGCAAGCACTTTAGAAAGTCTGAGGGAGAATGAAACTTCTCAGTGTGGCAACATCTATGAATCAGTTTTCACACTCCACTGCCATAGTACACATAGAGGGTACTTTTTGTGCATAAAGAGGGTGTTTTTGTGCATAAAGAAAGGAAATGTTTTGTGTGCTTATCCTCTAGTAATTGTCAAGAATCTATACATTAAGGGATGTCACAGATTTTAAAACATTTTTGTGGAGCAAACCATATATTTTTAGGTGGTTCCAGGTAAGCAGTAGGAAATGTTGCATTCTGAATTTTCAGAAAAGTAACATGTCTCTTGTCATCTCCTGCTGGGCTGCAAGTGCAATAGCACTGGTTATGGGCTGTATCCCTCAGGCTGCTCTTTGATGCCTGCAGGCTACACCAAGAGTCATCTCTCAGTCTCCTTCATTCATATTGAAAAATCTCATGAAAGATGAGTGGTTTTGCACAAGTATCCTAAATAAAGAGTAGAAGAACCATATGCTTTTGTGGTGTGTTGCAGGCCCCAAAGGGGAATGGATAGAAGAGCTGACGGAAAAGCCCCAGCACGTGACCGTGACGGTGCTGAGCTCCACAACTGCCCTGACATCCTGGACAGCCTCACAAGAGAGCAGTGGCAACGGTACCATCGTGTCCGTTGTCTCTCTGACCTGTCAGAAGCAAAAGGAAAGCCAAAGGCTTGAAAAACATTATTGCACTGAGGTAAAGGGCATAACTGAAGCTTCTTCAAATACTATGAAAAGAAAATATCATTGCTAGTCATCCTACTGCTTGTTATCTTAGAGCCCAAGGGCCCTGTCATGCTAAGGACTGGAAAAGTACAGTGGTTGACCGTGTCTTTTAAAATCTAAAGAGATAAGGCTGGAGAGAGCATGCAAGAATGGGCAGCGCACAGGAAACTGCGTTGGAGTTGCTTTTCTGCTGGGCTGAGGGTGGCCGATCCCTTGCTTAAGCTTTTAAATTCTGTTGTGCCCTCAAAGGCAGGAGGAAGTGTTACATCATGATATAACACTCAGACCTGTGCTCTAACCTGTTTTATTAAGGAAAGAGTACTTCTGCACGGTTATGACTGAACTTGCTTCAAATAATTCTTCTGTTTGCTACATGTGAATACAGAAACTGATTCTAAACTTGGAGAAAGCTAAGGGGTTTTCAGACTACCTGTGGCCTGAATGGACAGCAGTACTTGAGGACTGCCATGTGGGTCATGTATGTGATGATAAAGAATCCTGAACCCCAAAACACAGCACTTTTTGTTACTTGAAATCAGTAGTGGTTTCAGCCCCATGTCAAATCCTAGGGTTGCGGTGGCTTAGTGGGATGTACCTTCAGTTAGAAAAATCCACATATCCATTTCCTTGCTTGAATGCTTGCAGTTCTGTTTTCTGGGCAGTGCCACAGCTTCTGTCCTGCTCCCTAGATATGTGGGACTGACGAGTTTGAAATGCTGCCCTTAGTGCACTCGTGGGAATGGGAGAGGAGAGTTAGCAAGGCTTGTAAATCTTCATCTCCTTTAATTTGGGATTAGCCATTCAAGTTGAACTAGAAATGAATTATTAATAGGAGTTTGCATACTTTAAAGCCCTCCATTAAAATAAATCTTTGTTTTGGGTTATATTTCAAGAGTAGTCATGAACTTGCACATTTAGAGGTCTTGTAAAGAGTTAATTTAATCAAGAAGTAAAACGATACAGTAGATGATTATAAATTAGACATCACAGGTATAAAAATATTTGATTGAAGGATATAGTATGGGAGTCATCTATAAATTCAACTGTAATTACCTAAAACCTATACATGAATAATCAAGATATCTTTTGTTTATCTCAAGTAAGTAGAAAGGCCTAAATACCATTATTTGTTCCTTTTTGTCATTACAGATATTCTTACCGCCACTAATCAGATTTTATGTGATTATTATACTTGGAATTATTAATGGCTCCCTGACAAGCTGAAAAGAGAAAACTTCAGTGCAAAGTTCAATCTCTTTCAGCCATTGTTCATAAATCAAAAGAGACTTATCTTTCCAAAGCAGCTGTTAAATTCCATTCGTCACCTGGCCAGGCATCTGCCTCCAGCTTTAAGCAATATCTGGCACTTCAGAGCAAAAGTTTAATGCTGATGTTTCAAACTGAAAAGCTCCCTTAGTCAGGATTTGCCATGCTGGGCAGGAGAAATGAAAGAAAGCAATTCCTCAGCATGCAGTCATTTGACATTTGCATTCTGAAGACAGGACACCCATAACCCTGACTTCAGCTCACGCAGCTGCAGGTGAATCAGATGGCCAGTGAGAAAACTCAAGCATTTTTCAAAAAGAGACTGTCTAAACACTCCTGAATTTCCTAAACACTAAAATTCAACCTAAATAGTAATATCACCTGAATATAAATAAAGTAGCCTGAATATTTCAAAGGACTTTAAGAGTAAGAAAAAAAAATGATGCTCTGCTATCACTGAGATATAATGTAGGACATTTAAGTGGCTACTCACCACTTTCCCGCTTTAGTCATTTTGGGTCTGACGGATGGAGCTTTAGACGCTGAGTTCAGAATTATTACTTTTGTAACTGATATAGTACAAATATCATCTCAAACTCCTTTTAATGCACTAAGTAAATGCTTTATAACTGATGTGTTCCTTCCCTTCTAGGTGAATTCAAGCAACAGCCTCATTGAAAATCTTGTTCCTGGTGCCCAGTACCAGGTTGTGGTTTACTTACGGAAAGGACCGTTGGTTGGACCGCCGTCTGATCCTGTTAAATTTTCCATTGGTAACCCCCTACATTCCTTTTTTTTTTTTTTTTTTAAGGACATTCATATTATGACTTAGACGCCATTAAGGAGTGCATTCAGAGCTGTTGCACTGGTTATTTCAGATGTAATAAACCTTTACAGAGACTCTTTTCTTGGAATGCCTCGTTCTGAGGACTTCCTTCAGTGGAAGATGGGTATTTACTGTTTAGATGTTAAGTGTTTGAAATAACTAAGGAGGAATTATGGCCAGCATATAAGCACAAAGTGACCCTATGGAAGGGCCCGTCTACGTCTTTTTACACACCTAAATATATGTTAGTCTCTAGCTATGCTGATGATCCCTTTCACTTAGGGTCACTGCACTTAGCCTGACTGACTTGTAGGTAGTGTCTGGTCAATGGTACCTCCAATAGACCACTTGTTGCCCTTTCCTGTGAAATGTGTGGGACTGCATTAGGACATATATTGCAAATAAGCTTTTTTGAAGGATGTAATGTGGCCCAGCCTAAAGGCCACTGTGCTAAGGATTGGGAAAGCTGGCATACCTTTTATCGAGTTTAAAAATAGATCTTGATGTTTTATGTTTTGAGGTCTGAAGATGGAAAGAATGATGTAAGAATGAGACTGACTTTTGCCAGAATGTGGTTTTATGACCCAGAGGCAGAGCGTTTCCCTAACTGCCCATAATTCAAGATTCCATGAAGCTTCTAAATAAAGAGACACTTCGAATAGGATTTGGTATCTTTTGGTTTCAGTGTCATCTCTTTTATTAAAATTATCACTTTAACAAATTATAATAGGAAGAGAAAGGGCAAGGAGAGAGGGAGTCAGTGTACAGAATTACATTTTTAGAGAAATATTTAACCTGAGTAACCTAGTGTCTCTTTTTGACATACAGCCTGTATTGTCAGAGAGCAAGTGGCTGAAAGATAGAGGTCTCTGTTTCCTTTCTGTGATGTAGAGAAGAAAGTGAAACAGAAAAAGACCTAATTAACCTATTAAGAGTTGAATCCTGTAAATTACAGCAGATATGTGGACTAGTGAATATGATGAGAAACTTAATTCTAAACAATCTCCTTGTATGCTTTTCTAAGCTGCGCCCAAATAAGAATTTGAAAAGACAGTATCATATATTTTAGTAAAGGAAAAATGGTAAGTAAATAGACATACTATATATACTTTATTATTAAAATATATACCGCTGGATAAATTTTAAAAGTGCTTTTTTTCTTATTGTAGTTACTTCAGAAATTCTCTTTTTTTATTTCCATTTGAGAAAGTAAAATAATATATTCCCAAAGCAAATAAATTCTCATTTCCCTACTTTTATGTAGCCTCAAAGCCATAAAAATCAATTCTAAGCAAAATGTCTTATTTTTTTTTTAATATAAAAAGGATATTTTATGGAATAGAACAACAGCTGCATGAATATGAATATTCGTTTCATTACAAGATTTTATATGAGAATAGCAAACTGTACAACAAAGTGATCTGATAATTTATTGGCAGTGTTTAGTGATAAATGAAGCTGAAAAAAAAAGAAAAATTAAACTTTGAAAAGAACAGAGTTCTCCCTGTGTTTGCCCTAAGGCTCACTTTCACTGGGTAAGTATGAAAACTTAGAGAGAGGTCAGAAAAGATGTGGTTAAATGGGGATTGATTTATGAAGGGTAAGGCAATGATCTGTGCTAACACAGGCTGAAGTAATCTGGGTGCTGTTCTTGCCACACTAACCCAACGTGCAGTAGCTGGAGTTCTGCAATCCTTGCAAATGTTCACTGCTAAATACAAGTAGCCTCACTGAAATTGAGAAGAATAATTGCTTTCCAGACAAGTAGTAGTTGCAGAATTTGACCCAGGAGTGATATTTTTTCAAATGACCTGATTTCTCACTTTTCAGTTTCCTCATCTGTGAGGCAAATACAGCAATACATCACAGCACCCTCAGATTCCCTGGGAAAGGCTGGGTAGACGTTAAAAGTGTTTGCTCTTATGGCCTTTATCTTCCAAAGTGTTGTGACTTCTGTTCCTTTTGGTTTTGAGCATGAGATTAAAATAGCTCGTAAGCAGCCTAATTTTCAAAGTAGAATGTAACACTCCAGCTACGAAAAACCATTCCTTCCACTTTAGCTCAAGCAAAGCAGCCAGCACTAGTGATGTTGAGTAATTTTTAAAAAATTACACCTTATACTGGAGAACAAATGCTGAAAAATTGTTGTACATCTGATTGTGACAAGGTGGTAGGACAGGATTAACCAGTCAGGAGCAAAATAGATTGAAGTAGGTTAAATAAAGGTGTAATGCAACCATGTGATTTAAAAAAAAAGTAATTGATTAAAATAATAATAATAATAGTTATAGTAAAACATAACTAACTGCTGTTTCTGGTCTCTAGTGCCCACTGGAATAAAGGATTTGACACTTTACCCTTTGGGACCTACTGCTGTGGTTTTGAGCTGGAACAGACCTTTACTTGGGGTGTTCAGGAAATATGTTGTAGAAATGTTTTACTTCAACCCATCAACGATGACCTCTGAGTGGACAACCTACTATGAAATAGCAGCAACCATCTCCTTAACTGCCTCAGTGGTAACTGAATCTTGCTTTCCCATGTGTGTATAGCTCTTGCACTCCATGATGTTTCTTTGTCCAGCTTTTTCCTCATGTATATGTATATACACCTTTATACCCTGAACATTGTCCCAAGAAAAATAAAGAAAATGACCAGGATGCAAGAGGCATTTTCTCTTCTCAAGTAAAGGAATGGGAACTGAACCATCGTAAAGATTTCCATGTCTTCCTAGAGAAGATGAATAGATTTCAGTCAGAAACACACTGACTCACAGAATGACAGAATGGTTGAAGTTGGAAGGGTCCTCTAGAGATCATCTAGTCCAACCCCCTGCTCCAGCAAGGAAACCCAGAACCTGTGGCACAGGGCTGCATCCAGACAGGTTTGGAAGATCTCCAGAGAAGGAGACTCCACAGCCTCCCTGTGCAGCCTGTTCCAGGGCTCTGCCACCCTCACTGTGAAGAAGTTCTTCCTCACATGGAGATGGAATTTCCTGTGTTTCAACTTGTCCCCATTGCCCCTTGTCCTGTCAGTGCCCACCACTGAGAAGAGTTTGGCCTCTGCTCCCTACATTCACCCTTCAGGTACTTACACATATTAATCAGGTCCCCTCATAACTTTCTCTTCTCCAGGCTGAACAGGCCCAAATCAGTCTCTCCTCGTACGATAGATGCTCCAGTCCCTTAATCATCTTTGTCACTCTTATGCTGCACCCTCTCGAGAAGCTCCACGTCCCTCTTATACTGGGGAGCCCAGAACTGCACACACTAGTCCAGGTGCGGCCTCACCAGAGCTGAGTAGAGGGGCAGGATCCCCTCCCTTGACCTGCTGGCAACACTCCTCCTGATGCAGGCCAGGATCCCATTGGCCTTCTTGGCCACGAGGGCACACTGCTGACTCATGGTTAACTTGGTGTCAACCAGGACTCCCAGGTCCATCTCCGTGGAGCTGCTTTCCAGCAGGTCGATCCCTAATCTGTCCTGGTGCCTGGGGTTATTCCTCCCCAGGTGCAGGACCCTGCACTTGTCCTTGTTGAACCTCATAAGGTTCCTCTCTGCCCAACTCTCCAGCCCGTCCAAGTCCCTCTGGATTGCAGCACAGCCCTCCAGAGTGTCGGCCACTCCACCCAGCTTGATATCATCCACAAACTTGCTCAGGGTGCATTCTGACCAAATCATTGATGAACAAGTTGAACAGCAATGGGCCCAGTGCTGACCCTTGTAGGACATCACTGGCCACAGGCTTCCAACTGTACTCGTCCGCATTTATAACCACCCCCTGAGCTCTGAGTTCAGACTTTCCCCTTGCACAAAACCGTGAGCAGTTTTTGCTGAAATTAGTTATTCAGAAACTTATGAGTATGCAAAAAGGATAGCAATAACTTTTGGTGCTTGTGAAAGCTGTATTGATTTACAGTTTTTCATTTGCATAATGCCATTTGTGTAGTCATTTTACCAACAGAGGCTTAACTATAATTGGTACAAGACTATAAATTTGCCATATAAATCTCCAAGGAAATTAAAAGTAAAAATTGTTTACCAGATGAGTAATTAATATCTTGTAATCATGACTCAGCACAATTAGATTAATACTTGAGTGAGCCAAGTCATATTTAAAGGAATACTGTCTTCAGGAGTTAATGTGGTTCATTAGAAAATGAGATCATTATTGTCGCAAATCCTGTCCAGAGAAACCAAGGGAAGTTGAACTCCTTTGTCTGTCTGAACTCAGTCTCAATTACAATGGTGCTATATTGCAATGAAAGTGTGTGTTTCTTAAAAAAAAAAAAATTATACATTAAGTCTAAATTAGAAATGATTTTTGTTTCCTGTTTCTCTGTTATGGCGTTTAGCAAACAAGTATGTTATGGTGAGCTTTTCTTTGAGTTCCCTAGCAATAAGTCAAATAGTTTGTGTCAGAATGCTGTCAAGTCCCACAGATTTCCTTATACTCATTAAATCATTTAGCCTCTAAGTGATATATTCTGGAGCAATGATATGAAGCCCAAAGAGGAGGCCAGGGACTCGAAAATCAAATTACCTGACTTTGATCAGAAAATATTTCCTGAAGGGGTATCAGTTGGCCAGGAGTCTTAGATTACTTTGGATTGCCTCTCCACTGTGTTTACTTGCTTGGTACATTTTGTGCTTTGCAGTGTATTTTAAAATAGTCAAAGCAACATTGATATTATTAAAAAGCACCCTGGGGCAAGCCAGACAATTCTAGGCTGCTTGTTGCTTTCAGTGTTAATTAGATGACCCTGCTCTAAAAAACATAAAGGGAATATTCTGCAAACTCTGTTTTTGGGCTGCCTTGTAGCATCTGAAAAAAAAAAGGCCTCGCGATGAGCAAAGCTCTTTCAAAATGGCATTTTTTTTTAATTTCATACAAATTTTCATTATTTTCAATTTGCTTTAAAATGGAAATACAAAAATATAATGGGTTTTCCTTTAAATGTGAAATTAGATATTTGAAATGTTTTGTGCTATCATTGAAAGTATTTGATTTTTAATTTAAATATTAAAAATGACATTGCCATATAAAATACATTGTATTTTATACTTCATTTATATCTCATTTATATTTATACATATATAATTTAGATCTCATTTATAACTCATATTTCATTCATATATCATTCATAATAAATGATAATACAATATGAAATGCACTTTCAAAGTGGGAAAAAAAGGGTTTTGAAGTGATGATATCTGAGTGAGAAAAAATATGAAAATATGTTTCTAATTTATCCTTCAAACACATTTCACTGAGAAAGAAAAGTCCACATACTCCTGTTAAGTATGCTGTTTCCATCAAAACTATTTTTTTTGGTAGAATAATGTTCTGTAGGAATTGTTCTGACTGCCTTGGAAAGGTTCTAGTGTAGAGGGACCGGGAACACAGGTATATAAATGGGCAGCAGAGCTGTCACAACCATGTTTGGTCTCCATACACAGATTTTTTAATAGATTCAAGCCCCAAATTACACAGGTTCACTGGATTTGATAACAATTTTATGTGAACGATGCTTATAAAGGACCATAGGGTGACAATTTCCCAAAAATACAGCGTTCTTGGTTGTCTGGCTTGAATTGGGCAAGACAGGGGAGCAGGTTACTACCTCTTTACTAATGCATTTTCTTCGTTCCTGTTTGTCTCTCAGTCGTGTGAGAGACACAACAATTCCCTCAAATTCAAGATGGGGTTAGGGACCATCTGGAGAGAAGAAGGGGAGTTCAGCAAATCTGTGCCTGCCTATGCATATAGCTGTGTAACATAGGTGTTGTCTGTCTGTCCTTGCGCTGGTGGCTTCTCTCCTGAGCAGCTCATCCTCTTTGTCACTTTGCAGAGAATAGCCAACCTGTTGCCGGCCTGGTATTACAATTTCCGGGTTACCATGGTGACCTGGGGGGAGCCTGAGCTGAGCTGCTGTGACAGCTCCACCATCAGCTTCATCACAGGTAAGACCTCGTGCCACAGCCGCTCCGTGGAGATGCTCATGGGAGCAGAAGTGCTGGGAGGGCCTGGCTTCACTACTGCCAGATATTTGCCAGTTAGGATACTTAACAGATAAGCTGTTTTTTATTATTATTTGTTTGTTTTTTTTTAAGGAAAGCCTTAAGGACCACTTCAGTTCCTTCTGTAATATTTTCCTATGCAAAGTATAGTGTTTTTTTTTTTTTTCCTGTGCTCTTTAGTCAGCTGTACATCGGCTCCAATGAGGCTCTTCATTCCTTCTTGTCTTTTACAACATTGTACATTTACCCATTGAGGAAGAAATGAGTAAATTAATTGTATGAACTACTAAGTTTGCTAATATTAAAAAGAAAAATGTCAATGTCTCCAAATGCTTTTTCCTGTATATAATCTATAGGTCAGATGGTGACTTCTGTAGTGTTTTAGTTCATATGTGGTAGAATTAAATATTCTCATAGTATGTTGTGCAGCATGTTATTCTCATGCTCTAGCCTTGTATTATCTACCAGGTATTCCTGTTCATGCACAGTCAGGAAATAAGGCTGCTTCTTTGGTCAAAACATTGCTCCTGCACTGGTTAAAATGGACTTGGGAAACTGCATGGTGCTGGCAAGTCATTTGCCATCCAGATTCTTAGCTACGGTAAACTAATAGATCCACATTGATTATTGTCTTTTAGTGGGAAAAAACCTCTTTGTGTTTAATACACTCCACTGTCCCTCAACAGATACTTGGAGTTCAAATTTTCAATATGTCAAATTTTCAATATGTCAAATATATGTCAAATAGGTGTGGACTAGATGCAGACAAATACAGACTAGAATACAATAGATCCCGTTCAGCCCTTGCAGTGTATTCCTAGGATCCAGGCTATGTAATTCAAAATTCCCGATTGAATAGTTTTGCTTTTATGCTTTTATGCTTTTCGCTCACCTTGCTGAAGTATAGCTGACTGAAGGCAGTAAATAATTCATATGCACCGTAAGTGGAAATAGAGTGTGAAGCATTCTTATTTTCCAGCTGTAGAAATCACATTATGAGGAAAATCAGCCTGTCTAGCCCAGGCTACTCCCTCCAGAACAGATACTAGCCTAGCCTCAGATTTTCTGTTTGGCAAAAGCATAAGAGGATGTAATTGAGGGAGGAGGTGAAGAAGACTCATTTGCAGTGATGGTTAATGTAGTGCCTGGATCCATGAGAGATGAATTACCACTGAGTTAAATCTCCAGTAAAGTTGGTAGAAATCCAATCTATCTCCAGTAAAGTGGGAAGAAACCCTCCCATCCAGAGATGCCTGATCCCATACTGGACTGTTGAGGAATTCGGGCACTTGTTCAGTGCCCTAGAAATTCCTCTGTCCTTTCTCCTCCTCGAAGCCTCATGAAGATCTGCAGTGACATCTGTTATCCTTTGGCATCTGTAATTTTTTTCTCTTTCATGGTAATGAAGTCATTTTTGACTAGTTGGTTGCTGTATGAGGGGAGGAATGTGTCTCTTCACAGCTTGTCTGGGCACGAGCTTGAGCATTTCACAATGGAAACATTCCAGTGGGGCCTGTACACTTCAGAAAGCTGCAGCAGAACTCAGTGAGGTTAAGTTTATTATAAAATATAAATGTTCATTATAATCAATCTGCATGTCTGCACAGGGAAAGCGAAGACTGTTACAGCTATTAGATGAAAAAATGAGCAGCTCCTTATCTAGTACATGTAGATAAAGTCAGAAATGGATGAACATCTTAGATAAGGTCATCCATTTGTGATTGGCAAAACCTTCAGAAATGGTGTTGGGGTTTAGAATGAAAATATCCAGAAAAGGAGGTCTCACCTTCGCAGGTGAGATGTACCACTGCTTAGTTCCTCCTATTATTAGGAGTTTACCTTTTATTTCTGAACTTTTTCTTTTCTGGATTTATTATGAAGTCCATGATTCTTACTACACTTTTATTGACTGAAGAACCTCAAATGCATTTTTTTGTCTACACAGAATTTAATTTCAATCTTTGCCATTGATAAATTGCAGCCATTTAACTGTTCAAGTCTTCTCATAATCAGGCAGTTTTCTGTGTTATGGTTTTCCCTCCTCTCCCTCTCTAATTTTAACTGTCTTTTCCAAAGTATGTTAACATTGAAATTGTAGTACAATCTCCTGAATACTTGCTACAGAGGCAAAATTGGCATCCTATTCAATGCTCTACTGTTGCATATCTAGGTGATTACATTTGCTATGGCATCACATTATATGTCTATATTGAATTACTTCTAAGCCTTTCTTTGACGAGCTTTATTCTAGAATATGTTATTCAAAAAGGCTTGCCTGCAGCCTTTTTTTTTCCTTCCTAAATAATCAGCTTTACACCTGGAACTTGGAAATACATTGGGTTTGAGCAAGCACAGGATAGCAGCAAATCAAATCACAGTGCTGCCCAGATCCTCTCCTCCTCTGCCAGTTGCCATGCTGTTTGTATGGTTTATCAGCAGTGGTTTTCTTTTTAGTTTATTGATGAAAATGTGGGACAGCAATGAGCACAGTGCTTTTCTTGAACAGCCCTAACAAACAAATCCGATTTGATCAAATCACAAGTGCTTATCAATGGAATCATCACTGATTCTATTTAAATGTGTTAAATACCTTCCTGTCCTCTAATTGTCTTATTAATTGAATTAATTTCCATTTTGTCTTGGGACAAATGTCTTGTCTTCAGCTCACTGGCTGTGATTACTGAGGCCGTACCGTAACAGAAGCACTGGCGTATTTTTAATACTTCTGCCCTCTTCTGACCTCTTTGTGGTGACTAAAGGCTCTTAGAAGCTAGCCTCTGGAGCAAAGTCTTCACAATGTCTTTGCAGTGAGATCAGAGCGCACCAACCACTTCCCTAATTCAGAATCCCATCGCTTGTGTGAACTTAATGAGAGCACCTGGAATACAAAAGCTACCAGAAGAGACTAGGTGATAGATTGCTCTCTCCCACAACATGTGTTCAGATGTCTTGAGGTGGGTGGGAGGATCAGGGGGAACTGAAGCTTTCCCATAAGTAAATACTTCATGAGAAACAGCCAGGCTCCTGCAGCAACAGTTGCCTACTGCTGCAGTGACATATGGAGACTGCCAGGGTAGCTGTGGTGATTGATGAGGTTTTGATGGCACCTGCTGTAAACAGCTGGATTTAAAACAAGAGCTTTTAAGATGTCCTTTTTTGTTTGTTTTTTGTTTTTGTTTTTGTTTCCCTTGACAACGAGTGCTTTTAGTTTTGGAACAGCAAAAAATGTAGGAAAGGTAGACTATCAGTGCCGATGAGTACAATCACATCTGTTTTTACCCTGGAGCTGTTGTCTCCAACAGCAAGTGCTTTCAGCTGTCACTTCCAACCAGGTCAGCAAAGGGATTCAAGTTCATACAGTGTCTCTGTGCACGTGGGCTTCCAGTGGCTCAGGGAAGTCAGGCACAGAAATCACTTCCCAGGTCTGGTCTTGTCTCTTCTGCACATATCCTGCTTGTTCATTAGTTAAACTAACAACTGTGTAAACATGAACAGGGAAAGCATGCCGTCAATGTCTGAGTGTATGAGGAAATCAGTTAGATACATGTGACATTAGATTGTAATGAGTACAGGCAGCCTTAGAGATGGGCTGGGAACTCCAGAAACTGAGAGAAACAGTTATTTAAATATTTTGTGCTAAATAAGCATGCTTCCAACGGCCTGGAAAGACATCTTAAAGATGAATTTGAGAGATGAGTTTTGCAGATATTTCTGAATAGCTCTAGATGAACAGTCCGTGGCATCACGTTTGTTGCGTTCCTCGGTGAATGCTTCAGTACCCGTCCTCTGTAAGCTAAGTCCAAATGTGCGCTCCCTAAGCTAAGTCCAAATGTGCGCTCAGAGCCCCACGAGCCTTTCTGAAGGCAGCAGTGACACCTGGTGGCCCCCTCAGGTAGTCCCACATGCAGAAGTGGCTCTGCCTTTTCTTGCCTGCAGTGCAGACAGTTCAGGCAGTCCAAAGAAATGGTTCAACTGGTTAACCCAGACGAGGATTAATCCATACAGCTGTCCAAAACAAGCAGCCAAGCATGTAGGTTCATTTGTGCTTCTTCCTATTTTATTCAGGCTGTCCCGATGACTGATGCCTTGACTGATGTCTTAAGGGGCATCATCATCTTAAGTTAAAGCTTTGCCAATTGCTGAAAGTCATTTTGGGGGCTGCATTCAATCTTGATTTAAATCCAGACTGGGGACCTGCGCCTCTCCACTTTGATGTTTGCAGCAAGCTAGTTGGTTGTAGTCCTTGGGCAGTTAAAGGAAAGAGAGCAGGGACACCTCCACACCTCCAGGAGGTAGCACTCTTACTTATCTTAAGCATCAATTCATAAATAAATGAGTTGCTCTGGAGATTCGTTTCTCTTTTTTTCCGTGTGGGCATCTAAAGACTTGCCAGCCTGATGCTGCAGCAAGGCTAAAAAGTTTCCATGCAAAGAGAAGTTCTTTGGAAGACCAAAGGTCTGGCGCTTCTCTTCCTGAGAAGATGCCAGCTCAGTGAAGAGAAGGCATTTTTCATCTGAATGAACTATTTAAATTGTTCATTTTTATTTATTGTTTATTTTTATTTATTTGTTTATTTATTTCCCACTGAATGTCACTTTTTTTTCAGGGGTATTATGCAGTGAAGCAATATCTGAGGCTTCTAACTTGATTTTCTGTTCCATTTGTAAATGTCAACTCAAAAGATGGTTTGTGTCAGCCTATAACTTTATGCTTTTTTTTTTAATGAAAGATTGCAAACAAAATATATTTCTGTTCCAGATGTCTTCTAGGGAAAAATGCCTTTTTTAAAATCTATTTCAGCTAGCACTCAAGACCCAGTATAAATGCAGATGCTTTTCTTATTAATAACCTTTATAATATTTTTGGTAATGGTATATTTTCCAGTGGTATCCTTTGGCAGAAGTTTATAATTGTGCTTAGTAGCACATTGTGTTAAAACCTTCTGTAATGCATCTGTCTTATCCCCTCAGCACCAGTCGCACCTGAGATTACCTCTGTCGAGTACTACAACCACCTTCTGTACATCAGCTGGAACTATGGAGGAGATGGTACAGACCTTTCTCATTCCAGGATGCTTCATTGGATGGTCATTGCAGAAGGAAAGAAAAAAATTAAAAAGAGTGTAAGCATTACTGGGGAAGAGGTAGCTCTTTCCTCTGTATTTTTGTGTTCAGCAGAAAAATGGTGTGTTACAAGTTTTGGCAAACTGACTGAGATTGTAAGAAAGCTGATGACCAGAAATACGAACTTCTAATTACCCATGTCATCCAAATAGTGAGCAGAATGACGGTATTTGTGATTTGACATGAGTGGTGATAATTTAAGTGAAAATTTGAAAATAGCCTCATCATATTTTCTTGGAAACTGGATATTATCCTTTCAGTTCCTAGTTCATGTTAAGCTAGGCTAGACAGGTTGTCTGAGTTTCTTCACTGCAGGTATTATAGCTTCCCATTTTGTGACTTTATCAGTCAGATATTCTTAGATACCGTGTTCAGTTTTCGTTTTCTATTTGAATACACATTCCACTTACTGATGGGATGGGGATTTTGCCCAGAGTGCATGCTCTTGCTCAGGAAACGTGGCAGACATATAGAAGCGTTCTCAGCACATTCTCCCTGTAATGATTTAGAAATTGCTTATAAAGCAAAATCTGCGTTTTGGCCCATTACACATTAGCTATTGACTCTGCAAGGTACTGAGCTACCTCGGGGAAAAAGAGCACCCGTTGGACATAAGAGCAACTAGTGTTTAAAGCAGCAGAGGAGCAGGGCAGCGCAGGAACTCCTAATGCCTGCACTGTAGTTTCCTAAAGCCAGAGGCCATGGGATTTTTTTTTCTACGTGGTCACTGATATTTCAGTCACTGACGTGCTGAAAGAGTTTGGTGTATTTTCAAGGGTAGGATTTCCTTTCTGCAGCCAGAGGCTAAGCACAAGCTGAATTAGAATTGGATTTTCAGCGTAAGCTCAAATTCATCAGCAGTTTTTATTTGGATTTATGTGGAGCCCCTCAGCTTTTATAGGTTTCCTAGTGGCTGCAAGAGTGCACCCATCTGGAGCTTGCAGCAGTGTGAGAGCTTAATTATATGGTTAGCAAAACTGATAAAAAATGTGAGACTTTTGAACAGCAGGAGTTTCCAATATTTGGATCTTTGCTTCAAATGTGGAAGAAAACTCAATATTTTAATTATTTTTTGCACAAGTAAACTATTCTAAGAATTGAAATTTAAAAAATACTGTGATTTTGCTCCTTTCCTTTCTTTCCAGAAATGTTTTCTGCAAAAAATTATTGTATTTTGAGGAGGTAGCCTTATTTTTGTCAAAACTATAATTTTCAGTAAAACTTACCTTATTAATTTTTAAAACAAATAGAAGACTGAAGTTAGAGGATACTTAAAAAAAAATAAATCCAATACTTCAAAACCCTCTTCAGGAATATTTATCTTCTTATTTTAATGACAAACGAAGCAGCAAATATCATTTAGGAAACTCCTGTAGCAATTTATTTATAACTAAGTTCTGTACCATAACTCATATTTGTAAGCAGTAGTGCGTGTTTCCAGGCTAAAAGGGGTATACCTATTCTCCTAAGCTTTGGTTAGGCACTGTCAGAAAACTTCTCCCTTAAAAAACAGAGTGTGCTAATATGCCTTTATCTGATTTATTAGGTGGTGTTTCTTGTGGTATTATTTACAAGAATAGCTAACACATTCAAGTAATGATGACTTCTTATTCTTGCTCTTTGTATACTCTTTTATACTCTGAAAAAAATTGATCTGTTTTGTTTTAAACAGATGACCAAAATAATGTAGATAGTCTTGTTAATCTTAGGTTGGAGCTGCCACTCCCTGTCAGGACTTAAAAATTCAGTTTGCAAATCGAGTGATTATAAATAGTACCATGAGATTTCCTGCATGATCTCTTTATAGTTAGCCTAGAAGTGCTCTGAAACCAGTCTGTTAGGTTATCTGAGCTCTGGTTCCCTTTTTCTGTATAAGTGAGGATATTATTTGACCACAAAATAACAGGGAAAAGTTTTTGACAGTCTTTGGAGTTTCAGCAAATTTCAGATCATGTCTGGTTTCAGATTTTTAGATAACTCAAACCAGTGCTTTCTATGGATTGTTTTATAATCCAATCCCTGTCAATTGGCCCTGAAATCTATGTTAAGCCAATAGATCTGCAAGTAGACATTAGACTTGCCCAGACAGACCTAATTTGCAAGTTCTTAGGATATATATGTGTATTGTCTTACCTGTACACAACTTTTATATTCTTCGTAGGGATATCTGAGTGGATTTAAAGTCCCCTAAGATGTCAGTGGAGTCAAGTCAGTAGTTTAGTTCAACTCAGTTTGACGTTTTGTAGAGCTTGAAAAATCTGGGTGCAAGAGTGTTCTCGGTGATGTTGTGAGGGAATTTTTCTTTCCTCTTTATGTTTTCCCTAGTTGTAGAGGAAATGCAGTCTAAGAGTGTCTTCTTGTGGTGGTACTCTGTTGAGCATCATGATTTTCTTCTGTTGATGTCAGTGGGAACTGCTTCATTTAGCAAATTCAGAGTATGCAGAAAACATCTGCTGTGGTACATAGAATTTTGTCTTCAGTACATTAAGCGGTCCGATTAATTTTACAAGAAGGATGTCTGCTTTGGTAATATTTAATGCATATTGTCTACGATTACTGCAGGTAACACGCAGCGTGATGACTGCAGTGTTGAGCTTGCCTCCTGGGGACATTTACAACCTCTCAGTGACAGCTTGTACTGAAAGAGGCAGCAATACCTCCCTGCCCCAGCTTGTGAAACTGGGTAAGAACCTGTTTGCCTATTTGTTAAACTGTAAACTCACTTTGGGTTAGAAGTAGCTCTGTCAGCAAGTTCAGCATCATCCTCATTTCAGTCTCATGTACTTAGTGTACTTAGCACTACATTTTTTGAGGGGAGGAAAGTTGTATTTTTCACCTTGTTTTGTTGTGAAGATAATCTCACTCACATATGTGAAACTACCAAGAGCAGCAGAATCTGCCCATAAGTAGAAACAGGGAAGTGGAAGTCTCTTAATCCCTGAGAGGACAATCCTGCTCCATAATTATTTTCCTAAGAAGTTCCCAGGAACTGGGATTCAAACTTTGCGCCTGAACTTTTCAATACAAACCAGAACCTTTCTTGAGTTTGACAAGCCCGTTTCTAGGTCTCTGCTCTGTCTCTTGTTCTGATTCCTGCTTTCCTCTTCTCTCTGGGCAACTCCATGATCCTCCATCACTGAAAATGTATCCTTAAGTAAAAATCAGTGACAGTATTTTTAATAAAAAGCATCTGAATTCATGGCTCTGAAACTCAACATCATTCCTATGGAAATATGTATACTATATTCAAAGAACCAAAAAAGACTGAAGATTTTGGTTCTTTAGCTGAGAAGGACTTTTAGATACATCTTTCTCCCCAGCATCTCCCTTTAGCTTTAAAGAAGACCTCAGAGTATACCACTGTACTCCAAAATTTTTATGTCATTTTTGCGTTATTTTATGTAGAATTCTTGAGTTGTAGGTACCCAGAATGTTGAAATTATGAAGTGTGCTTAGCTGATTTTATAATCATTAATGATGCTGTGAAGACCAATAAGGAAGTTAGTAATTTCAAACTAGACTATATTCTCTACCCGCATAATAAACCTTTCCTGATGACAGTAAGAGGAGTAAACTCCACAATTTCTGATTGAATTAAATATCTTGAAGCAATTATCTATTCTTCTTTCTACGTAGTTTTCTTTCACTCAAATCTCTTGACCAGTGTTAGGGCAAGCAGTGGACAGGACTTGCACAGGGCAGAAACAAATGGGATTTTTCTACAGCCTTCAAATTTCTGTCGTATTCTCTGGTGGAAAGAAATCAAAGAACTTCAGATTCTTGTGACTGCATTACTTTTGCATATATGTGTGCATACAGTTAGGTGTGTGTTTATCCCCAGGATTGAGTGGGTGTATATGTGTGGGTAAATATATCCCCCAAACACCACTATGAAAAAGTTTTAAGGGAAGTATTTGGAAACATCAGCTAGGTCCGTGAGTGTCATGTTTTATTCATGCTGCACAGTGTGCAGCCTAGTTCTGTCTTCAAATTCCTTGCTTACAGACAGTGAAAACAGCAAGTGGTGAGTGTAGGCAGACTCTTACTGAATTGTTATGGTTATTTTGCTCTTGTTCTTCAATTGACAGGGAAAAAGGAAAATTGATTGAAATCAGTTTTGATAAATTGCTTCTAGAGTCTGTTTTTGCTTTTTCTTTTATTTCCTTTATGCTGTTTTCATTCTGAATAGATAAAAAGTAAAGATATTTTACCAGATTTCCTTCTCTGTGTTTCTGAGGAGCAATGAGAGTTGTAATTAGAAGTAGTGGGAACAGATTCTAAGTGATAGACGACTCAGCACTTGGCAATCACTTAAGGGCCCCTGCCAAATGTTCTTTCCTCCATGATGTTTGCTTCATCCTGGCAAATTTCCATTTGCAGACAAATCAAGCCATTTGCTGCAGGCAAAAGGAGGATTTGCTTGGAATGATGCCCAAATGTAAAACTCATATTTTAATTGAGACCATTTTTTATCTTGAGTAGAGAATGGAATGTGTTTCTGAATCTACAAGGAGATGTACTGGAAGAATTGAGGAAGAGAGAAGTCTTTCCATATAATTTTGAGTCAAAATGTATCCTGCAGTCCATGTGTCAAACAAAGTAGAAGCTATGTGACTATGCTTCAGTCTCTTCCCTGCTCTCTTTAACTTGCTCACTGTTGCCAATATAATCTTGGCAGCCTCCAACCCTAAAACACTAGTCTGATTGTCTGAGAATCAAATGCTTCTCAAAAATATCTATAACCTCTTGAGCAAGTCATTTATACATTTATGCCAGATTTTTTTGATTTTTTTTTTTTATGGCAAATCTTACACACACCACATCCAAGCTCTTCTGACAGTATCTCAAGAAATTATTTGTGAATGGGGGGAAAAAAAAAAAAAAGAAAAAGAAAAAAAAGATCAAAATTGTGCTGTACAAAACTTCCAGTCAGCAAAACACTTAACATGCATAGAGCCAGGGGTGAGATTCTGTGTTCCCCTGTACAGTGAAGATGGATGGCTAACTTCGTGCTGATCAGGGAAGTTCAGTGATCTGCTACTTTTCACCTTATCTGAAGCTTTTCCTAATGCCTCATTGTTTCAGAATGACAGATTTCGTTAAATATCAATAGGTTACTAAATGTGTAAGCTCTAGAGAATAGCTTGAGATGGAGACTGAGGGACTGAATATCCCTTGTGTGAAGCCATCGTAATCAAAACGAGGAGTAAACGTTAAATAGGAGAAAGCATTTCTCAACATGATGAAAAAAAAAATGCCCAAACTGTTCTCTTTCTTTGCTCCTTAGGTTTTCTTTTCCTGTTTCCCCTGCACTTTCCATATTCAAGACACTCTTTAATTTGAGGAGATATTGCAGTCATAAGTGAGTTCCACTAGAGGTCAGATGTTGCCTCGCAATGACAGTTGTCAAGGCCATTGCTATAAAGGAGGGTGAAGGATGGACTTGCAAGGAGAGACCTCATCCTGTTCTGTGCACTGTGCATTGCAGATGCAGATCCCTGTTTCATCGCTGAGTCCAAGTCCTCAGTGGAAATGAAGAGAGAGTGTCTCACCTGAGGGTATCTCTCACCATCGTTCCTAGGAAGGTCCCCAGAATAGGACTCTCGCAAACCTTTCCTGGTGACAGGTACAGAGCTGGATGGAAGAGACTAGAGGCAGCACTGTTTGATCATTAAAAGCCCACGTTAACAAATTTGAAGTGGGCCAGACTAGCAGATTCCTGCTTCCCCTTAGACTTTTTCAGGATTTAGGTTTTGAAGTAAAATTTTCCCCTTTGGTCCTTTTTTTTTTTTCTTCTTTCCTTACCCACCCATTTAAAATCAGCCTTTGTTGTTCAGTTACTTTATTCTTCTCCAGTGCCCACTCTGTACAGAGCTGCAAAATACGTGAAATAGTGCTGTGAGAATGGAAAAATGAGTGCTTGGAGGTAGGCCTTGAAGAATCAGTGTATTGCTGAGCAAACACCCACTTTCATCAAGCAGTGTTCACACCATACTCCATACAGTCCAGGAGGCTGCTGTTTTCAGTCTCTTGCCCAGGTGACAGCAATAACCTTCCTGTGAAAAGATTCATCTCCTTAGGATTCCGTGAGGATGAGACCCCCTTAGACCATTATCTAAAATGAGTGCAGATCCAATGGCCATAAAATGATAACCTGCAAAATACTAGACAGAAAGATTTTTTTTAGCTGCTAAGTGACTGAACATTTTCTCTGATAAAACCTAGAAAGTGTTCAATTGTGAGAAGCTGCTTCTTGGTTGACTTCTGTGGCAGGATTGCAAAGCAGAATTTTCTTATTCAGAAGGCATTGCTAACAGGTGGACTGTCTTCTCCTCCTGCAAGAGTTCTTGCAAATATCTCTCTATAAATAGAATATGCTGATCCTCCCGAAGCAAAGACTCTACTGAAAAGGGAAGTGAAGTAATTATCTGACTGTCCAAACAGAGAACAGTTTAAATAGAGAAGAAAAACACAGGATACTTCACTGTCTTCCTGTTTTACATTGATAACTTAGCAACATGCAAGCCAAAGTTTTATATTGGTAGACTTTATCTGAAGCAGAGGGAAGACTGAAGACACCATGCATTACCTTCATTTCTGTTTGATGCTTCCCCTTCTGGGTTGTCCAGAGACTTAAACTTATTCAAATGAGTTTTTCTTTTCAACAGAACCAGCCCCTCCAAAATCACTGTTTGCTGTCAACAAGACTCAGACTTCAGTAACTCTGCTGTGGGTGGAAGAAGGAGTGGCTGATTTCTTTGAAGTCCATTGCCAGCAGGCTGGATCTGGTCAAGTAACAAAAGTCCAGGTAGGTAGATGCCTCTTCTCTGGCTTCTGTTCTTCATTTCTCAAAAGCAGACTTGGACATTGCAACTTTCTCTTTTGTTCTCTGCTGCTTAGCATTTAGATACAAAGCCTTACTACATTAGCAGGTCAGTACACGTCCGGTCATTAAAGCAAAGATAGCCATGCAGTTAAGAATTAAATTTATAAGACCTAGGCTACTAGGTTATTTGAATTTCTGAAATATTGAATTGAATATTGACTGTTGCCAGCAGGTCAAGGGAGGTGATTCTGCCCCTCTACTCAGCTCTGGTGAGGCCGCACCTGGAGTACTGTGTGCAGTTCTGGGCTCCCCAATATAAGAGGGACGTGGAGCTTCTCGAGAGGGTCCAGAGAAGRGCAACCAGGATGATTAAGGGAMTGGAACATCTCWCRTAYGAAGAGAGGCTGAGTGAGCTGGGCCTGTTTTCTCTGGAGAAGAGAAGGCTCAGAGGGGATATGATTAATATGTATAAGTTCAGGAAGGAAGAATGCAGGGAGGAAGGGGACAAGCTGTTTTCACTGGTGGCCAGGGGTAGGACGAGGGGTAATGGCCATAAGCTGAAGCACAGGAAGTTCCGTCTCCAGGTGAGGAGGAACTTCTTTACTGTGAGGGTGACAGAGCAGTGGAACAGGCTGCCCAGGGGGGTTGTGGAGTCTCCTTCTCTGGAGGTCTTCAAAACCCACCTGGATGCCACCCTGTGCCACATGCTCTAGGTGTGCCTGCTTGAGCAGGAAGGTTGGACTAGATGATCTCTAGAGGTCCCTTCCAACCTTGAATATTCTGTGCTTCTGTGATTCTGTGAATTCCTTATAAATATTTAGATTGACTTCTATCTTGTAGACTTAAAAAAAAAAAAAAGCAAACCCAAGCAAGAGATTGTAACCGGTTGGACCAAAGCTATGCTTGTTTAACACATTCGATAGTGTCAATTAATGGCTGTAATATACTCTAAAAAACATAAAAGGGCACAAAACTATGGGTATATCAATGAACAGGAAAGGAAAAGCAGCCAGTTTGCTTGGCAAGGAATGGGAAAAACAGAGCTATGGTATCTTTTATGAGAATCAAATTATCTGGCTTAATTTCCCTTTGTTCTTTGAGGGTTGTTAACAGTTAATTGGGTAGAATCTATACCGTTATTCAAGGAGTACCATTATGTTGCAAATATGACTACTCATCAGACATTTGGTGCCTCTTAGGGTTTTTCCTTCCACACTCGCTTAAAAAGGTTCTCTAATGAGCCTTCTTTTTTACTATGTGCATTTAGGTACCTGTGCTCTGAGGCCACATGAATATCTGAGTGTTCAGACTGATAATGCTAGCTGTGCAAAACAAAGGAGCTATAGTAATTTTGAATCCTTCAGACTCAATGCTGTGCAACATCTGAGGCTTATTTTGAAGTTTAGCTGATGGTCTAGTGATTACATGATTACATGCCATGAAACATCATTCTCTTAGAGGGTTACTCATACATAATAAGAAATCATTTCAGGAAGAAAGTAGAAAATAACCCACTGAGTTCGTTCCAGAGAAAACATAAATAGTCTTTAACCCTGTGTAAGACACCTTGTGAAATATTTATTTTCTTTTTAATTGACAAAGGCACTGACCAGAGAAAAATTCATTTTAATCTTTTAAATAGTTCAAATTCCACATATAGATTCCTACTTTTTTTCTCAGTGAACAACCAAAGACCACAAAGTTATTATCCACTTAGCAGAGAAACAGAATAAAAATGCAATTAAGCAAGGAAGGCACACAGGATTTGCAGCTGCACCATGTGGCAGATGAGTTTTAAGAACATCAGCAAAAGACTGCTCCATTTTAGCAGGAACTTCATGGGGTTTCCCATTTGCTGAAGTAAACATCTAGCACTGGGCAGTACAAAGAAATTACCAGCTTACTTCTCACTATATTCATCACACTCTCTCTGTCTTCATGAAGAAAGGGGAAAGGCTCGGTAATCCTTTTTGAGCCATTAGGGATGCTTTCCCTCTAGACTGGTGAAAATTCTTTTACAAGATTTTCCATGCTAATTTACATGAACATTTTCATCCTTTTCCTCCATTTTTTCAGTCAGCAAAATCAAAAACAGCAACAGCTTTTCAGGATTAAATGTCTTGGGTTTTGGATGAATAATTTAAATTCCCCAGAGGAGAACTTGGAAAAAGTCCAACCAACAAAGGGAATCAAATTCTCTTCCATTGTAGTCAAATACATGTGATTTTTGCAACAGGAAACCGTGTGAGTCTAGAAGTTATTCATGACTGAAAAGAAGCCATTGCAAAAATCTACACTCTGAGCTTGCTACAGGATCTCACACTCCAGAGCTATGTTGAGTTGCTTCGTAAAGCCTGTCCTTGATCCCCTTCTGAACCATTAGCTCAGTGTCCCTGCTCTCACACCTATGAATCTACTTCGATTTTGCTGTCAAATAGAGAAGAGCTTTTCTGACCTTATGGACTTCTGTCCTTAAGTAAATGCACTTTTTTTTTCTTATTGTTTTCTTTTCCCATATAAGTATTTATAAAATTTCTTTGTACCTGCCTGACTACCTGTCTCTTTTCAGGATGGAAGGTACCTTCTGTAGGTTTCCAAGAGTTTGCTTCTTTCAACGCATTTAACTTTGTCTGGAAAAATGCATGGGTGGAAAGAGAAGCACTGCTTTGTGCTACATGTATGGGACACCAACTCCAGTGTATTTCTCCCTTGTCTGTAGGAACCTATCACTGTCTCATCACACGTAGTGACAATCTCCAGCCTAACCCCTGCCACTTCCTACAACTGCAGCGTGACCACCTTCAGCCACAATAGTCCCAGTGTCCCCACTTTCATTGCTGTCTCCACCATGGGTAAGCAGTACTTCCCTATTTGCTGCTTCTTTCTCCAGTAGCAACATCTGTGTCTCCCTGATTTCTAAAATTGTTCTCAGTTGCACTGGCAGCAGAGGCTTTTGCGTCACTGAATGGATACCAGCTGTGGATGGGATGGGGAAGTAGCTTGAAAAGAGTTTTAGAAAAATCCCCATTGAAAGGGTTGACTTGGAAAAGAATTATCTAGGAGTTCATTGCTCTATTAGATTTTGCTCTGTCAGATTGCTAATTTGTGGTTTCAATGCTGAACATCAGGATACTGCCTGATGACATTTGTAGAGAAAAAATTCTTGGCAGCCAAGGTCAACCAAAATAAGGAGAAAGTCTCATTTAGAAGCTACTAAGGAGAAAACTTTTCCATGATTTTTAGTTTGAAAAATGCTTCTCTAAACTATTGTGGATATAAAGTTATTCCAATCAAGTTGAGCAGGAAGGTTTTCTTCTTATTAAATGAGCAGAAATAGGTTAGTAGGTATGATAATGTAAAACGAAAGTAAGTCACAGTTTTGTTAGTGAGAACTGATTTCAGCTTAAAACAGATTATGTATCAAAATTTATTTACCAATGCCATTTAATCATTTTCAACCTATATGTCAACAGAATCTCTGACACCATGTTTTCCTTTTGGGTTAGAGGAAGTATAGATTATTGCTGAGGAACAATTTTACTGGTGTTGAAGTATGTTTTGGAGACATAGATGATGATGAATATCTGTATTTTATATTTAATTCTCCCTATTGCTTCTTTTACAAATGTCATTTTGAAAGAAATAGATCAGAAAATGTCAAAGCTTAAAAAAAATGCCACAGTGAAGTCATTTCCCCAGTAAAAGTTTATAAGGAGAGTAACGGTATAACACTCCCTCCATCTCTAGTGGTGGGTTTTTCTCTCTGTAACACTCACTCCAAGGTTAGTCAGAACAGTTGAAAAATAACAGTATGAATATTCAGAAAAAAAAAAGAAATACCTGTCAGCTCTTCTGAATTGAATAACCAAGAGTCATTGTTTGTATGTACAGTCACTGAGATGAATCCCAACGTAGTGGTAATCTCTGTGCTAGCCATCCTAAGTATCCTTCTGATTGGACTGCTGCTGGTGACTCTTGTTGTACTGAGAAGAAAGCATCTGCAAATGGCCCGGTAAGTCCAAATTTATGCTCATTTCAAAATGTTCAGCCAACAATAATCAGGTTATAATGATGGTTGCAGTTGAAGATGCGTGATTCTATAAGTGATGCTCAAGATGTTTGTGAAAAGGATACCTTAAAAAAGCTGTCCTGCTGCTGTTTGGGAGTCCCTATGTCTACTTTAATTATTGGCTTGAGTTGCAACTTTGAACTTTGTCTCATTTTGAATTTTGATGGACGGGTCGATAAGAAGTCTACTCACATTACAAAGGGAACCTCAGGTCATGAGGCTGAAAGACAATTGGGGTGTTAAGCAGCTGGACATGAGCAGAATATCAAGATGCTTTTTCAAATCTGTCATATGGCTTGGAACAGATATTTCCTATCACCAGATAAAATCACCAGTTCATCAGGTCTGCATTTCAGAGCCTGTGGAAGGCCCTGAAACTTGCATATCCTCCAAACTCTCCATATGTGGTTCACCTACCAAGTAGAGTGTATTGAAGTCTTCATCCTTTTATAAACTATGACTATATTTTAACTTTTGCTACTATGTCAGGAAAAACAAATAATTGCATTTCAAAAGTTCATGTTCAGAATCTTCTACTTGGCTACCTAGCATACACTACACTTTATGGAATATCTCTTGGCTGTATATTCTGTGCAACAGGTTACCAGCTCTCAGATTTTTTCAGACCATGTATTGCTGTGAACATTATATTGTTTGTTCCGTTTACACGTAACTGGTTCTAGGAAAAAAAAAAAGTAAATCGGTTCTGTTTCCTATCTAATGACTGTTCGTGCAGCCCAAAGCTTTTTCTTTCTCGCTTCCTCGCTGCTTCTGCTACCGAAGATAAAGACCTCAGGAGGAAACTAAAAAAATAAATTCACCAAGGAGCTGCAAGCAGTTGTTTATTTAATCAATGAAGCAAAAACAGTCAAGGCAGTTTGTCATATGTGGCTGAAAATAATGGACTTCTCATAAACTAACTAAAATGAGACTCAGGAATTTCAGCTTTTACACAATTCTTTTGTGAAGTCAGAATTACCATGCTCCTGTTGTAAAATGGAGACAACTTTCTTTTCCTTAAAGGAGTTGGAACATTTATATTTAGTATAGAAAGGTATATACATTGAGACAGGCAACTAGTGCTATAAAGATCTCAATCTGGATAGAAAGTGAGAACTATTTAAGATCTTTAGTAGCACTTTTTCCTTGTCTCCTTTTTTTTAATATATGATAAGGAAATTTGATCTCAGGTGGTGTTGGATTCTTACTGGCTTTGGAAGGATTTCATCATAAGGATGAAATTATTCCAGTTACGTTTATCACACACTACTTCATAGACCTAGTCATGAAAGTGAGTGCTCAGCAGTTCTGAGAAAGGTCTCCAAGAGATCTCTGTTAAAATCAACATCGCTGCAAGTACTGTGAATACGAAAATGATAACTTTGTACCTCCATGGTCTTCCTGAAACAGGGAGTGCGGGGCTGGAACCTTTGTCAATTTTGCATCATTAGAGAGAGATGGGAAGCTTCCCTATAATTGGTAAGTGTTTTGAAACACGGTTTTTAATTTTTTCCCCATCTATACTTTTTAGCAAGTATAATCTTTAAATTTTAAGTGCTTAATTTCATGTCATACTGTCACTGTTTAAGATAAAGCTACATTACTGTTATTTTAGTACTTTATTTCTTTGGATGATGACTCAAGACTATGTATTCTGTCACTTGCCATTTATAGAAGGGAATGATTTATAATATATGCCAACCAAGTTTGTTTTTGGAAGATCTCATTTCCTTTTTATTAGACACATACTTCCTAAAATAACACAAGGATAGAAACCTCATCTATAAATTCATTAGCATCCAAGGAGAGGTATTTACATCTAGGAGTAAGCTTGACTATAGATGACCAATTAGCAGCTGTCTTCACGCTGCGCCATTAGCTCATTTTCCTTGTGTGGAAACTCAAACATGTACTGTAACTTTGTAATACTGCTGCTGAAATGACTGGAAGAGCAACCTATTTTTGCTAGTCTGGAAAACGACCTACAAGATTTGCAGGCACTAACTATGGACTTCAAGCCATCACTAACACCATCAGTTTAAGAGAAATATTTGAAAAAGAAGGATGGTAGGATTAGCTGTTACAGAAGTTAAGCACTCCTTGACTGGTGGCCAGTGTGGTCATTCTCATTCATGTTCTTATTGAATGAATGAGGGCTAATGACTGACCTGGTATTTAGTCTTCTGTGAGGCAGCTCTTAAAGGGAAAAAGAGGTTCTGAGGCAAAAGACCAACATCTTTCAAGACAAGTCTAAACACAGATATTTTAAAACACACTGTGGCCCTCTGAAACACTGCTCCAGTGTGTAGGAAGAAGGAAATAAGAGCCTTGCTTTCACGGCCATGGTCAGCTATGTTGACAGCCAAGAAGCTGATGCACTTGGAACTACTTCCATGACCTCGTGGGACACAGCCTGCCAACAAGGACAGGATTAAACGGATTGATACTGCACCAAAACAAGCCTTTTGCTAATAAGCGTGCAAACTGAACTAACAAGCCCCACAAATCCTGTCAATACCTCACAGTGCTGCTAATTAACTGGATATTAAACAAGCTTCACTTGCTTGGTCTAGTTTTAATAGCAGCCAGCTGTACGCATTAGAAACTAATCTCTTTTTCAGTTTCCCCTACTTGGACTATGTTAATAGCAATGAAGGCAGAAGATCAAACGCTCTTGTTAATTAAAGATCCAAGCTTGAATCAAATGATTAAACTAGTAACAGATGTTATTAGAACCAGAAAAGGGTTTTTTAATATGAGAAGGGGAATTAATGAATGGGTTTGGATGTGTAAGCAAAGGTTCTTTTTGTTTAATTTAGTGTATGTATATGTATGTGCATACATATATAAATATATATAAAATGTTACAAAAATCTATTTGAGAACTGTAAGCAATTATTCATGGAAAACAAGAAAGAAGCTCAAATACCACTTTGGTGAAAATCTAGGAAAGAATTTAAAGCACTTAAAGAAAAAGCTCTCTGCAAAACTCTGTGGCCTTTTTCAGAAATCTGACACAATAGAGATTGAGAGATATCAGCATGATACTAATTTGACTCTGATATATAGATGTTCCTGCTGACTTCCACAGGAACAAGCATGGTGGATTGTAATAGTTATATGTGATGAAAATAAATCTGTCCTGAAATAGCACAAAACATCAGCAAAATAGGTTTTGCACCACTTACGTAGTGAATGCAGGCATGTGGATGAAATTTTCAATAAATTTCAGTCTCTGAAAATTTGCATAAAGCATTGCTTTAAAATAGTAGTGCTGAATAAATACTGTAGAGCACTGATCATACAGAATTTTATTGTAGACAGCTTAAAATGCTGCACAGAGTCTCAGCTTGAGGAACAAAAATTCTGTGACTGATAATAATAGAGAAAGTATAAGGAAGCTTATATATGTGTACCTTGTTTTGAAACAGGATTTGCTGATCTCCTGACTTCTGTTTGTCTTACTAACTCTGCTCACTTTTTTCATCTTTATGTATGTTATTTATTAATGCTCACAGGCGTAGAAGTGTATTTGCTTTCCTAACTCTGCTACCCTCATGCCTTTGGACTGATTATCTTTTGGCATTTTATATTAATCCTTGGTAAGTGATATACTCGTTTTTTTTTTTCCATATGCAATGTCTCAGCAATGTTAATTTCTATTCCATGAAAGATGTGTTGTACCTTTCTTTTCAAATGGGTCGAAGCTCTTTAAGTTATAATTTTCTTGTTCTAGAACATAGCTTGGAGAGAATGTGGGTATCAAAGTATTTGCTACCCTGTTTCATCTATTGTGTGCCTGTTTAGCTCCAACCCATTTTGTTATTAAAAAGCTAATTTTATGATGGTCATTATTCATTTCATTGCGCTCTCTTGGCAAATTTTGCAACTTCATTGCAAACCTTCTTTTTCTGCCACAGTTATTCACCTGTTCATTGCTTGGTGCTGCTACTTTTCTCATACTAAAATTGTTTAATATTGCTCCAAATGTTTCATGTGTGGTGTCTTTAATGGTGCAGTTAGTCTCCCGATATCAAATTTTGCTTTGGGAAACATCAATTTCCTGAGAATCCATGTAGATTAGCATTTTCCAAGTGCAAAAATTGGGTCAGTATGTGTGTGTCTGTGTGTGTAATAGTTTCATCTATAAATAGTTTATAAAGGCTTAGTAAATGACTGATTGGTGCTTTGAAAATATGTAGCTGGAGAAGTCCCAGGGTCTGTTTAGAACCAGAACTGTTTCACAAGCCTTTTCAAATGCAATTGTTACAATGCTTAATTTGTATAGAAGAAACTTTTGTTCCTTATGATCTGAAGTCCAGTAGATAATGATGTACAAAAATGTGTTTGCAAAAGATTTACTTTTGACCAAACCCTCTCCCTGGTATCATACAGCTATGATATCTTGGTAGGTAGTCACAGAAATCTTGTGTGTAGGGGTTTCTGAGATGGGTTTCCTTGGGTCATACTGAATCTATAGAAGCACCCTCTAAATTTGGAGTGGGCCCAGGCACAAGCAATTAAAAAAAGAATAATAAAGGGTATATTTCTTTTCCCCTGAAAATCAAAGCATATTCTCTGCACAAGCACAAGTTAAGAGTAGGAAAAAGTCTTGCAAATCCCTCCAAGCTAATATTATATTGTCTTTTAACTTGCCTGAAATAAATGCAACTTAACTAGCCACCTATGCCACATAGTGATGGAGGATTAGGCAAACAATTTATTGTTGTGCAGATCAAACTCATGCCATGTAACTCCAACCATCAAGAATTCCAAGACAGTCATTTTCAATGGCACTGCTGCAGAAAGAGTCATCTCCGTCTTTTTACCCTGAATATGCATGAACTCACCTTCGGAGATATGCATCCACCTTTGAAGGCTGCCTCTACAATCAAGCTACCTAGTTTAGTCTAGGCAAGTTTCAAGTTGCTGATTGAAATGAGCTGAATCCTTCTTTTTGTATTTTAATCTGTAGGTTAAATAGAAGAAAAAGTGAAATACCAGCTAGTATCTTTTGTGCTACAAACAAGTTGTTTTAAAATATTTATGAGCATTGAGGAAACACAATGCTAAGAAATAAAGGCCTCTTGAGATCCTGAAAGCACAAGAAATTGCTTCTGAGAAATGGATGCCAGTCATTTGTTTTACTGCCTCTTGAAGTGTTCCTTGGAGAAGAGTTCTTAGAAACATTCCCATGATAAGCAGCACTTAATTTTTTTTTCTTTGAAATGAATTCCTATGTGCTCAGCATTAAAAGATTTACCATAGTTACAGAGATAAAAGAGAACTGCACTGAATAATCTAGATAGATAAATTAATTTTAAGATTTTCTTACATCTACAGGAAAAACTGTAGATGTAGAATAAATATTACCAGAATATATGTATAGCACACATGAATGAGTGACTGTATCTCTATAGATAGCATCATAGGCTAAAGAGGTGTATAATACTATAATTCTTTGAAAAGTAAATCTCTCCTTTAGTGCAAAGTTGATATTATCATAGCTTTTTTCAGTCTGCAGACAAATAGCAGGGAGGTTGGACTAGATGATCTCTAGAGGTCCCTTCCTAGAGGTCCCTTCCAACCTACAACCATTCTGTGATTCTGTGAAATACCCGGATCTAAACTGAAAGATACTTTGACCAGATAGCAAAATTACCCTAGGTTGTGACTGCGCTGATAATGTTGCAGCTGCTATGGTAGTGAACTTTTGTGATAACTGAACTGAATTTGGGAATTTTTCATTTTGGAAATAAATCAATTGTTTATCTTCTAAGCTTGAAGGAGTAAAAAAAATCTCTTGTTTTTTAAATATTTATTTCTTTAAATATTTATTTCTCTCTTTTCACTGTTTTGAAGTGAAAAGTGTTTAATTTGCAAACTGAACCTCCAACCCAAAGTATCTACAAATCAATCAACTATTATTATGAAATTAAAAATAGCGTCAGTATTGTGTGTTTAATGAATAGACATTATTTAATACTCATAAAAAAAGGAAGTATGACATAGCTAAGATTCCTTCAGGGGAAGCAAGAACCTATTTGTGCTCTGTCCTTGCTCCATCACTGTCTGTGCTCATTGGTGCTATCATCTCCTAAACAGGGAATGATCAGTATTTCAAACCTGTAACCAAAGTATTCCAGGGTGCCTTGTGCTTTTAATCTGAGTAATAAGTTAATGGTTTTGTGACGATGACTAAGTGAATACACACACACTTGTTCACTCACTCACACATACACCCCCACCAACAAAGTGCATGAAGGCGTTAGTGTAATGCTGTTCTTCATTTCTTAAGCTTAATATTGCTTTATTCATTCATAATCTTGTTCACAACTGTCTGTAGTGAATTATAGCACTTATAAATCAAGTGAAGACAGTGCGTTACATGACTGGCATAATTATCTTTTAGAAGACAATAAAATTTTTTAAGGTGTAAGTCTTAGTCCTGGTGATACTAGTAGGATATTCAACATTGTTTTCATTGATCATCCCATAATCTGGCTATAGAAGTGAGGAAAACTGATTGGGCCTTTTGTTTTTACCACTACTCTTAGTTGAATTTGCAGATGTTTACCCAACAGACACACACTTCTTCCCAGTAACGCTCCAGCACTGGTATCTACTTTTCCAGTGTGCAGCTGATGGAGAAGGGCTGCCTGCAGCCCAACAGGCTCTAGGGGGAGAACCCAGGCTCACATGCAGCTACTACTGTTGGTGGGTCAGAATTCGCAGAGGAGCCAGTGCTTCTGCCTACGGGTTTTCCCTTTTACAAGCAGGTGTTCATAGAGCCAGCAAATGGAAAACTCATCCCATTAACATCAATGGAAAGTAACAAATGGAAGATAACAGAATTAATCACTATTACCTTAAATATGTCCAAGATACTATCACCAACCTTATCCTGAGTAGTATGGTGGCCATGAAACATGTGTTTTTAAATCAGTGTCAACTTGAAACAAATAGCATACAACTTAAGTGATTTTTTTTTTTTTTACAGGAGTAAAAATGGGTTAAAGAAGAGAAAGCTGACCAAGTATGTGTCTTCTTGAATAATTGAAGAAAATTTTTAAAATTGTCACTTTAGACTGAATATGCATGATGAAATGCATTGGCATAGAGATACTGCAGTTAGTAAATACATCCTGAGAGAGATGTCTGCAAACCAAAAACAAACATAATCACACAAAAGTAATTCTTTTGAATAGATAAGTTCTGGTAAAAAAGCTCCTGATTGATACAAAATTAGTCATGAGGGGAAAGATCAATTTGCCAAGTTAGTGATTCCAGTGGAGCTTTCCCTTAGTTAAAAATGACAAATGGCAAAAAAAAAAAAAAATTGAAATGCATTTATTTCCCTCTTGACATGGGGCTCTCATTACGGTTGTTGCTAGAACATTAGATTATTAATGCTAACGGGTAAAGAGGGGTAATTAAGTGGTGATAAGACAAGGTCCTTTGGGCATATTGCCTCAAAGTAAATGAAGAGATTGCTGTGTACATGCTTCAGTAGCTTGTAAATTAGAACATGATAATTAGGTGAGGGAAGCTGTTTACCTGTGGGTCCTTATTCAGAGTTGGCCTAATTATTCCTCCTGTATGTTTGGAGGCTGTGCCTGTACTAAGAAATAGACTTTTACATGGCACCAAAGTGTGTAGGGCAATGCAGAGCAAAGCAAGCCTCTAAAGCAAGGCCAATTTCTATCTGCTGAAGGTCTATAACATGGCTTTGTACCGTTATACTGCACTGTATTTAGTGACCATTTCTCCAGGAGGACGATTCAGCCTCTAATGACAAATGCCTACAGTTCTCAGAGCCAGCAAAGAAAACAGTAACTGCAGCAACATCCTTTTCTCTTTTTTTTTTTTTTTCCTCTATAGACCTTCTCCAAAATCAGGCCCTCAATATGAAATCTATTAAAGATTGGAATGAGCAAAACTCAGATTAATTTAAAACACTCCTTTTGTTACCTTCTAGCATTAACAATTGCAAATACTTATTCGTAACTTGATAGCATTCTGTGGAACAACGGAAACCTATTAAAAAAGTTGTCTTTTTTCTTTCCTAAATGTCTGTGTGTTTGTCTTTTGAAGCCCTGTCCAGTTGGATGATTTTGATGGCTACATCAAGGATATGGCCAAAGATTCAGATTATAAATTTTCTCTGCAATTCGAGGTAAATCTGCAGGGACTCTTTCCTCGTTTAGCTGCCATGCCTAAATCAGCTTTTTCCAGATGTTAAGCTTGTGTGGTGTGTTCCTATCCACTGTTGTGTTTATTGTGTGCTGTTGCTAGGTGGATGTTGCTTGGATTTCTGCATAGCTTAAAATAGGTCCTTGCTTTTACTAAAGACCATATTTAGTAAGCTGTTTTCCATGGCTCATCACATTTAGATCCGTGTAATTGTCTTTTTTAGTTTAGGGTCTATTTGCAGCCTAAGTTGAATTGAAGATTTTTATAATTTCTTTTAATTTGAGAGGCAATAGTGAAATGAGAAGGCGACATCAAAAACCTCCTCAAAAGCAAGTGGGATGTATTTTATTGAGATGCACTGCCTGACTTATCCAGCATTTAAATTCAGTTTAATCATATAAAACTCAAAAGCTCCAGTCCTAGAGTTGCTGAAGTGAGACCAATGCTCCCAACACTTAAAAGTGGAAGAAGACTCTCAGGATGTTACTCACTGTAGTGTATGGCTGACATGCCCTTTCTGTCAGTGAAAAATTCTTTTTTGCATCATATATTAGATGTGACTACTTATGTTAATAACCAGAAACATCTTTTAAGCATTCCTCAGTATCAAGATTGAAAGCCACTTGAGGAATTAAGGAAATCTCTTAAAGTGGATGGCCACCACAGAAATAACTTACTAACCCCTGGTCTGGGCCTATTTTAGCTAATCAAGTGCCACAGAAGAGGAGCAGTCTTTAATCACAGTCTGGATTGTGAGCAGTGCATTGATAGCATCAGGAGAAGAGGCTCCATCATTGGTCTGAAGTTGTTTTGAGCCAAACTCACGGACCACAGATAAGGAAGCTCAGTGTATCCCTCTTGTCACTTTATAAACAGCTTTATGAATGTTTTCAGCTTGGCACATGGCACAGACACTCACTTCAAAAAGAATTATTTTTTGAGTTTTGGTGAATTTGACCTTGACGTTTTTCTTTCTGTTATGCCAGGAGCTAAAACTGATTGGGCTTGACATACCCCACTTTGCTGCGGACCTTCCCATGAATCGCTGTAAAAATCGCTACACAAATATCCTACCATGTGAGTACAGCTCCTGCCCAAGTGCCTCTGGAGGGAAATAAGGGTTTTAATAAGACAACTGTGGAATAGATTTTCTGACCAATAAAAGCCTGTCCTAAAACCTGCTCGTAAAGGGAATCAGGCAATACAGGTTCTCTGTTAGCCTAAGACTGATGATTGGAGTTGAGAAATGCAAGATCACTTCTACTACCGTGCAGTGCTATTTTTTTTTTACAATTTTAATGAAATCTAAGGGATTTCATTAAAGGGATGGCAGTTGTAAAGGGCATTTTGCACTTTAATTGTGTTTTGACCACAGAGTGCTTACTGAAGCAACCATTGCTGTCTCTTGGTGAATCTGCACATTCTTCCTTCTTAGTGGATTTTTCAGATTTTAGAGGATTATTTTTAATTTTGCTTAGTTTGAGACAATATGTGTATTTTTTTTCCCTTACAGATGATTTTAGCCGTGTCCGGTTAGTTTCAATGAATGAAGAAGAGGGTTCCGACTATATTAATGCCAACTATATTCCTGTGAGTAAAGAGGCTCCAAACAATGCAAAAAATAATGCCCTATGCTGCAGTTAGACCATGTCAGCAGCAACTGGTGCAAAATCTCCTAGTGCCTCCATCTGATTTTCCACAACCACTTTGCCACTGTGGAGTCTCCTATATGGGTGCTGCCAAACTTGTCGCCTGTGTTTGGTTCCTGGGTAGCAAGCAAATGGATAGAGACAGAGCTGAGCTCACATTGAATCAAGGAATAAAAATGTACAAATACCCAAAATCATCACTGGCAAATGAGAAAACTTCTGTGAAGTACTTATAGTATCCATATTTATATGTAATGGTCTCTTTTGGGATTGCTGGATTTAGATTTTATAGTTTACATCTATTCTGTTTTGTTTGTAGCATAATACCAGCCATAGGAATTGTTTTCTGAGGAGGGCCCTAAAGAGCATCCTAATGTTTGGCTTGTCTGATAATTGCTTCTTCACTAAATACCTTCTCCAGATGTTGTTATTAATGGTTTTAAATATCAAGTACTAAGAAGCTGTGATATTAGAAATTTGCCGCCTAGGTGGAACATAGGCCATGCAGACAAACATACAGCTTTGCATACAGGATAAACACTGAGATTCAACTGTATTTTAGAAATGGCTGGAGAAGTCATTTATGGAAGATGCTCCCAAACTGACAGTATTTCAACAATCTGTATACCATGGTGGCACAGAAATAGTGCAATTTACATAGGCTCATGCTGTGCCTTAACTGTACCATTTACTCTTACTAGGAACAGAAAACAGTTTTCCAAATGGAGTTTTGCTGATACAGTCTCAGCAAATACAATTATAATAGATGTTGACACTTCCCTTTTGTGGGTATTTTATTATTTACAGTGGTCTTCTGAGTGGGGAGGAAGAATTAAAAAAGGAATATTCATCTAAAAACACATTGATGGCGACAGGAGCAGGAATGTGTGCATATAAGGCATCCAAGTTTCAATGAAACATAGCAATGATAGTCTCTTAAAAATGTTGACTCAGCATATTATTTTAAGCACAATTCTAATAAGTTGTTTACGACAACTTTACGACAATAAATTGTTTAAGTCTGTATAAATACATGCAAATAAACCTGTGTATTGCCACCTTCTGTTTACATCAGTTCTTGAAAACCACCACAGGCACTGCTTGGGATGAGCAAGCTAAGGGTTCATGGTTGTTTTTATTTCTCTAAGAAAACAAACCTTTAAATTATAGAAGAAGTTTCAACTTTGATATAAGATTCTCATTATCTGTTTTTCTAATGTTGTGTTTCTGGCAATCACAGCAAAGAATTTGTGAAGTATCAGCTTCATTGTCTGTTTTTTTTTATTCTAAATGGATTGTAATTTTGAAGCATCGATATCTTGCAAAAGTTGTAATCTCTGAATAAATAAATAAATAAATAAATAAATGACAGTTTCCTTAAAATGCAAAAATTGAGCTTAAAGAACTAAAAAAAAATACATATACTAGAGACAAATACATATTCTGGAGCATTAGACCTGTTGGTAAATAACATCTTTCTCTGTTTTTTAGGGTTACAATTCACCCCAGGAATACATTGCAACACAAGGGCCATTGCCAGAAACTAGGAATGATTTTTGGAAGATGGTTCTTCAACAAAAATCTCAAATTATTGTTATGCTCACTCAGTGTAATGAGAAAAGAAGGGTATGTAGTAAAATCTTCTGCATAGTATAAAAGAAATTATTCTGAAAATTTATATATTTTCTGGTGGGTTTCTTTGCATGTTTTCTAATGATGAAGTAGCATCATTGTAAGATCTAGAATTCTACTTCTTTCATTTATGGAAGGAGCTTCAAAGTTGGATGACTTTTTTCTGGTGGACCTGTATGTATGGATTAAGGATAATTTATGAGCCTCCAAGGGTGTATTGCAAAGACTGGAAAGTGGACAGTACACATTAAAGCAAAAAGTTAAATCTTAATGTGATTTCCTTCACTTCTGGTTTGTTTAGGGCTGAAGTTAAAACTTGTCTGAAATGGTGAAAGCAGCAGATGCTTGTAATCATTATTATTTATTCAGAGTGGGTTGATGTATTTTTTCTTATCTCAGCAGTTATCTCCGAATGCCTAAAATATAGATTTTCTACATTCTTTCAAATTTAAAACAGTATCTTATACTTTACAGATTCCTTGGCATTAGAACAGGACCATTTAGAAATAATTTTTTTTCTGTCTGTTCTTTTACTCATATTTTCTTAAAATAATACTTTTAGACATACTCTATTAGGAGAATAACAGTCTAAAAAGAATGCATGTATTTCAATTCTTTGCTGAAATAGTGTTCCACCTTCAAAAAGACAATATATAGCCATGTTCCTACTTACACAAGCAAGAATAGTGAGACTGAAAAGGCATTGCAGTAAATATTACCCCCTAGAAAGTTGTCCAGTAAATAACACTGTAAGCATTTCTAAAATCATTGATTGTGATTTCTTGTTTTATATGTGTGTCCATGTGTATATGTATATATATATATATATATATATATAAATATATTTCCTTTTCAGGTAAAATGTGACCATTATTGGCCTTTTACGGAAGATCCTATTGCATATGGGGATATCACGGTGGAGATGTTGTCTGAAGAGGAACACACAGATTGGGTTTATAGGAATTTCCGAATTAGCTATGTAAGTGAAAGGTGTTGCTTTGCTCTACTAAAACAGGGGGACTAGTTTTGGTCCAGGCTTTTCTTTAAGTTTTATCCATCTCTGGCATTCAATGGAAAATAACTAAGGAAAAGGTTATGGCCCTTTTCCCATTCCACACAGACAAATATCAAAGTTGCCTGACACTCTTGCTCCCAAGAGTGTCATCACTGTGAGCTTCTCAATAACAGGCAAGGAGAGGTTAATGGCACCCTAGCTAAGCACATGGTAACGTGCACCTGCACTCCTGGGCTTCTCTACATTTCTGAATGATACAGATGACAAAGAACATGTCAACTTTTTCAACCTTTCTCTCTTTCTCTCTCTCTCTCTCTCTCTCTTATCTAGGCATTTGTGATTGTTCCAATATTATAAACCCTTCAAAACTTGAAAATACCAGTGCAGAAATTGAAAATACCAGTGCAGAAACTGAAAATATTTTCCAAAAGGGCAATTGTATAATATCCATAGCGTAGGCTCGGTGCATGTCTCAGGCAGGATCTTGAATAAAGCAGTTGTCCACAGAGATGGTTTTCCACACCCTAATGCTGCTTCTATAGGACATTTTCCTGCTTTCACATAGTACAGCAGAGGAGATGGGAGAGACATACAGTCTATCACACCCTCCTAAGTTTCCTGTGCAACTTCTTCAGTAAAGCATGTGAAAACACAGCTAGTAACCAGCAGACCAGTTTGGAGAACTTGCATATGGAACCAAATAAAATGTCACATCATCAGCAAGTTCATTCTAAAACATTACAAGCTTGACCAAACTTATGGGAATGCTAAAATTCACATAAGCGAAAGAGGTGTCCAAATGAAGACTGTTCGTGTTTTCAAGCATTTCTTTTTTCATCTTTGTTACTTCCATCAGCTATTTAATAGGCTTCAGCACTTGAAGCAAAGGAGAGAAATACAGAGAAAACATGAGAAAAGCAATGCCCTGACAGTTGGGCATTGGCCTAGGATCTCAGTCCTACTCACACATGCCAAAGTGTGCACAGGGAATATGAATGCAGAAAACAGGATAAAATCAACTCAGGGGTTGAGCTGCTGATCTCTGGGTGTTTTGGGGATCATTATTTTTCATGGTCCAAATGCAGTTTGTAGTTCAGATGAACTGCCCATTGCCGAAGTTAGGAGGCTACTTCATACCAGTCTCACTTGTTATACCCTAACTTAAAACTGGCTTAGCATCTGCTGCTGTCAAGAGACAGGTTGCTGGAACAGAGGGATTTAACCTCCTCCAGAACAGCAAAATTAAAAGTAGTAATTGCTTTGCCACAAGGTGTGGAGATGAGCCACCCCTGCCACACCTCAAGTTTGGAGTTTCTGTAAACTCAAAGCCAAAATGAGGCCCTTTTGTGTTGAGAATCCTATTTCACCTTATTTTAGAGTTCTTTTAGGATGGGAAATGCTTTTATTAATAACGAGTGTTTTCTGAGAAAGTTTCTTCTCCCTCTGAAAATGGTGGTATTAGGGGTGACTTTTTTCTTCTCTTTTTGTTTTCAACGAAACTTGAAAAGGAAAATTCTCATGAGACCAGTCTTGGCTTGTTTGCCAACAGTGTTGCCCTTTGCCAGTGGCAAATGGGAAAAGAGAAAGAGAAGGAATGGCATAGAAAGAGGGAGAAACCCCTAACCTGAAAATTACAGCGGTTTTAATTCAAATGTAATCACGTAAGGTCTGTGCCACTTTGAGAGCAGCTTTCCTTCCTTAGGCTGTATTTGGGAAAAGGTCTCAGTCAGGCTGCCCTGTCCGAATGCATGTGAACCTGCTGCCACTCTGCTTTGCCCTCTAGGCCGATGAGGTGCAAGACGTGATGCATTTTAACTACACTGCCTGGCCTGACCACGGGGTGCCTACAGCCAACGCCACCGAAAGCATCCTGCAGTTCGTGCAGATGGTCAGACAGAAGTCAACAAAGAGCAAAGGTCCCATGATTATACACTGCAGGTAAGTGCTTCCAGCAAAAGGAGGAGTAAGGGACGTAACTTGCCAAAGATCATGTAAATCCACTGGAAAGAGATGCGTGGATTTGGCTATTAGCTAGAGATTATCTTCTTTGCTTTTAAGGGGAGAGGACTAACACCTGTGACTATAGTGGGGCTGGGATTTGCAACCTGCATCCTTAGGGGCATCCATAGGCATTTCTTTATCTTTGGCTAGTGTAAGTCCAGCAGCAGGCTGGAGTGATTTATTCCTGCTTAAACTCTGCCCTTGCTTTCTCATTCATGCTAGTGGGGGTGAAACCTGGGCAGCTCCTGCTGCAGAGTGCTGTTTTCCTGCAGCAGCATATGTGGAGAGGTCCCTCTGCTCCCTTGGCACTCAGCACGCTGAGATGGGACATATTAACAGCACTACCTGTGCAAGCAGTTATCCCACTATCCCATAATAACAATTAAATGTGTGTTTTTTCGTTTCTTTTCTGGAAGCAAGCTCGTTTTATATACAGACAGATTTATGTCTTGTTCGTCATCTGGCCTTTACTAGCGCAGTCGCCTACCTGGCAGCTCTGGGGGCGGCTGCAGCGTTGATGGGTGATGATATCAATGATATCACACCAGCTTCTTCCCTGATGTGACTCTCCCAACTGATTTCAAATCTCTCCGTGGCTCTGACTGGTAGAGCTACTCAGAATAGAGTTTCCAGACACCTAAGTAGAAGGATTGCAATGGATGTATGTGTGCGTATTAGGATGACACAGTCCCATTGGAGGTCAAGTTTTGATGAGATCAGCATCAGCCTAGGCAGATATGTTGCTGCACAGCACATCAGCACCCTCCAGTGATTTCTTTCCTGTTGCTGATGTGATGACTGGCACTTCCCGTCTCTGGCAGCCACCTTGCACATTTTCAGGAGCTGTTTCTCAGAAAACAGTTCTTTTTACAGCAATCTGATTTCTGGTGCCAGATGTGACATTAAGTGCTCTACTAGGAAGCAAAGCAACAGCAGTGTTTGTAAAAGCAACAAGTCATGCAGCCATCCCCTATAACTTACTTGAGGAATTCATAGGGAATATAGATTTGGAACTGGGTCCTAATATCAACAATGGTGCTAGTAAACCAGGAAAGGGATTTATATATAGGGCTGTGGAATCAAATCCTCTGCATAATTCTGCTGGCCTTAATTACAGTTGGGAAGAACAGAGAGAAATGGGAAGTATGAGAGAGCTGGAAAACAAATGTAGTATCTTATTTTTAATTGAGATACCCCTTCCTGCAAAGAAACATGTTTTCAGATGGTTATGGTACCTGCAGAGCCTGCCAGTGTTGAGCTGGGCTGCTGCAACTTTGTCACAAATACTTCCATGGTTTTCCCGGAAGGTGCGACAAGGCAGCAGAAGCCACTGGCACTAGGACACACACTTCTATCCATAGCAGTTGGCACACTGGATGAGTGAAGATCTGAAATGAAATTGTACAACTGAGCATGATTGTGAAATCAAAAGGCAAGGAATTATTTGCATACTAGAAACTAAGCTTCTCTTTGCAAGGATAATGGTTTATCAGCCGAGTCCTTGCTGTTTATTTGTCTAGGACTCCCAAAGCACAAAGCTGGTGCAAAACCTTTTCTGCCCGCCAAACCCCAAGAGACCATCCACTGAGGATGAGCTCCACCAGTGCCATGTCCTTGCCAAGCCATTAGAGAGCAATGGAGCTAAATCCTTGCAGGTTCAGTCACAGATGCCTGGGTGCAGTAAAATGTTGCAGTTACAGCTGTATCTCCTGAAGTTTGCAATTTCTCCCGAATTTGAAGGGAAGAGAGAATGAAATGTGAGGGTACATGGGAGCTGTCAGGGAGCCTGGGATGAGCAGACTCCTAAAGGTGAGTGTGTGCATTCACACTCTGCACATGAATGCATGCATGAGGTGAGGAGGAATGTAGGAAGCTGAAATAACTGCAGAGCCATCCATTCGATTCGTTTTGTTTGAGCAAAATATGATGGCTTGCACATCATTATATCCTAGATTAAACATCCTTCTGTCTGCCCTTAAGTCAGACACATCAGTTTTTCTGAAATGACAGTCATGTTTGTGTGTGTTGCAGTGCTGGAGTTGGACGAACAGGCACCTTCATAGCCCTGGATCGGCTCTTACAGCACATTCGTGATCATGAGTTTGTAGATATTTTAGGTCTGGTGTCTGACATGCGGTCCTACAGGATGTCCATGGTACAGACAGAGGTAAGGTGCCCCCCTTCAGCTCTTTTCAACAGTAAGAGTATGTGATCGTATCTATCATCTCATTCATTTCTGTAACATGGTCACATCCAACAGCTCATTGTTCCGATTGAACACATGACAAAATAGCTATGAGTAAATACAATAAAATGTTCTTCTTCATTGTAGTGTTGTAGTCACATTATTGTAGTATTCTTCATTGTAGTATTGTAGTCACATTGTAGTCACATTATTAATCGTCTGCATAAATAATCATATGTCAGAGCCTGACAGCTTATCCACAAACTCAGTGATGTTTTCCAGTGGGGAAGAGTTGTGCTCACCTTATAGAAAACAAATGTGTAAAATATATGTTAGAAGAGATTAGCATCTGAATTAGAATTGTACTTACTGAAAAGATTACTGACTCATGGACCCATATATTAGGGTTGGGCAGCCATTCATGGCTTGGTCAAGACGACAATGGCCAAGCACAGGAACTAAGCTGTGCTTCAACCATGATCCATGAACACCAGCCCCAGACACTAGTCCAATATTTTTTCTGGACAAATATTCTGATGATATGAATAATCTCCTGATATTTTCCTTTAAAAAAAAAAAAAAAGAAAAAGAAATATGATATGTATGATATATGAAATACAGTGTTTGTGGTCTAAGGAGTGGGTGCTTGGGACGTGGGCATCCCCACGGCCGCAGCAAGGCTGACGTGGCTCTCCCATCCCCAGGCTCTCCCGTCCCTGCCCTTGGCCAGCATTGCATCACGCCAGCCGCTTTTCTCTGCCAAATGTGCAAATCCTCAACTGCAAACTTGTTCTTTTCCTCCCCTGCACAGCTGTGCCACCAAGGTCACTAGGTGGCAGTGGCACTTGGCACAGAAGCCACCAACAAATGCATTGTATTCATTATAGAATTTGAAACTGCAAACACACACAGTTTTCCTGGTTTCACATTTCCTCATAAACTGTAAACTTAGCTCTGACTCACTGAGCAGTTAGTTAAAAAGCATAGAACAAAACAAAAACCACACGACTAGGTAAAGCAGTGACCATCCTGAACTGAGGGCAGTCATTGCCAAAAATAAAAAAAAAAAGGAAGATTTGTGGCCCAAAACGTGCTTCAAATATAGATTGCTCTCTCCTCAGATCAGCAGCCCACTGGGGACAGGCGCTGAAAGTGACACTTGTATTTTAGAAATTGAAACTAGCTCTGTCTTGGGAGAGGCGTCTCTGATTGAGATTATTTGCTTCTTGCACGTGGTGCTCATAAAGCTTGGTGTAGGATTCATCAGGGTTTGCGTTCCCTCACTTGGGGAAAGATCTTTAAATTATGAGATTTAGATTTCAGATGTAAATGAAGTGTGTATTTGAATGCTGATAATGCTTGGAAAAGCTGCTCTGCGAACAAAAAGAACTACATTTTAGCTTTTTGTTGGTAAAAAGCCAGTAGTTACAGAAACACGAGGCTCATCAAAACATTTTAGGTAGTGGGATATGTGTGTGTGAGAGAGAGATGGGTAGATTTTGTTATCTTTCAGAGAATTAATGTATTTTCAGACCTTCCAAGATAGCCCCACTTCCTGAATCACACAGAATATCACACAGAGTCTCCAAGGTGAACAAGTGACAAACTATAGACCTGCAGGGAGTGTGGAGCATGCTGCTTAGCAGTGGTGTGTACCATGGGGGCCTCCATCGTGCACTGTGGCCACTCTCCATACAGCTGGTATTTGCTTTCAGAGCCATCTTCCAAATCCTTCATGATTCACAAGAGAAGACAAGTCAAAAGAGAAAATATGAAATTGTGATGGCTATTGTTTCTAAATGCAAACAAGGTTACTAGAAGGTCAGCTTATAATAATGGCTTCAGCACTTTTCTCATTGCATAGTTGAGACTCAAGATTCTATATTCTCTCATATGTATACGTTCTGAGTTTAAATTTGCTACTAACAGGAGAAGCTATGAATAGGTAGACTGTTTTTGTAAGTTAATCATAATTACTAGTAAAAGCTTTCATGCAACTCTCAAGTAGTCTAGCTTCAACTTCCAGTCATCTGGTATTGAAGCAACCTACACTTCAACGGCAGCGTTGATTCATCATAATTTGGGTTGCTAATAACTTACTTATTAAAGTACCAAGCTAGTTCAGGTGAACCTGATGGTTCCACAGCTGCTCTCAGTCATCAAGCACTGTTCCTGTGGGAGCAGACATTTCACTGTCTGTTGCAAGGGTTTTAGGAGAGAAAGTTGTTGTTCAACTAGCAAGATGTTTTTCTATTCATTTTTTGTCAAGCATTCTGAGGTATAAAAACCCCATTTGTGTGCTCATTTCTTGCAGGAACAATACATTTTTATTCACCAGTGTGTGCAATTGATGTGGCAAAAGAAGAAGCAGCAATTCTGTATCAGCGATGTCATATATGAGAACGTCAGCAAGTCCTAGTTCAGAATCACAGGTGTGGTGAGTCAAGCAAGCCTGTCCTTGCATAGTCCTTGTGGTTTATCACCTTGGCTGCATGGTAGCAAGTGATATTTGTTCTCTTGTGCTGCAGGAGCATATATATTTATATATATATATATATATATATATATGTATGTATGTATGTATTTATGAGTGTGTGTGTGTGTATATTATAAATTAGAAATATATAGAAAAAGAAATCATTTAACTCCTATCATGAAGTAGTCCATCATACATCCCATAGTAACTTTATTTTAGCACTAGTTGTTCCAGGGTAAGAAGAATACTGAAAAAGCCATCAGCAAGTCCCATCATCTAATGCACTTTGCAAAGTTTAAAGGGATCAGGGAGGGACCCTTACACAGCAGGGACACAAGCAGCCAGTTGCTCCTGCTTGAGCAATAACGTTTAGTTCATTAGGTGGCAGCAGCAAGCTGCAAGCCTGACGCTGGCTTTGGGGAGAAGCAAGAAACCAGCACAGATAGCTCGTAGATAGCCAGGCTCTGGATATTATCCATTGCTAGGCTCTGTGTTCTTCATTTCCCAGCCCAGAAATTCAGCCACGACTTCAGTTTTCTTAATTCTAGGTAGCTCACTCTGATCTGCATCCTAGAGCCTGGGTGTTTGCACTGGTGGCCTGTAGTCCCATCCTGTATGAGGTAAAATATAAATGCTAAGGGGTGTATTGTTTTCTTGTTTATCTCTTAATTCATTATTTGTCTCTGCTTGTTCTGTTCCAGGTGAGACCATGAAGCACACCCATCTTCCCTTGCTTCTGAATTATTTTTTCTTTGGATGGTTCTGCCACGAGAGACCACTGCTTTGCAGTACGCGGACAGTGAGAGAAAGAAAGGAAGGAAGAAACTTTACCTTTAGAAGCACTGGGGAGACAAAGCCTTAAAGAGCCTGCGGTGTCTTTTGAACTGTTTAATTTCTGGACATTTTTTTAACTACTGGACCAAATTCAACTAAATAACACAAAGGAAAAGACACTATACTATGTGCATAAAGTAGATTGCTCCAGAGTGTTGGGGTTTTTTTCATTTGGTACTTTTGCTTTAACTTTTTTTTTTTCCTCTCTCTCTGTGCAGGTTGGGCTTAAGGTTAAAGCAAGTGCAATATTTTTTTAGTGGTTGAATGAAGAACTTTCTTCATGTGTCACTGGTCTGTGCTAAAGTCCATAGGAGAGCAGGCATTGTTAGTATCTAATAATACCTCATTAGTGAATAGCGAGGCATGAATATACATGAAGAAATCTGGAGATTGTGATGAGGCAATTTGGGGAGGGAGGGTACTGGGTACACTGTTTTTAATTGTTTCCTGCAGCACTGATGTTCTGCACTTGGGGGAGCAGGGGAAAATGCAGGACCCTGTGAACCAATTAATGGTCAGAAATCCAAACCATGAAGCCTAAAGCTAGAGTAGGCAGCCTATGGTGAGAAATATGGTTATTTTGGTTCTGGACTGTGCTAATTAAGCAGCAGGATGGTTCTTTTCTCCAACCTTTTCAGTAATGCCACTGATCAGGTTCTTTCTTTTTTTAAGATAAAGCTAATCAAAGTGCAGATGAATCTGAAGCTGGAATATCTTTGACTCTGTTACTGTAACATTTAACTATCCAAGCAGTCTGTGGTGCCTCTACCCTCTTTTTTTTTTTTAATTATTATTATTATTGTTTTTAATATGTATTAACCCCATGTAAAACCATGAAGCTGATTCAGGTTGGGGAAAGAAGAGTATCAGTTGCAACTATTTTTCCAAGCCAGGAATTCTCGATGTTCTGTAGAACAGGTTTTGGGCATGCGAAGAGATGGTTGTCACCTTATTGCTACGAGGCTGCCAAAGCGTCGGTCTGGATTCCTGCAGGGACTTCGGGGTCAGGGTGGGGGGGCCTCTTTCCTTTTTTGGCTGTCGGTTTCTGTTCTAGTCAGAATAACTAGCTCTATATATATTTTATTTTTTGGTTTGGTCTTTGTATAATTCCGGTACATCATTGTGTATTGTGACCTGGATGCTGTCAGGATGGATGTCGATGGCATTTTTGTAACCTGTTGCTTTGTGTCACCTCATTGGAAGTTAGCGGCAATGGTACTCAATGTAAACAAAGCAAACTTGAACTGGAAGTAAAACGCACTGGATTGCTTGCCTGTGAAGCTGTCACTGTGGGCCAAGCAGCAATGCCCCCCGCGGACTCTGCATGTGCCCCCATGCAGAGCCCAGCTACTTCCAAGGAGCCTGATCTCCTTCTTCAGATAGGATCAGATTTCATTATTTTTCCACCATCAGGTGCAGTCACAGTAAAGGTTGCCATGAAAAGCCTCCTTTAAGCTGTTGCCTGTATGCTGTGCAAAACAGTGTAGGTGCAGCGTAATCTTTCCCCCTCACACTGCAGAAAAAAAGCCCAAAACATCCTTGTGAGGCTATTAAAAACACAAGTCTTTGTCTCATAAAGTGGGTATGATAGGATTTTGTGCCCCAGCTGCTGGGGTCGTAACACAGGTCAGGCTCCAGTCTCCTCTTCTCACCCACTCCTCACCCTTTCTATCAACTTAATATTTCTTCCCAAATCCTGCTTTTCCAGGACTTATAGCACAGCTACCATTTTTGTAAATAAGATCCATAGAGCTGTTATAAATGGTTGGATAGCCTTGTCTTTTGCAGGGAGATTACTAACAAGAAAGGCTTCAGCATTACAAGGTCTGCAGTATTTCCTGTCGTGCCTAGGCTGGAGGCCTTGCCATTGCACTAGGCATGAGGAAAGTGGGCCCAGTCTAATCTAAACAGCAGCCAGAAGTGCAAACGTGTACTCGACCACTCAGCCCTTGGATTTGCCCTTTTTCTGTTTGTATTTCAGAGCGTCACTATGTGCTTCCTCAGAAAACGTGGCACCTCCCTTAGAGAATGTCCAGAGCGGGAAACAAAATAATCCTATTTTCTCATCCACTGCTTCACCCAGCTGCTGTGCGTTGATAGCACAGAGCAACCAGGTTACTTGTAAAAACTCATACACACACAGAACATGGTGGTGGGAGCTGGCTGTGGCAAACCACAGCCTGGTCATGACATGCTGCTAGATTGCTGCTGCAAAGATACTGAAATGGCACAGATGCAAATCATCCTGCCTTGAGGGCTTGCATATACTAGGCAGCTTTTCAATACAGGACAAGGAATTATTCAACTACCCCATTCAACAGCAGGCTTTTTGCTTTAATAGTTCATCACAAAATTGGTTATAATGAAACTGCCTAATTCGGTGCTGAGGTGGCAATGGAAATCTCTCCTAGAGAGCTTTGAAGATGTAGTTAAAGCAGTAAAAGCATCAGGGAGACAGGGTGCTTCAGAAGTATCGTGCAGACCCTTTTATGGTATATGATAACCTCATTTTTACTTGATTACAGTTATTGAAAGCTGATCCAGAAAAAAGAAAACTACTTTGGATTCATGCTGCATGCTGACATGCTTTCTGGTATCCTCACAGCAGACCTCTCAAGCCACTGCAGATCTGTAAAGCTGCCTCAGCTCTCTGCTCCCATCATGAGCTGAGGGATGAGCTTCATTCCTGCAGCTGTGCTGACACCAGCAGCACACACTAGCGCTGTGCTTGCAGCACCTGCAACAACTCCAGTTGCGTGTAAAAGCAGCTCTGCACACAGACCAACCTGTTATCTAAACCACAGAAGTTTGTTTTTTTTTTTTTTTTTCCCCATTATTACTCCATTCAGTGCATGGTCACGAGGAGGGGAGGGAAGCAAACGTGTAAAGCAAAAGACATATCTTGGTTGAGTGAAGCTGTCAGAGCTGTAGGTGAAAATGTCTCTTCTAATGTGCCCTGAGCAATGCCTCCTGTTATTTCACACCTACTTTGCAACCTCCTGCAAGGATTAAGAACAATTCCGAAAGCTTTATTACATTTTTATAGGTTCTTTTCCAAGCCTGAAGAGGATAAAGTCACCCATTGTCAAATACTCAACACGCAGTCCCTTGCATCAGGATAGCCCTTCCCTTCCCATTAAGTTCATCATCCACATACTCACACTCCCCCAACCTGCATCTAACTGTATGAAGGCCTTGTATGAAAGCAAAAACTCCAGCCAGGCAAAACCTGTTGCTTTTGGCCACTTCTTGTGAGAAGATAACATTGTTAGCAGTGATGAAATGGATGGGATCAGCAAGTTTTGTGCTTTCACAGACATCAGGGCCAAGTGGAAAGCATCTAGGAAGCCCTTCTGTATTCCTTTTTGCTCTCCTCCTTTATCTTAATCTAAAAATGTTATCAAGAAGCAGGCGCACAAACATTACTATCCCGCTACCGGATTTGATCTGGATGCTAGTGTAGGAAAAGGTCAGAGCAGCAACTCTCCAGTGGTAACTAGAGAGAAGCTGAAGACGGGCACTGAAGAACCAAAGGTATGCAGGCCTGCATCAGCTGCACTGCAACGTAACAGCAGGAAAGACTCAACGTGCCTTCGCCTACTCACAACGAAGGGAAAAAGAAAGCTTAAACCACACTGTGTTGGCTTTTATTGGGTTTCAATCCGTTCTGTTAGCTAGTTAGCCAAGTTCTAAAGTTACTGTTCAGCACTTCCAAGAACAGTTTCACAAACAGCGATGAATACGAGTAGAGTCACTGGCAGATCAGCACACTTCAGAATAACACCTCTCTTCAGATGCTTCCTAATCAACCATTGATTTTTGCACGTATCAACACACTGAAAATCTGCACTTCGTTTCTGGGCCCAAAGTAACACCTAATGTGTTTCATGTAACACAATAAATCAATAATTATTTTGGAGCAATGAAAGCATATTAAAAAAAAAAAAAAAAAACCCTCTCAGTTTGTCCAAAAAGCACTGAGCACTAATGAGTGAACATATGCAGCTAAGACTCGCCCCCAGTCCCAGTTAAAAATGCAGATTCAATGACAAAAAAATATTATGTTACCAAACACCATCTCTTCTCCCACATTTGAAAAAGCACTTTTATTGACATTTCTATAACCATTTCACTTTTTTCAAAAAGACACTCATGCATTGAATTGTTCTAAAAAATTAATATTAAAAAAAATCTTCTTTACTCAAATCCTACAGAAAATATTTTGAGTGCAATTTTGCATTGCTGGTTTTGACCATCACTATTAAAAAAAAAAAAAAACATTTTATTTTCACTTGGTTAACCTCAAATTCAATTTCCTTCTGATTTCTCATTATTGTCAGCAAGCTGAAAACTCAAAAACTTTTCAGTTGGAGGCAAAAAACACATCTGTGTATCTTAAATCATCAACGTAGTTTTCGCCCCAAAAGAGAACATCTGCCTTAATGCCACTTCGATTGCATTATGCACTTCGATTAGTATGATGCAAAATCATACTAATGTAGCACAGTTAAAAGGTAAATTGCACCTTCTGGCTGCATTGTATTAGTAAGTCATTACTATTTAACTATAGAAACAAACAAAATAGGTTATCCTTCTTATCACTGCAGTACATGGATCAGATGGCCTATTTCCCTCCCATATTATCTCCAAAGATACCTCTGACCATGCTGTTCACATTCAAACTGGTCTGTTTTCCTCCACACACCAGTTAACAATAACACAGCAATGTAGCTTCAAAACAAGATATGAAGCTGCCTCTTGCCTCCCAGGGACCTAATACGGTGCTTCTGCCAAGAGCAACAAACACCAAAAGTCTTGGAGCCAACTCCTTCCTTTTGAGAAAAAGCAAATGTAGGTTGCATGCTGGGATAAACCTACAGAATATGAAAATGGGGTTCATATTTTGACTATTGTAAAGGTAGTAAGGGTTAAAGCAACCATCACAACACCTCTTCTGATTTCAACACATTTTTCACCTGGAAAGACAGCAAGTAGTTTTTAAATGTTGGTCTCACAGAACTTCTAAGAGGCTTATGCCTCCTATGTACAAGTAAAGTAGCATCCATGCAGAAGTAGCTTCAGACCTTGCTTTATTTTATCACTCATTACCCAGAATAGGGCACTCTTCTGTACAGCAAACACTTTTGGGACTAAGTATAGGCAATTAAGTAGGATGAAGAAGAGAAAGAAAAAATGAATCAGAATAGTTCAAGTCTTTGGAGGACTGGATATGACCTTTGTTGATAGGACATATGGGGAGGTTGACAATTATATCCCATAACTGTGTATATAGGTCGACTAGATGCACTTATAAAGATGTTTTGGTTCAAGTGTTTTGTGCAGAGACAGGGCAGTCAAGAGTAATTATTTCTTCAACTGGGTAAGACAAGAATCCATTTATTGACCAGTGCAAACTTCAGCTTGGGGTTCTTCACTTCCTGATCCAATTCTGGAAAGACCTCATTTAAATAACAGGTGTAGCACTTGGTACTTTCAACAAGCATAAAGAATAGATTAAAATGTAAAAATATACATGTATATATATAAATATATATATATGAAAACACATAACCAACACACAGGAGTATTTTAAGGGCATTTACAATGAGTGGCACTGAACATCTTTATTAAGATTGGAATATTTCTTTTATGAAAAATTAATATGATTTTTTTCTTTTTTACTGTTAGGCAGAGAAAGAGCAAACTAATAGCAAAAATCAATAACACTTTCTTATTTCAATATCATCTTTGTAGTCACAAAGATACAACAATTTAACAGACATGAAATACTGTTTATTGCAGACTAAGCTGATTCACATGAAAAAGGCACTATGAAACTTAATCAAATGAGATGATTAAATGTCTAAATTAAGTGATATTATATATTATATATAATACATATATTATATATAAAATCACAAGACCATATGAAACAACAAACATTTGGGGGAGAAAAAAAAAAATCACTGCATCTTCAAAAATAGTATCTGCTGGAAGGGATGTTCCTTTTCTCCCCTTATGCTTCCAGGAATCCACTTTTTCACAGGATTCAGTCTACAAAGGAGCAACTTTTTTAAATACAGAAAAACAGACATGTGGAATCAACAGAGAAAGAAGTCTAGATTATACATTGTTCTTTTGACAGGTTAAGTTACAAAATGAAAAATGGAAGTTATTTAAAAAAAAAGAGAGTACTGCAAATTCCTTAAATTCTTTTATGGCTACTTATAGCAGGTCTGATCACCTCTTTCAGCTGGCTTGTATTACTATTTTCTACTTATTCCTTACTGTGTAATATTATGGTTCATCATGAGTGAAGCACTGATAAAAAATATTAACGTATAGAGTATTATTTTGCCATACACAGCATCATTAGTAATAAAACATCCAGAGTGGTGCAAGAAAGATTCAGTCTATGTTGGGGCTGCTGTTCTTTAACTAAACTTTTCTTCTTCAACTACTGACACTAGCAACTTAAACGTTCTGTAGATGAATGCACTAGAAAGCCTGAGCAAAAAGGCAAAACTGCAAATTGCAGCAGAAGATGAAATTCTAAATCTTATTATTATTGAATGGTTTGAATGCCTTATTTTCATTGCTGGCTCAGCTTCACTAAGATGAATCCAAAACAAAGACACATTTCATGTTTCTCTCTCATGGAATGATCACCTCCATAAAGCCTTTTTTTGGGGTGTGATTCAAGTGAGAAATATTTTCACTTGCCAGGTTCCTTCCTTGCATTTCTCATCTATTCATTCTGAATCGTGAGAGGCCAATAGCAGGTATTTCTGTGAAAACTAAATGTAATTCTCTTTATGGTGATCAGTCATGTTTACAAGATAGTAAGACTCCTTCACTGCTTCCTAAAGCAAAGCATGAGGTTATAATGTTAGGAACAACGGACTTAAAGAAAGGAGGAAAGATGTTTAGTGACTGCTTGCTTCATCAAAGGACTCCACTCCTGAATCGGTGGCAGCAGCACTGATTTTTTCTTGTCGCCTTCTCATTATTTCTTGCAGTTCTGAACTACCACTGTTAGCCTGTAAATGAATGAAACAGAACAGGAGTTATTTTGTGGTTGTGACATGGAATGAAGATTCTCTAACAACATTTTATTAAAAGAGATGCTTGAACAAGTTAAATCCACCTTGAGGCATCACAGCCGAAAATGCACTAAAATATTAAATTACATTTGGAATAGGAAATGTTTACACAGTTCTTGACTGTTGACCAAAAGAGTCTACAGGAGATTAAAAATGTCATCCTGCCTTTTAACACCACTGAAGATCTTTACTTCTCACACAAGTCCCTAGAGATGTTGGTTATCTATGGGGTGAAATGCCATCTCAGTAAATACAGGGTTAAAATCCACCAAGGTTGTTAGGATTCTGTCGTTGAATACTTTAAAATCGGGCGATTGTAGTTAGAAATTGTAGCACATAGACTTGGAGGGTTCATATTTACAGAGACACAAATTTAAGGCATTCTTGAGGGTCTGCAGAGCCACAGTCTTGTTAAGGCTTCAGAAACAGCCTTGGCATTCTGCATTACAGAGATGTTGTCATGCACTAGCTCCAGAGACAGGGATTTCAAACTTAGAACACAACAATATAAATTGAATCACATGAGCACCATCCCAATGGTCTCACCTGAGAAACAATACTGTAACAAGGTTGTATTTTTTATGCTAGGATGAAAAGCTACAGTAAAGGTCTGCTGACCTAGCTGCAAAACAGGGTACTCTGAAAGCCTAAATAACGCCCCAGTTATCTATTTGGTAGGGCAGGTCCAGAGGTCTGTAAACTCCAAACACCTTCCTGTATTTGCAGTCCGTTACTAGGTCATGTTTATAGCATGGCCACAAAATTCCTCTAGGAGTTTTGCTTCCTCTGATGTTTTATATCCTGGTTTGATACAAGGTTGAAGGACTTGCCATTAAAATAAAGCAAAACAACTCAAAAAGGTAAGATTTCTGAATTTCATCTGTCTGAGGTAGGAAAATAAAGCAGGTGAAGATCTGGTTTGTCAATATTTGGGTATTCAGAGCCAAATCTGAGACAGGTAGGCCATTCACTGGCTTGCAAAAATGAAATGAACCAAGAAATAGTTGTGGAAAATCCTGTATAGAAACAGAAAATAAAGACCAGGCAAGGAGTTCTGCATTATTAGAAAACTCAGGGGATTATTCCATCTCTGTCCACTATTGTTATTTGTGCTTAATGTCCAAGTCATTTACTGAAATGCAACACTATAATTACATAAAGGATGCCAGGACTACAGATCTTCATGCAACTTTGTCACTCACTCATCTTACACAACAACTACCATGGTCAAATCCCCAAGTTTTTTATAAAAGTATTCAATTACATTTGATTATACAACAGGCATGACACAATAGGCACGATACAACCAGTAGAGGTATGTGTAAAAGCTTCTGTTATCAGAAATGTTTCCAGTTTGCAGTAAAAATGTCTCCTTATTTGGAACAAGCAAGCTCTTATCTGCTTGGTAACATGTAGATAAATCACTGGTACGAGTGAACTGTACTTATTCTTTTAGATAACCTTCAATAAGGGACATTCATTCTTTAAGCCTGTGAGTTGAAATACTACACACACCAAAATGAAGGTGCTTCCAGTTCTAGGTAAGGCCGGGGGCTAACGCAACCGCATCTGTCAAAACTCAGGTAACTGAAGCAGAAAAATACTTCAGTTACGTACACGTATATAGCTATAAAAATATTTCACTAACAAGATCCAATGACCTTGTTAACTCTCAGCACCTGCTTATTAACACTTGCAGATGACTGAGTGCACAAGCTTTGATGGCTCAGTTTCCTGCAGAGTGGAGAGCTAATTGAGGCAGGCAGAAAAAGTGCAGGGAGGGCGGAAAAGGGACAGACTTCAACAAATTTGGTGCATTTCTGGTTTTCAAGTCAACTTCTACCATAAAGACAAAGAGAGATTTTTTAGGTATGTAAAGGAGGGACACACATATATCTGTAGAACAACCATGAAGTTAGTTTAACTCCCTATGAAGACACTGGGTCATTTCGCAGGACAGAGAACTCCTCAAAAGATAATGTTCTTTTCAGTGTAGCATTAAAGCTCTCATTTGCCCAATCTCCTTCAGCAAGTCAACATTCCATGTATAAAGATTACACAGCTCTTTTAATCACATCCTGAAACTTTTTTTTTTTTGATATATTTAAGAAAGGGAGAAAATGAAACATTTTCAAAGTTCTAAACCAGAGACCACATTACACTTAATAATGATATTCAAGCAAATGTGTGTTTAAAGCAATTTTAACACTTTTTGTTTCAATCTTGCATCTCAGTAGATAGAGGTCTTTTTTAATGGGATTTCAATGAAAGAATTGACATTTTAGGATGGTTGAATAATTTGCATTTATCTCTACTAGAAAGTGATTGATTGCACTGGACTCTTCTATGTGTCCATATAATGGCATATAATCCTAAAAATAAAGCATTTCTCCCCTCTTTTAATAGGGAAATGGGGCTTGAATAAATAAATAAATAAAAAGAAGTTTTAAGTAGGGACAGAAAGAAGCACTCTCTGGCCCACACTGATTGATAAATTGTAGACCTGTCATCCAATCTTCTCTTTAAAAGATGCCTGGCAGTAAAAACTTAAATATTTAATCAAGACAGTCTGAGCTTGGTGAAGGGAGACAGACAAAGACTTCCCCCCCCCCCCCAAAGCAGGATCTGAGGACTATTGTTTCCTTCTTGGGCTAATCCCATCTGCAGACTGTACTCTGAACCACTTCTGCACTTGCTGTGGCAAGTATCAAATACAAGAACTACGTAACTGCAATCTTCCTTGTTTAAAAGCCCAAAATGTCACAACATTCAACAGTTTGCTTGCTTGCTCACTCCACCATTTTCAGAGATCTTCTTCTACAGGAATAGAAGAAAAATTCTGGAATTGCATTGCTACCAAGAGCACCAGAGCTACTTTTCTGTCCAAACACCATGCAGAGCATAAAAGAAGAGAAAGAGCATTTCACTCTCTCCTGCAGTTTCCTTCCAAAGGGCCTTTTTTGGCTCACTTGTCTCCTTGCAACCTCAAGATCTTGCTTATGGGACACGATGTTGTAAGCTTCAAGACTTCAATACAAAACTCTTCCACCAAAGCTTTATTGAACTCAGAAGTAGGAGTGAACTGCACTGTTTTTAGGACTGCTGCTTTAATAACTTAATACCAAAATCACAGAAACTAAGGAACAACAAAACAAAAACTTTTCCCACAGAAAGGGCTCTTCATTTCCACCAAATTCAACCAAGTAAAACTTATTTCACGACTATCAGCAACCAAGAAGGGTTGTACCCACCTCTAGGGCCGATTTCTGTACCGTAATTTGGCTGTAGACCCGAGACCCTTCGGGGCAGACAGTCCTCAGTTCCTCCTTGTTGAGGGAGAAGAGCTGTGCTCCCGTCAGCACGCCGAGGCTGTTAACAGTCCTGGGAGCCACAACAATGACAGAACAGACCGTGAATAAGTAAAAAATGCATTGGCAAGGTGAAAGGACAACACTGGTATCCACATTTTACTCAGACAGGGTCACCAAATAAAGACCAAACTTCACGCAATGGGACACACAAGGGCAATTCAGCATGTGTCACAGCCAGTAGGTATTCATGGAGACTTTTACATAAAATTTAAAGATAATATATATACATATACACACACATATATATAAAAAATACCTTTATATATATACAGCTATATATGTTTCATATTTATTTAAGTTTTATATATCAAGAAGTTTTCTTACGCCTTTCCTCAAAACTTACACAGGGTTGAATCCTTTGGACTGCAACCATGCTTTGACATCCTCGGGTGACGAGTCATAAGTAATATTGACTACAGGGATGTTGGGTCGTGGCACATGGAACTTCCTCTGGGCAGCGCTCCGGCCAATGGTGAGCCGGTGGATGAGTTCATCCTGCACCTCCTCCATCTGGGATTTCCTTCCTGCAGAGAGAGGAGGGACACGGGCACCACAGTAATTACTTTCAAAGAGATGTCAAAATAATAATAATTAAAAAAAAAAGTGATATTTCTTCTTTTACCCTGCTTCTTTTACTCATTTTATTTTCCTTTTTCCTTTTATTTTAAAACTCATTCCTTCAGCCTGATTGAATTTTTGTGTTATTTTTATCCTCTTTTCCTCCCCCTTCTCCCTTTGCAAAACTACAATTAATTTCATAAAAGTAGGCAGAAGCCAAAGGGTGTAACTTTCATTTCAGGCAGAGAAGAGATTTAGCACAGTTAAAGTTTGTCCACAGGAACTCTGGCATTACTGTAAAGTGCTCTGATATAGAACTTTAAGTGACCTCAAAAAGTCTCAGGATTTCCTTAGGATGGTATTTTCAGCCAGCTTTAAGTAAAATTCTCACTTTGATACAGGAGTACATCAATTTCTCTAATGGATTCTGATCTTAAAAGTCATTCTCTTTCTCCAGTTGCACTGAGAACAAGGAAAGATGACCACTTCCCCCCAAAAAACCCCACAGGATTGCAAAAATGCTTCCTTCTTTGGTTTCCTTTTGGACTGTCCCCAAATCTTTCCAACGACCAAACTCTGCACAGGCTTCTTCTTTGTGAATCACCACCACACACTGACAGAAGGAAAAAAAAAAAAAAAAGCCTTTTGATATTATCTCTATTACAAAATAGCCCCAGGTTGTAAGGGAACAAATAATGAAAGTCTTTGAGGCATTCAGACTATTGGTATATATATATATATATTTCAAGTCAGGAGCTTGAATCAGATGCCAAAATGACATGTGCTCAGTGATATGTGAAGGTTTGAGGATGAGATACATGAGTAAAGCCTTTAGGCAACGTTACCGAAGCATGAACCAGTTATTTCCCCAAACAGGAAGACAGCAAGAAAATTGCTATCTCCCTTCTATTTACACAGATCTGAAAGGACTTGCACTTGAGCTTGTCCATGGCTTTATCAAGAGATAAATATTTAGCTGCTAGACATGAGATTGTCGGTGGGTTTAGACACGCTATTATAAATACATAAAATGCAGTCTCAGCTTGAAGCAGCGTCTCCACTTGTTGCTTCTCGGCAGGGTTCAGGAGGGTCCCTGGGCAGAAGCCACACAAGCACTGACACCCCTGTCCTCTGCACGAGCAGTTATGAAGAAATAACTGAGGTACCTAAAGACCATCAATGCTTCAGTGGTGGCTCATCATAAAGGCATAAGCAGCAGTTTTCCATCCCTACTAAACTGGAAAGAAGGCAATCTAGGCTTTGGGTAAGCACATCTGCTGTAGCATGTGCTGTCCTCTTTAAATGGAACTTAAGGCAATCATTTATATGGCTGAAAAAAGTTCATTCTCGCTTTCCCCAACTTCTAAAAACACTCACTTTTCTGCTTTTATTTAAGTAATACACCATCTAAAATAGGACAAAGCTAGAAGCTTTCTTAGAGAAAACAGCAAGGGCGCACGTCCATGATTCTCTAAGATGTTGTTCTCCATTTATAATTTCCCAATAATTTGGGAAATAATTTGTTGATGAAACAAAAACAGTCTTGATACAAAAGGGTCTTAGCCTACTTCAGTTTAGAGCTTAAGGAAGAGCTTGTCCAACACAAGGCAAGGTGAAAACAGGCTTCCCTGGCTGCATTTTGCACCTCTAAGGATGCTTATTCCAGAAGGCATGCAGGAGGAAGAAAGTCCTTCTGCAAAAAGGAATATGCTCGGATCCATTTCTCACTTCCAGGGGAACTAGGGGTTTTGATAGTATGGTGGTGATGGGGATGGGAAAAGCTGCCAACTCTTTAACTGCAAAAGCTCATCCTAGTTGGAGGTCTGTAGGGGTCAGCCCTCAGTTTGGTCCTGTTCAATTTATTCATCAATGACCTGGATGAAGGGATGGAGTGGCGCCTCAGCAAGTTACTTATGATACCAAACTGGAATGAGTAGCTGATACCCTAGAGAGCTGCCATCCACAGGGACCTAGACAGATTGGACAACTGGGCATTGAGAAACCTCATGAAGTTCAGCAAGGGTAAGGGCAGGGTCCTGCACTTACAGAGGAATAACCCCAGACACCAGTACAGGCTGTGGACTGACCTTCTGGAGAGCTGCCCCGCAGAGAGGGACCTGGGCGTCATGGTGAATGACAAGATGACCATGAGGCAGCAGTGTGCCCTGGTGGCCAAGAAGGCCAACGGGATCCTGAGGTACATTAAGAAGAGTGTCTCCAGCAGGTCGAGGGAGGTGATGCTCCCCCTATACACAGCCCTGGTGAGGCCACATCTGGAGACTGTGTCCAGTTCTGGGCTCCCCAGTACAAGAGGGATGTGGAGCTACTGGAGGGAGTCCAGCGCAGAGCTACAAGGATGATCAGGGGCCTGGAACATCTGCCCTATGAGCAAAGGCTGAGGGAGCTGGGCCTGTTCAGCCTGGAGAAGAGAAGGCTGAGGGGGGACCTGATCAGTGTCTATAAATACCTCAAGGGAGGCAGTGAGGAAGAGGGGGCAGCCTCTTTTCAGTGGTGGATAGCGACAGGACTAGAGAAAATGGTCACAAACTGAAGCACCAGAAGTTCCACAGGATCAAGGAAAAAATTCTTAACAGGGTGACAGAGCCCTGGAACAGGCTGCCCAGAGAGTGTGAAATCTCCCTCTCTGGAGATCTTCAAAATCTGCTTGGACACCGCCCTGTGCTACATGCTCTGGCTGACCCTGTTTGTGCAGGGAGGGATTGGACTAGATGGTCTCTCAGGGTCCCTTCCAACCTCAGATTCTATGATTATTTTGACAGAGTTTGCTTTAATAGCTATAGTAAACACTTGCCCGTGAGTTTTAGGTGGTTGTAAGCTAAGCAACTGCACTGCTTAATGAGTTTTTAGAGAAAAAAAATACTGATTTGCAGAGTAAGTTACTTCAAGCCAAATTTTGCCTTTAAATTGATATTGTGTAAGCGCATCAAAGTTTGGAAGCTCTGATTATGATTCTCTTTATACAGCATGGTTCTTATGCATCAGCTAGACCTGCAAGTCTGTGGCCTTGAATACATGCTCCAAAATGGCTAAAGCATAGTTAAACACTGATGAAACTGTAAACAAAAATTACTTTAAAAGCGATTTAGATACACAGGAGGAAAGTGTATGTTGGGCTATCAGCATTTGCCACAGTAGAGTCTTTGATTAGTGGCATCCCAACAGACATACATAAAAGGAGAGGATGAACTTACGGTCCACGGGAAGCTGCTTGTGCCTCTGGCTGTCGCGTGCCACGCTGCCCCCGCCGCTGTCACTCGACGTGCTGCTCTGGCGGCTGATGGTTGGAGCTTTGGGCACCGGGACGGGGATGGGCGCTGGGGTGCTGGGAGGGAGCGGGACGGCCACGGGGACTGGAGCGGGCGTTGGGGGCGGTGAAGGAGTGACGGGAACCGGGTCGGGTTGTTTTGCAACATGGTCCATCCTTTGTTTCTGAAAGGGTTCAGACAGACTTGGTTCAGTGACAGAGCTTGGGCAAGAAGTCGGAGGGATTCCAGTCTTTGCAGAAAAACGCTCAGACGTTTGTCACCAACTGATCTCTTTTATTCCAGAAAGACATCTTTCTTGCTAGGTAAGAGTTCTAAAATTCACCAAAACTTGGTTTCTCAGAATTCACAAGAATCATCTTACCTGCAACTCATTTCTTTCTTAAAGACAATGATTTCTAAAAGTGAAAGCACTAAGTTCAAAACTTCTGTTTGCTGGCCCTTTTGACCAGCTTCCAGAAATTTCTGAATTGTTGAGTTTATCAGTATAAAAACATATGTTTTAGAGATATTAAATGAAAAGTAGTGAAAACCAAACATACCCAGCCACACCTAAGCCTGACTAATACTTTAATTTGTGAGGATTACTGAGATTGGGGTTACTTATTATTCTTTGAGCTGTAGACATTGTGTAAGAAATTCCTGCTCCTCCTACCAATTCAGTTCTGACACTTCAACCATTGTGTGACCATTATAAGCCACAGCTTTAAATTATCCAATTTAAAAAACTCACAGAAGTCCACAATGCTTGGAATGTTTTCCTCCCTCCTCTTTATGAAACATCTTTTGAATATATACAGTTCCATAACTGTGGAAATTATTTTGCTATTAATAAGTAACTGTGGCAGAAGTCCCATACCAGGTGTCTCAAGAGTAATTTTGAGGAATGCTTTCTTCTCCCTGTATTTGCCTTTAGAGTAGTGCCAATTACAGCAAAAGGCATACCCTTTCCCCAAAGGGATCCCGGTGATGGACCAGCCCAAAAGTTCATAAGCTATGTGCACCACTCTTTCCTTTCAAAGGGTCTGAAGTACACATCTCACTCTTTCAACAGTGCTCCCTCCCTGCAGTTTTTGACCAACATAGCCCAAAAGCTTAATATTCAGGTTTGTTTGCTCAGGAGTAATATCTCGTTTCTGGGTTATAAGAAGTCTGCTTGCTTTGGGTGAGAAATTAGATGAGCACATTCCCCAGACTCATTCCTCCTTCCTGAAATACCCTTCCCTGTTTCCTTGGGTGTACAGGGTTTATGACAGATTAAGTAGAAAAATATTTGTAGGAGCCATACATTGAGTTTGATCAACACATCACTGCCCTGGCAACAATCAAGCTTTCATTAAACCTCAGCCACTGCCTTCTGCAGAAATCTCCAAACTGCTAACTGGTAGGAGGTGAAGGAACGCAAGGCATTTCATGGTTAATATAAACTGGGACCATGGCAGCCAAGCTGCACTGAGCTACACCACTGAAAAGAACATATTTGATGAGCTTCTATAGCCAACAATCAAGCTTAAACACAAATATTCTTTTTTTTTTTCCACGCTCTCTTAAATTGTAGTGATCAGATACTTAAGGATATATTATAGTCTTATAATAATCTCCCCCATTAAACCTATTTCTTTTCCTAGAGTTGTTTAAACATATTAGTCTCAATTATTTTGTGTTTGACTTCTACAGTACATTGTAGAGATTTAAGTCATAGGATTTACTACTTCTATGATGACAAGACAATAATTGCTTTTAAAAATGTCAAATGACAAGAAAAGTGATGTGCAGAATATAAAAGAGAACAGATAGAATAATGAATATTAAAGAAATCTGTCCTTTGGTAGAAACCTGACTGCTGTAGTAGGCATATAATAATTATACCATAATTTATAATGTATAGATATAGTATACTATATCAAAAATAAGGTTACTGAATTCAAGTCCTTTACAGGTATTAAAATGTCATACTGGTATTCAGAAATAACATTATCTTGTTCTCAAATTCAAAATTTCTGGAGCATTATCCCCACAATGTACTGTTACATATCTCCCTGCCACTGACTTTCTTGAACAACATGCAAAAAGGAAACGGACAAAAAAAGACTTGCTCTTTTTATGGCAGAAATCATCCATTACAAAGCAAGGCATCCACTGCATATCACTGCAATCACAATTCAGAAAGGGACAGCTAAACACTACATGTAGCTCTAAATTGATGCTACTAAAGCAGCTGCCGAACTGTTATACTGCAACTGCAAGCCTCACCAAAACAACCTGCTGCAAGTTGCAGTGAAAATAAAAAAGGAAGAATATTCAGTCATATTCTACATTTACATAACACCAAATTGAAATATGCTTCAAATTTTGTATTTTTGCTCAAAAGACAATTATATTCTAGCATCAATTTAACTTTTTTTTTTTTTTTTGCCTTCGCAATTCTAGATTTTTTGAGGATGCTCAGACCTTCTTCTAGGTGTGTTTGCTACTTTCTACAAACAAAGCAAACATGCACTTGAGCATTTTGTAACTGCGTAGTCCAAAAGACTCATTTTTGATATTCAATATCAGAAGAGCAATTTTGTTACCTCTGAAAGCTCTCCCAACAATTGCTGTGAGGAAAAGGGAATGGACACAACAACAGTATTGTTAAAAAATTAAAAATAACTGCCTCATGTATCACTCATGAAATACTATACATACTAGAAATTTAAAAACAAAAGAATATCAGTGCTAATAATCACCTCTTCTTATTCTCAAAGCAACTAACATAATGAGTTATTTCCATTTTTTTCTTTTCAGTAATGAGTGAAACACTGGTTACCCTAACATATATAAGTGGTATCACACAAGCAATGAGCTCTTTTCAAAGCACCTATCCAAACTGACTGAAAACTCAGAAATAGGTGTAAAAAAAAAAGATAAATGTGGAGAATACTATCATATCATTTTTTTAAAGAAGCACTTAAACTAAAGAATGTAGGCTGATTTACAAAATGATGTAAACGTAATTTACTGCTGACAGACACGTACCCACTATTTTGATGACTGCTACCAGAGTGATGAATATTCCTTGTTTATTTCCTCTCCTTTATTTTTTTGAATAACAGATCAAATTGTAACTCATGGAAATTGGAACAAATCCAACAAATTATGCAGAATAATTCTGATATACACTTACTAAAAATCTGGATATATGAGAGAAGCTTTCTAGTATTTTTTAAAAAACAAACATCTTTGTATTCCACACAACAAATGCAGGTTTTGATGATCTTTTTAAACATCTTGTAAAAAAATCAACATATTACATGATTTGAGCTATTTTTCTGTAAGATCATGACTCTCAATAAAAGTGATGAATATCAACTCTAACTCTTGATTATTGGAGGAAAATTGAGAACAATATATTTGAAAATATATACCACAAACAAGGCATATATGCTTTCAAACTATGGAAAATACAGACTTAATATTAAGAGTCATCAGATGCTAACCATAATCAGCATAATTGCTGGGAAGTGCTCTCATTAAGTTAACACAGACACAAAGGTTCCTATTTATTCTCTTTCTCAGCATCTTATGTCACATCCTTGTCTGCACAGCCACAGAGCTTCACCAAGAGGATGGCAGAGCATTTAGCCTTGTTTTTTTCAACAGCATTTTGCTCTGGGTGTTTTCTTGACACTCCTTTTAGGCTCTCCCACTTGGGACAGGTGCCTCCATCCTTAGACTAGTTTTTAAAACGTAACAGTGCACCAATTGTTAGTCTATAACCAAAAGGGACAATTGTACCCAAGACTGGGAGAGAAAATTTCAAGGGAGGCAGAAAATTTCAAAAGGAGCCCCTTTGATGGGCTTGGTTATTTCCCACAGCCAGTCAGCTGCCTGTGAAAATCCCATTGCAAGGCACCTAACTCATATTTTCTAGGGTATAAAAATATATCTTTTAATTTGATTTATGAATCCCAACCCCACACTGGCAGGCAAAAAGAAGTTGTGTGTAATAATAATGAGTGTCATCAAATCTAAGCCTTTTGACACATATGTGCCTATCTACCGCACAGGCAGCCAATTACCTCTGAAATGAAAACACTGATACCAGAACAGCAGGCTAGAAAACAAGATGTACCTTAGAAGAGAAGGAATGGACAAGAAAATTTAACAGAATTTAAAAACTGAAATTGGTATTAGATGGCATGACTCCTATTTCTTACAAAATATATTCAGTGGGTGAACTGGGAACATTAAATTCCTATTAATCAACTCATTTTTACAGATATTCAGTGGCCATTCCACATAATAAATGCCATCCCACAAATTGGGACTGGATCAATGTTCAATTGGACAGAAAAATCATTATCTTTTAGATCAAAAAGTTTCAGTTCAATGGAAACTTTTAAAAGTATTTGCTATGAAAGGAGGTTAAATAGATACTGGCTCACAGTCAGGAATTCTGACATCTCTTTGGCCACACAATCTGAGCATCTGGCAACTATGTTTGTCCACTTTGTGATCAGCAGGAAAGATACCACTTGGCAAAAGATAAGTATGACACTAAGAACCAAGTCTGGGCACAAATGTTCTGCTTGAGGGGAAACCACTACCCACAGAGAGATATTTTAGGAGAATTGCTCAATAAAGAGACTTGAGAGAAAAGCTGTGATGGTCGATTGCCAAAGAAGGCAAAGGACACTTGCCCAAAACGAGGTGGAGAAATTGTCTTGGTGCTCAAATATCATAACAACAAAAGACTTCATAGAAAAGGTGTTCTATTGCAACAAATCTGGAACTAACAAGAATTTGAAATGCAATAATGAAGGAAGAAAGATTAAAAAAAAACCCAACAGATTAAGCAATTAGATTAAGATAGGCCTATGACTGAATACTAGTGACTTCCACACAAACCTCCCCAGTTAAGCTTTTGCTGACTGACAGCTGGTCAGCACTGCACCATGCCGTGCTGAATCCCCACAGTCATCGTGGGGAACACGAGTCTTGGATTTCGTGAGAGAACACAGTCATTGTCATGGACCGCATGCCCTGACAAGAAAGGTAGCACAGCCAGGCTTGTTGTTATTTTTTGTTTTGTTTTCAAATACGACTTCATACTCTGCGCTTCAGTATTTCATACATATCAGGGACAAAATACTTACTTCATTTAGAAAGGTTATGAGATAAATATCATTCCCACAAAGAAACATGCCTCTAGCCTAATTATGTTTTTCAGTTTTCCTTTTAAAATAGTAGAAAATGTTAATAAAATCACCAGTAAAGTGAAAAAAAATGCATTTATTACTTGGTCTTTAAATCTACCAGGCCACTAAGGTGCTTGGGAAACTTTAATATCCCTATACAATGGGTGGTGAATTTCCACCATTGTTTCATGATAAAAGGCAGACCAAAATGGCCAATGCCAAAGGAAACTTTGATAACCAGTGATTAATGCCAGTTGAAGAAATAAAGCACAAAAATGCTTGCTAAATGTAGAGAAGTACTAAATGTTTAAGAATATTGTTTCAGAGGAACTATTCAAGAGTCTTTCCTGACCAGGATAAAGGTCATGTTACAGACTTGGACTCACAAAAATGATGAAATAACTATCATGTTGCTTGTAATCACAGAGTGGTTGAGGTTGGAAGGGTCCTCTAGAGATCATGAAGGGTCCTCTAGAGCACATCTAGAGGACCCTAGAGCAACCTCCCTGCTCAAGCAAGGTCACCTAGAGCACGTGATACTTCTGCAAGTATAGTAACAAACTACTCAATACTCTGAAGTAACTATTTGGACTTGAATTCTACACTGGTTTGAGTGAAAAACAGAAACTTAATCCAGTCTACCAATTCAGAGGCCCCTAGCAGGATGCACAGAGTTTTCAGTCAGTAGAGTAATCGCATGCAAAAATGATGTTTTAATGTGACTCTTTGCCTTCCATAACATGCAAACATTTTTTTTGTCACCTATACTTTGAAGGTCAGTAGTCTCCAAACAAATACATTAACCTTTTGCACAAATACAATTCCTCATCATAAATAGGACGAGGGTGCTCCCCATAGCTAGCACTCCACTTTGAAAGACCTCAAATGCTTCACAGCTGTAAAAAAAGCTAACTGAAGAGACTGGTAGAAACCTGTGCAGCACTGCACGTGGAAAACCCACTCATGCTCAGCGTTTCTCCAAAGGCACTGATGGGAATGAGCTTCTCTTTCCTGCCTTACCCACAAGTTTTCCCGTTTGACTTTGAGCAGTGTTTCATACCTCACTGAAACAACGGTACTGTGATCAAAATAAAGACTGTTAGGCAAATGGGGCCCAAACAAACCATGTGTCTATCACACAGGAGGCTCATGAGCACACCCAGGAGCCCTAAATTTACAGTAAGTCACCACACAGTTAAGAACAACTTTACTGACACTATGTCTTGATAAAGACTACCTTTATCTTGCATAACTCATTATCTTCTCGAATAGTTTTGTATTATTTCAAGCTCAATATAAATAAGTTAAAGTACAAAAAAAAAAAAAAAAAAAAAAAAAAAAGACTGTAGGGAACAACCTCCAGAGGCGAAAGAACCAGATCATCTTAAATGCCATTCTCTGCTCCCAATTTTCCTAGGTGTGTGGAGAACACTTTGTGAAAATGGGGATTTCATTATTTCTCATAACATGTAAATATTTCATATGGAAGACTTCAAAACCTGCAGTGTGTTACAGAAAAAAATCTCTACCCAAAACTACACTCTGTCTGTTCAATATTTCTTAGCAAATGTCAAACACAGTTACATGCGCTTAAAGATGAAATTAGATCTTTAAATGAGGGTTTGAAAAGCACTCTAGATACATGCTTCATTGCACACACACACACACATAAAAACCAATCAGTTTAGAAAGAACGCAAAAGGTGTTTGGCAAACATTTAGGGACAGGAAAAAAAAACCTCACAAATAGTCTGCTTTAAAGATCACCAAGCTCAAGAGAGGTCTACCGAAGCACAGGGCCAGAAATATCCTGAGACATGTTTCTCAGGAGACTTTGCATATCTCTGCAAAGCTGGGAAATACTGCAAAGGCTGTATAAGGCTGTATCTTTCATGTTAGCTATGCATACAGCATCTGTCACAGCGACACTGTCAACTGTGACTTTTACACCATTTTGCAACAGAAAAAGTTAACAGCAGCATCATGGTATTTCTAGCTTTTCAGGCTTCAGCTGGAGTGCTTAGACACAAGGCATAAATATTAGGTTAAATTATATTAAATTTCAAGTTTCAACAGAAGTTTGGCCTGCATTTGGGCTGAAAGTGTGATTCAGAGGCAGGCCTGGAGCTTCTGCTTAATCCAAACACATTTGCCTTGCTTGATTATGAGCCTGCAGCCCACTCAAACCTAGTGCAAGAATGCGTAATACAACTGTATCACACAAATCCTTACTCAAGTGGATAGTCACACTGGGATAAGATTATTTTTTCCTGCCCGTTCTTGCTTGCTTTTATTATTTTATCCTATAAATCTATGTATACAAGAAATAACAAAAAATACTTAATTCTATACCACAACATGAAAATTAGGCCAGAAGTCTAGATGTTTTGTGAATTCAAGCATCTATTTTCTTACAACTCCAAAATTACAGTAATTAAATAAATTCAAGACTAAGAGACACACACAAAGGCAGAAAAGAAAAGTTCATGTTCACTCTCCTCAAGAAAACAAAGATGACCCTACCTTAAATAATTCAAACTCCTTCTTTGGCATCAACAGCTATCAATCCACAAAGGATATTTGCAATTGAAATAAATGCATAAGCTTCCATTAGGATGGAAATTACCACCTCTCAGTAAACAAGTAGAAAAAAAAAAAGAAGAAAAAAAAGAAACACTTAAAGGAAAAGACTTTGCTATATTTCTGTCTTTATTCTCATGTTAGACACTACACAATAGGAATCAACTTCACCCTTTAAAAAAAAAAGTCTTCTGCTACATCAGTGGAGCATGCAGGACTAAATTTTGCTATTGACATCTGTCCTTCAAAACACATGCACGTTTACTTCAAAAGAAAGTACCACTCCTAAGGAATGGGCTTACCTGGATGGTGCGGGTATATGCAGGTTCTGACCATCCTGGACCACCTTCTTGACTTCTCAGTGGGTCCAAAATGTTGTTTGGCACAAAGCCTGCACTGCCGCTTTTATTCTGAACCTTCCACCACTGTTTCCTGTCATCTAGAATCTGAAATAATTTGGCAAGTTAATTATGTATTTTTTCCTACTTTTCTCCTGCCAGCATTTAGACTTTACGCAATACAAAAACAAAACTACAATTTTGCCATTTTCATTTTTTCTGAAAGATCTTACAAAGATGTCTCTAAAGAAGCACTGATTATCCTTGATTATCACCATAATTAATTGTACACTGTAGTGCTGCACTTTTCAAAACACAGCTCTGAAGAAATGACTTGAAAGAAAAGTATTTAATGAACTCATGTGAACTCAGGTAAGCTCACATGTGAAGGACAGCAGTGGAAACACTTGTGCAAAGATGATGACATCTCAACAATCCATCTACTGCTGATAGTGACAATTAGAAGAAGTAACTCCAGGTATGGAGAAAATGCATCATTCTGGAAGGCACAAATTTGGAGACTGAGTATTTCTGAGTAAAGGGGAAGCTGGTACAGGTTGACTAGCAGAAAAGTGATTTCTGACTACCTACAATGTCATCTTACATAAAACATTTTCTCCTTACTGCTCCTTCCCTTCTGCACTTCTCCCGCTTTCAAGTTACCTGCCATTCCTGGAATGGACAGCCTTTCATTATGCCTTGTGCAAACACTGATGGTACATAGAGCTGGTTATTGAAATACTGTCAAAGGATGCTTTGAAAAGCAACACTGGAGAGGCCAGGAGAATATACAAATATATTTATGATGTGAACTTCTACAGCAACAATTGTAAGTCTGCACAAAGTCTCTTTAGTGTTACAGTACAGGCAAGATAATTAGTTGAGTTTTCCATATTAATAGAGATAAATCTAAAATGTTGAAAGCATTACTTGAGACAGTCACACTGACCACAGGGAAGATAGTGCCTTCAGAAACACTAGAAATCATCAATTGCAGGGCCATGATCTCTTTGCAATTACTGAGACATGGTGGGGCTGCTCTCATGACTGGAACATGGCCACGGATGGTCTTGTGCTTTTCAGAAAGGACAAGCCATGAAGGTGAGGTGGCAGAGTTGTGCTATACGTGAGAGAGCAAGTGGAATATATGGAGCTCAGCATAGGGTAGGATGAGTCAAGAATCTGTGGGTGAGGATTAAAGGGTAGGCCAACAGGGGTGATGCTGTCTTGGGTGTTTACTACAGGTCCCCTGACCACAAAGTGGTGGATGAGGCTTCTACAGTCAGCTTAAGAAGCCTCCCGATCGCAGGCCCTAGTCCTTATGGAAGGCTTCAACCCCCAACAAGGGGACAGGAGCTGCTAGACCTGACACTAACAAACAGAGATGGTCTAGTTGGAAATGTGAGGGTTGGAGGCAATCTTGGCTGCAGTGACCATGAGATGTTGGAATTCATAACCCTGGGTGGAGGAAGATGGGCAAGAAGTAGGGCAGTAAGTAGACTTGCTGCGCTGGACTTCAGGAGGGCCAACTTTAGCCTCTTCAGAGACCTGCTGGGAAAGATCCCATGGGCTAGGGCTCTAGAAGGAAGAGGGGCCCAGGAGAGCTGGTTAGTTTTCAAGCGGCATTTCCTCCATGCCCAGCAACAGTGCATCCCTGTGCGTAAGAAGTCAGGCAGAGGGGGCAGGAGACCTGCGTGGATGAGCAGAGAACTCCTGACAAAACTCCAGCAG